TGGAGTCCACGCTGGGTTGCCGAAACAGGAAGCCGTCCTACCCAGGGAAGTCCATCTGCACTAAATCCCATATTTCCGGTCCACATCTGCTCCACGCTCTGTCGGGCAACATTGCCCCAATTGTTACGGCCAAACACCGCACTTAGCGCACCCGATAGATGAATATCAGCATACAGACTGATGTCTGAGTCTGTTGCGACGCCCATATCGGCAATTCCACCTCCCCCTCCCTGAGCAAAACCTCCACCGAACATCATCATCTGTCCGGCCTCTGATTGCGGCAACTGCGTGAGGTAGTCGAACCCACGATCGTAATTAAAGATCCAGGAGTGCTCTTCTCCCTGACACCGGAATTTCTGTCCCGGGTGTTGCGCCGACATCTGTCCACGTATAGGATAAATGCGACCTCTCAAACCAGGTACGAGGTGGCCAACATGAGCATTTGTAGAATGAATGACATGACGAGTGCGAATAACACCCCTGGATGTAGATACCAGGTATCGCAGACGCGAATCACCTTTCTCACTCATGTCCTCCTCGATACCAGTCACAGGCGTATTCGTCTCAATCAGCAGATCTCGCGGGAACTCTGCCTTCAATTGGCCCAAAACACCAGTGACAAATCTGTAAGGCCAAATGGCCCCTCCCGGGCCAGCAACGATCCCTAGCGCACGAGGAAGACAGAAATCATCTGGGATCTCCTCTCTTTCATACATCTTCCATTCCTTCGTCTCGTCGGGCAAACCCGCCTTCAGCCGGCGTACCCGCTCTCGGGCATCTTCCCACCCATCCTCGTCGAAATAAACGCTTAGAAATTGTACCCTTCGCGCTTGACAGTGCCCGGTAAGTCCGTACTCCTCCGCAGTATCAAGCATCTCGCGTAAATGTGCCAGGCGAAATTTCATGATCTTCTTCGCTGCGTCAATGCCGTGCATATCCTCAAGATCGGCGAATTCCTCCGCCGTCTCGAGAATATGCCCGCCATTTCGGCCGGTCGCGCCACTACAAACGTCGCGTGCTTCGAGGATGACCACAGCCGGTCTTTTGCTGTCAATCTGGCTCTTCTCTGCCTTTCGGGATTTGAGAAGCGTCCTTGCGATCGAAGTGCCGGTTACTCCAGAGCCAATGATCACGACGTCCGCTTCTGATGGCAGAGTCGCGGACTGGGCTTTTGCCAGGTCAGGGTGTGGAGAGCGCAACCAAAAGGATGATGTAGGGTTTGATGAGGGAAGGCCAGGGTCGGCAAAGGCTCTGTCGAGGGCTTTTTGGCGGTCTTTGGCTGGGATTGCTGGATTAGAGAGCTGAGCTTGCACGAAGGCCATGATGTTTAGCGGTGATGCAGTGCTGTACTTGTTCTGGGTATGGTTGCGATGGAATAATCGTGTTCCTCTTCAACGAAGCGGGGCTACCTACGGTGAATTGGATCGATCTTAGTAAGGCAGGATTGGCTTCTCAGCTTCCAAATCGGACTCCGCGGAGAGCGATGACTTCCTTGATAGCGCAAGGAGTCTGTGATAGTCGCATGGACTTGATGGTTATGGTTAGAGAAAGGTTCGATCCGGAAGGTTGAGCCGAAGGCTATCTTTGTCTTTGATTATCACTCTCGGGTATTATGTAGCCTGCTCACTCTCTTATCGAGGGTCGACCTACCAATTAGGGTAATAAGCTATCCAAACCCCGCACTGAGGAAGCCCTGCGGGGTAAACATGGCGCTATATTTTGTATTCAACATATTAGAAACCTGGGTTATAAGTATTGCGAGCGAAAGAGTTGATACCATATTATTGTCGGCATCATAGAGATACTATTACCACGCTGGGATAATCTTGACATTCTTGGTATACATTGCATCACATTACCACAATGACTGCCAAACCCGCCGACTCCCCGGGAAACACCTACTATCCAAAGAGTCCTCCGATGCGCCGTCCAAGTCTAACATTCCTGTATCGACTCGAATGCACCATCGCCGCAGAAGAGATCAATCTCGGGGCACCCCATGGCGCAGGCATCATTCGCAGCATTGCAAATATCACTGGAGGTACCTTCAAAGGACCAGAACTCGAGGGGACGATCCTCCCATTGGGAGGAGCAGATTGGGCAACAGTCATTGAAGGAACACACGTGAGTCTATCCATCATTGCTATATTATCTGAAGAAACAACTAACAAACCCAGTCCATGACCCTCGACGCCCGATACACTATCAAAACGACAGATGGTCACCACCTCTTTGTGCAGGCGCATGGGCTCTACCGTCCTGGACCAGGAACCGAGTACGCGAAGCAGGTTGCAGATGATCCAGCGATGAGGCCTCCACCGACCGTTACTCAGGATGATGTTGAATTCTTTTCGCATCTACGGATTGAAGCGGGTGGGGGCAAATATAATTGGTTGAATGGGTCGGTTTGCGTTGGAGTGATGAGTTGCGAGAACGATAGGATTATTATTGATGCGTATTATTTGACGAACTTTGGGGGTGTGAGGCCGGATGATGTTGTTGTTAGGAAGTCATCTCATTAATAATGGATGGTTACCTAATGGTGTTATCTCGAGTAATCGAAAAATCTATAAGATCATAGTGTGATTCGGCCTGCTCCTTCAGTTCGGTCAATATCATTAGCGGCACATGTCCCGAGGTTGATAGTCTCATCTTCATTATATTACCCGATATGAAAAGCCGGGTATGTCTGTATACGTCAGTGCGTCAAACTAGCCTGTTCAGGAAGGTCGACGCACTTCTACTGGGTCACCCTACACAATGGGTTGTTTCAATAGTAGTCATGCTAACGGCTTCCAAAGTGGAGTAACAGTTATCTAGATTGAGGGGTTACAGATAACCATCCCCGCACTATATAACTCTAGGCTGCATCAAGTACAACAACGCACATACATCAAATCACAAGATGGCCCAAACAACTTCTACAACAGATGACTGGCGCACCCTCGTGGCCCGAAAGCGCAAGCAATTAGACGCACAAATCCCTTCCGAGTGGCGTCTAACAGATACATTCCTCGCAACAATCCCCGCCAATGGCCGCCTCATCGAAGCCGATGTGATCCGTAGCAGTGGTATTTTGTCTGAGAAGGAGCTCAGCATTACAGAGAATTATTCTGCGACTGAGCTTCTAGAAGAGCTATCAAAGGGGAAAATAAGTTCCGTTAAGGTTACAACTGCGTTCTGCAAGAGGGCAGCTATTGCCCAGCAACTTGTATGTCCCTTCTTTCTGAACACCCCCAGTACGTGGTACAAGTATTACTGACAATTTAGACCTCATGTTTGACCGAGCATTTCTTCCAGCGGGCTCTTGAGCGTGCTCAGTTCCTGGACGAGTATTTACAACGAGAGAAGAAACCGTTCGGACCGCTGCACGGCCTTCCTATCAGCATCAAAGATAGTTTCTGTATCGAGGGTATTCAGAGCACTGTCGGATATGTCAAATTCCTTGAGAACAGCCCGGCTTCACACAATTCAGCCATCGTTGAAATGCTATTGAATCTCGGCGCTGTGCTCTACGTCAAGACCAATATCCCACAGACGATGATGGTCAGTCACCACCATTTTTCTCTTCACTATCTATCAACACTGACAGGTTTATAGACAGGGGACTCAGAAAACAACATCTTCGGTCGAGCCCTGAACCCCCACAACACCAACTTGACTTCCGGCGGCTCAAGCGGAGGCGAAGGAGCTCTAGTGGCATTCCGCGGCTCAATCTTAGGAATCGGCACAGACATCGCAGGATCAATCCGCATCCCCTCCCTCTGCTGCGGCGTGTATGGCTTCAAACCTAGCATTGACCGCATCCCGTGGGGCGGCCAAGTAGCCGATATAGCCATGGAGGGAACTCCCGGTCTTAAGCCGTCCGCCGGACCACTTGCTCATAACCTGAACGACATCGAACTATTCATGTCGACCATTATAAACGCAAAACCCTGGATATACGACAGTACCGCAAGCGCAGCACCCTGGTCATACCCAAAAGCCTCAGTTGCTGAGCCCAGCCAACTTACCATCGGCATCCTCCCCGAGAGCAAGGACTTTCCCCTGCATCCACCCGTCAAGAGAGCGCTGCAGACCGCCATATCCGCTTTGGAAACCAAGGGCCACCATATAGTTTATCTCTCAGAAACCCCGGGCATTGATTTCGCATATGCGAACCGTCTCGCCTTCCAGTATTTCATCTACGGCCCACACACCGACCACATTGCAGCCAGCGGCGAACCACCCGTGACATCCGTGGCAAAGATGTCCTCACCCATGTTCACGGGTCCATTTCCAGTAAACATGGAACTACCGCCATTCGAGAAAATAGACGCATTGCACAAGGCGCGCAAGGCATATGCCGAGGCCTGGCGGAAGACCTGGGTTGAGAACAATATGGATGTCCTTCTTGCGCCCGGGGCGCAGAATACGGCTGTTCCACATGATACATTTGGATGGCCGCCCTATACGGTTGTTTGGAACTTGCTTGATGTGAGTGTACCCTCTTAGACAGTTCGGGGGAGTATGTGGCTAATGATAGTGTAGTACCCTGCTTGTATTATTCCGTACGGCAAGGCTTCGAAGGAGCTTGATCATGAGCCGATGGCTATTACTGATGGAGTCCAGCCTAGTTGTGAGTTGTCTATCTATTGCTAACAGTTCTACATATTGGGGGTATGAGCTAATTCTTGATGTTTAGATGTTCCGGATGCTGTCGATGGAGCACCATGTGCGATCCAAGTTATTGCACCTAGGTTTCAGGATGAGAAGTGTCTTTTAGCTGCGAGAGTTATCGATCGAGCTATTCGATGATGAATCTATGTATCCACTCTACCGATCATTTCATTTCAATTCACTTCATACTCGTGATAACCCCTTTTGTCATGCTGGAGATAAAAGTACATCTGAAGTGCACTCTTCATCCAACCGCTTTACCATGTATCAAGCCTTGTCGAAAACGGAATTGAGAAATCATACCCCAGGCCAGATGCAGTAACTTCAATAACTCTGCTGAATTACAGCTCATCATGTAGGGCATGCTTTCCAATCTCTTCCTCAATTATCTCTCGACGCTTCGTTCCATTAATGAATAAGACAGCCGAGTGTTGTAAGTAACCGTCTTCATCTTCGACATAACCAGCCGCTTTGTCGCAGGTCAGTTTTTCAAGGCCGTAAACGGAGAGTATATTCCCACTGCTGTCCAGAACTGGAAAGCTCAATTCGCTTCTCCTCCAAAAATCCCGATACCGATCATGCATTTTCAACCCACTACCCTGTTCCTCCTTCGGTCTCAATAAGACGTTTCCAGGAATTTGCATTGTTTTATCATGCTTGCCCCACCACAGTATGCCTTCCGGAATCTGGCACATCCTGTCTTCGGGGATTGTGAGCCACATCAATTCATAGTCGGAGTCAATGGTGCCGTCTGTGTGGTGGTCCTCGATCCACAAGGGGCCGTCCGTCTTTGGGCCGAATATCGTAGGAGAATCTTCGTAGACTATAGCTGTACAGTGCACTTCCAAGAACGAAATCTTTGGCACATAGATCCACCCAGGCTCAAGCTGTGTCCATCCCATGCTGGTGCCATCTGTCTTGCCCGCAGACTCCGTAATGGACCCGGAGTACTCCGCTGTAAACGTCCATTCTCCGGTTACTCCTGAACCTCCAAATTTTGCTTGCATCCCTGCCTTCCATCCATCGGTTGCCGATCTGGTACGTGAGTAACTAATGTCCCTCCTGAAATCACACTTGCCTTGAATGCCACAACAAGAAACTCCTGGCCCATTGAGAGTATTGGTAACGGCCTTATGAATGCATTTTCCCGCTTTTAGAACTTTCAATCTGGTTCTAAGCTGCCGTTCTTTGAAAAGAGGACATCTCCATTCCTCGGTCGTATTCCACTCATAGCTGAAGGCATCCTGTGCCTTGAATTGTTTAAGCTGTGGATAAGCGTCATATACGGAGGCTCCTAGGACGGTGCTTAGGCTGATGGCCGCCACTATTAGTAGAGTTGCTTTCCACATTCTCGCGTCTGGCGTTTCGGGTAGCTGAAATGTATGGTTGGGTCAGTTATCGAACTCCAATATACCGCCAACCATTTGGAACTAGAAAAGAAGCTAACCTCTCAGTAAATCCGAGTTACTGTCGGGAGCTTATGAGGTAGAAAAATATGCTTGGCTGGCTCACTGAACTGTTATTATGCGCTGGAATCTGGCAAATATCTCTTCGAATCACCCCAGTACATTAGGTGGGATTCTCGACTGAATACCATCTGTCATGATGATGCAATCTATGAGCCGTCTACAGATCTAATACTACAGTTGCAAAATCATCAAGAAGCACGCATAACCAAGGGTTATATAGAAGCCTGTGGTGTGTAGTTGTCATCTAGTCAAACGGCAGGGTGTTCCTGTAAATGGCTGAAATGGCTACGATATACTACGAGTCTCACAACTCGACGGGGCACTACTATATTGCCACGATGTAGCATATTCTACTGCTACGTTTTATCTGCGTAGCTAGGGCCCATGGGAAATATCAAGCTATGTAACTATATAGTCACCCTGCAAGACTCTGGTTGTCCGCATTCGAAAACTCAGTAAAGTATTAACCAAATCGAAGGTCACTTTGATAAGTCATCTGTGTAACACCGGGAATATTATGTGGTGATATCCCAGAGAGCCTTTCTACAGACACGTCATATATAAAACTCTGCGCGACTGTCACACGTCGAGAGTTTGATTTGGGTTAAAATCACCATGTGATCATATATACCATGGAAACCATCGGAATCCATTTTCGACGAGGAAATGTTTCTAGTTCTTTGGCCGCTTCTGGAGCTCTTCGTCAATGAGGCTTCCCAACTTCCTTGACTACAGAGTACAGCCTGTCGAACTGGGACAAATCAGATCCTAGATTAAGCCAAATGGTAAGACTCTTTGGACTGATTTCGGAAGATACACGACCACCAGGAAATTCCGTCTAGAGGACAGGAAAAGAAGAGAACCGCCCTGAGTATGAGCTGTACCCTGTTAACAGAAACTTATCCAGAACTCAATACACAATAAACTGATTGCTTTTGTTATAAGTGTTGACGATATAGACTGAACTCCGCGTTGACCAAGTTAAAGATTATAGACCTCTTTTAGTTCTATTCAATCAGATGAACTCTATCACTCTATATAAAAGAATCCTGAAACTCTAAAGCATATATCTAAATGTAGGTGACTTATCCCCCATCTCGCCAAGCTCCTGTGCCGAATATTCCGGCCGAAGCTCCACCAGTTTATCCACACGCTGTCGGTTGATGCGCACATATGCAAACCTCGTAATCACGATAGCCACCACGCCCATAATTCCAAAGGCAAGTTCCAGCGCATGGCCCATGATATATTGTGGGGAGTCGCGCGTGCGATAAAAATGGGAAGCCATGGCTAATATTTATTAGCACGTTCTGCCTAAACGCCTTCATGAATGGGAAAGGGGGTAATTACCTCCTGCAAAGTTCCCAATACCAATGTGTATCGCCATTCCTGCTGCTCGTTTATGTTCCGCAGCGAGATTGCTGCTTAGCCATGTTATGAGGGCGGGAATAGCGGGGTATATTCCTTTTGCATTTTAGGATGGCCGACAATACGTGTGATAGTATATGGGGGCTTACCTAGGATCGCAAGGAACACACCAAAGTATACAAGTCCCGGAACCCATCTTTGCGATCCTGCCAGACAGACGAAAAATCCGGCGACGATGCAACCGATGTGAAAGAGGAGAAGCGGTGAGCGCTCGCCATTGCGGTCTGCAAAATATGCTGCCAGAATGGCAGCCATGGAAGCTATGATGTACGGGGGTACCTAATCAGTCAGTCATGATACACGTTGCGGGTGTTGATGTCCAGGGCCATTACTGTAAGAAGCTGCGCAGTAGACGACGTATATCCTAGATCGCGGATTATGGTCGGTAGGAAGAATGATATCCCGTATAGCGGACAGACGGCGGAGAAGTATACTGGAGACCATTAGCAGAGACCTCACCGACCTGATGGAAGAGCATACTAAGAATGGCCATATAGACCTGCCAATCCTTGGCCGCATCCCACACGTACTTCCACTTGAAGTCACCAGCCTCGGGAACCACATTGCCATTGTTGGAGAATTGTAGACTTAAGCGGCGCAGAATCCAAGCTCGTTCGTCTCGGGTCAAAAATGATGCCGTATCAGGGTAGTCGTAGAGAAAGAAGTATGACATGACAGCCACGACAACTGTTGCGAGCCCTTCGATAATGAATATCCAGCGCCAGCCGGAGTACCCGCCAACACCGTTCATTTTCTGACTTGTTAGAATTGCACAGCAGATAAAGTTCCATAACTTACACCGATCGCAAATGCAAGTAACCCCGAAAAGGCACCTGCAATACTCGCCGCGCTGAAGCATAAGGCTTGGCGGAACTGAGCTTCATGACGAGAGTACCACATCGTGATATAATAGGCCACTCCCGGGTAAATACCCGCTTCTTCATGATGTTAGGATAGATCATTTCTTGTGGTTGGTGGATATCTTACCTGTGGCACCGAGGAATATCCTCGCTATCAGCAGACCGTGATAGTTGGTCACGATACCCATTAGAGTCTACGGACAATTAGAGTCGTACTAGCTCGGCGAACGGGAACGAACCATCACCGTCCCCCACGCCACCATCAGTGACGGTATCCATATTGAGGGCCTGACTTTCTGCAAAATAAGGTTCGATGGTAGCTCAAACACGGTGTATGTGAAGAAAAAGACGGTCACTAAACAATCAGAAATCCATCAACAATATGGTCGGCGCTACATACGTGCCCAGTTGTACTGTGTGCCTCCGAGATGCAGATCTTCCTCCATGCCTTCAATCCTGGCATTTCCGATATTACCCCGATCGAGGAATGAGAATAGGTATAGGAGGGTTAGCATCGGCATGAGACGGAGGTCCATCTTGCGCAGGAGCTTTCGCTCGTCGATGTGGTCGAGATTACCCTCGACATGATTGAAGTCGCGGCATACTGTTTGGATTCCATTGCGTCGCTTAGACTGTTTCTCGGTCCTCATGTCGAGGTCGGACAATTGAGGTGCTTGCCTTGTGAAGCCACGGAGGTTTCTTGATGGCTTTGAACCGTTGAAGGTCTCATGGGACAGCCCATGAGTTTTGATTGATGCAGGTCTATTAGTGTGGCTGAGGAACTATGTAAGGGGCTAGGGAATGTGGGCGAGAAGATCATTATTCCATTCGTTCCTCACAGAAAGCTTCCAGCGATAGGCTAATTCTTCAACGGGAATCATTTTTGCATTGGATATTCCGTATGCATGGGTCCGTTCCCGCCATCCTAGATGTTAAGAGTAGATCATATGCCCAAGGCAAAGGCAGCAATAATGCATGGGTAAGTATGGTCATCATTTAGAAGTGAGACAAGTTACGTCTCCTTTGGTATCTCAGAAGGCAAATAGAGTGTTGTGATCTGCGAGCAATGTTTGCTGATCGGCCGATCTTCACAACGAGAGTTAAATGCACCTTTGCAATGGAAAAATCCCATTACGTTCATGATCCGAAATTTAGCATCTAATGTACTTCAGTGCCTGTGAGACTTTATTCGTTTCAACCCTAATTATTGTCCATGTGCCAATGGGCGGTGCTCAATTATTAGTGGACACCTTGTGATTAGAGACTGATCAGCGTTCATTAGCGTTGCCTAGTATGGGCAGCGATCGATGACATATGAGATAATCCAGTCCCGATCAGTAGGGTAAGACAATGATCGTCCTTGCATCAAACCTTGCATACACTGATCGGGAGTGTCAAATGAGACCATTAGGGGCTGGGTGGCTGGCTATGGTCATCTCACCCTTGACGTGTGTAGGTGAAATGAGCACATCGTAGTCCCAGGTGTTGTTATCGCCTTACTCTTTCAGGAATGGTGAAAGTTGGCTCCCATCATGCAAGTCTTTATTGGAAGCAGACTTTGGAGTCTGTGATGATGACACACAGTTAGAGGCAAGCATCGATCGCTTCGACGTGAGTCTATAGATGAGTGGGCATTCTTGATCGTGTTCGTGACTCATGATTAGGTCCTATTTCAGTACAAGTCTTGATACATCTACCCCAACGGATGGTGGTCCATGAAACGTACTATCCTATCCGTCATGTTGACGGCATTATAAAAATACCTCAATACTGTCTGGATAATAAAGGGAGAACAACTGGCGAGAGTGGAATTGGACAGTTGATGATTAACCTCGAGACGGTTTTTGTGTCATCCTGTCATCTCCCAGTCAAGAAGCGCATTAAGGGCCGTGCCCCCAAATCACTGACCGCCAGTTCGTGATGGTAGGCGATAAGATAGCAAGCCCCACCGCGGACCGAATTCCAATGCGCTGGGACTTAGATTTTGTTCGATCCAGACCCCTCCGCTTTATCTGTTTGCCACCATTCCACAACCAATCGGTATTCTGACCAGAAACCATGACGAGTTGCTAGAGCCCGCTTCATTCAAGCTTCTATCCACCAGAGGCCATGTCTGCGCGGAAGGTTCCTTCGCCCAGCCAGCCCACCAGTCTTGGCCCACCAGAGGCCGCGACTGCCGGGCGAACCGCCGGGAAGGTTCTGATTCCCCGGGATCGATCGAGGATCGTACCGGCTAGCCCGAAGATACGTACCTCTCGTGCTTGTGATTCTTGTCGGCAGCGCAAGGCCAAATGCAATGGGGGAAAACCGACATGTACCCAGTGCGAGAAGTTCGGGATCGAATGCAGGTACTCAGAGCAAAAGCGGACCCAGGAGAAAAGAGAACTTGACATGTTGCGGGCGGCTATTAAGCGGCACGAGCGGATGCTGCAACTTCTGTCGCTTCGCCCGTCCAGCGCCGCAGTTTCCACCAGTGGAGAGGGTACATATGTGAGCTTCATTATCATATCACTGATCCCTGTCACTGACGACCAGCTACTAATCCAGTCATGTAGGTTGTGAGTTTGCCGCAAACAGAAGGGCTAGCTACCCAGCAAACGCTGTCTGGTAGCTTGGACCGCACGATGGAGCTTCTGCAAACACAACTCCGTGAGCTGCATTATGTGTATCAAAATGTCCACGATTGTGACCTTACAATTCTTCCGGCTGTGGTGGACACGATCCGCAGGAGTTCCTCGGTGCACGACGCAGCCAGTCTACTGAGTCAACAGATGTCATCACAATCCCCGGGTATGACACTGGAGAGGATGCAGAGGTCGTGGCTGACACGGCTATCGGGAAAACCAGAGCTGGTGAACCGAACACCCCCATACAGCGTGAATGCTGCAGAACGCTGGACGGCAATTGTTGATAACGCGGCCACTTCGCATCTCTTTTCTTTCTTCTTCGTTTGGGATAACCCAACATGGCATATCGTTGACCCGGTGTCATTCCTGGGTGATTTCCAGCGTGGAGGGACACACTTTTGCTCGTCACTCTTAGTCCATACTATTCTTTTTTATGCGTGTGTACGTATCCCATTCTCTTTATGACCTCGCTGACGGAGTAGCACCTTTCCTACGACTTTGAAAAGCCATGGGACCGGCGCATGGAGATGTCTACCGCCAGAAGACTTCTGCGGGAGGTGGAACGCCTGTGGCAGTGTGATAAGATGAATATCTCTCTTCCCACCATGCAGTCAGCCCTTCTCTTAGGGTTATTCTTCTGTGCTTCTGGAAAAGACAAGATCGGTGTTCAGTATATCCGGTATGGCGCACAAATGGGGTTGCATCTGGGCTTGCATACCTCGTCGCCTGAGACAGGCCAAACCAATCCAGCAGAGGCAGCTCGCATTAGGCGAGCTCATAAACTCATAGCTAGTGCGGTCTATGAGGTGCAAACGTAAGTCATTAAAAGATAATATGCAAAGCAGTCACTAATTCAATAGTCTGTCTTTGCAATTGGCAAGGATACCGTCAGTATGGCCGGGGCCGTCAGAGCTTTTCTTATCTGAAGTAGAGGCAACGGCGGCGGATGTCAATCTGCAGTGGTCACCATACCCATTTACCTATCCTGTTTACAAGCCCTTTTTCCATACGGGCCTATGGAGCAGACGGGACCTATTTGTTATTATTAATGATGTGGCGGTTTTGCAGCGGCAGCTCAGTGGACAAATAGATCTGTCTGGATGGCAGCAGGGTGCTGTACTGTATCGGAGACTTATAAGCCTCGAGATGAATCTTCCTGTCGTCCTTAGGGTGCAGCGGAATAGGACTCCCCACAATCTGTGTTTTCAGTGAGTGGTCCGAACGCAGTCACGGCTCTATGCTAACAAAAGAAGCATGTATTACCACATTACAACAGTCAACCTCTGCGGGATTTTCGTGACCCGTAGTAGCACCGGACTGACAGAAGAACTGATACGATCCACTAAATTCGATCCACAGAGAGTACTAGGCGAAGCGATGGACTCGATTGCGACATTAATATTGCTCTATCGGGTGTCACATGGCTGGAAGTCCATCCCAGTAATGATGGTTCACTACTTTATGGTGGCAGGTGTACACGCAGCCTCGCACTTGGAGTCGTCAAAGTGGCGCGAAGTGTTGGTCAGCTGTGTCTCTGGTCTCTGGCATATGGGCCTGGTTTGGAGGGTCTGTCGACCATTCTTGCGGACCATCCAGTTAGTACTCAAGAGCAAGGACGAGACGTTAATCCCCATCGAAGCAGTGTCGATATTGAGGGAATTCAACGAGAAGGTGTGGAATCAGAACGAGGTAAACGCGCTGGCCGCCAACTACGTGGTGCAACACCATCCCAGTCAGACACTTGCGCTGGACCATGACAAAAACTTCCAGGGGAAAGGCCTCGAGAGCTTGATACGAGATTTCGAGAAACTGAGCACGGATGATTAAGACGAGGAAGAATGAAGAAAGTAGGAGAATGAGAAGCGGAGGAAAAGTACCGGTCTGTATACGGATGACTGTAAACTAATGTTTGTTTATGTTTGACGATACGATGCAGTACATGAGCTATGAGAATATACGACTCAGGCAGCAATATACCATGTGACCTTCCACTTTCAAAAATTTGACTTGTGCGCTTTCAGTCTAAAATGGTCTATTTGAGTCCAGCTCTTTCATGTACAACACAGCCGTCCCATATATACAAGTAGTTCTATCATGTACATCCTCCACCATATCCACCATACAGCTGTCATGACGAAACCTCGATCAATTCATCCCCTACCCTCCTCGTCCACTCCATCCAGCTACCATCATACACCCTTCTGGATCCCTTCGCCCCAACCAACCTCAAAGCTAGATCTAATGATGCAGCCGTAACCCCCGAATTGCACGTCAGGATGTATGGCACACCCTCATCTTCTTCCGCCAACGCGCCCGCATCCGTCAAAACGCCCCTCAGTTTCTCAGGAGCTAGTATCATCCCAGTCTCAGCTTCCAATAGACTAGCCAATGGCACATTGACCGCTCCAGGAATATGCCCGGACCTCAAACTTGGAGTCATTTCCGGCTGTACACCTTGAAACCGACCTGGTATCCTCGCATCGACAATCCTCACCTTCTCCTGGTCCCTCCCAACAACAACATCCTTTACCTCCTCGAACGCTATTACCCTTCCGGTGTCAAAGTCTCTCCCTTCCACGACATACTCATCGCCTTGCTCTCCTCTCTTCCCAACCACTGGAACCTCTATTCCCTCAGACCCGGAATCTACGGGCAGCCGCATCCGCACATACTGCCTGAAGTTATTCAAGACGTGCACATCCTTATGTCCAAAGAGCTCACACATAAACGCCAGCCGCGGGGCATGATACGTGCCTATCTCATCTGCATCGTAGATAACTAGAATATCATCGTTGCGAATACCGAGTGCAGTCATTGCAGCGGCGAAGAGGGAAGGCAAGGGAAGCATGGAAGGGTAGGGAGAGGCGGTGTCACGGATTTGATCGAGGTCGAAAAACCTAATTGGCAATGAATCTATCAGCATGCGGTAGTGGGGTGTAAAGGGAGCGGGGACATGGGGTACTTTGAGCCTGGAAGGTGGAAGGATTCGAAGGACGAGTGGAGCGTGGGACGGTAGGCTGCTAAGGGGACAATCCGCCTACGCTTGGTGGCATTGCATACTGCCGCATTGTGATGGTATTCAACTGGAGTTATGAGAGGAGATTGGAAGGGGTTCATTGTTCAAACTCCGATAGTTGTAGATGGTGAGGGATGAGGGGAGAATGAGGGGAATTGCCGTTATCGGGATATCAACTTAGGCATTGGTTATGCAATTGTGCGTATTTGTCAGCTATGCCCTCGGGGACCGACTCCGCCCCTTCCGGTCGGGATAGCAAGAGGAAGAGTGCGAGGTATGAGCTGATGAGGCAGTACTACAATATACTGTCAGTGAATTCACTTACTTTTGAAATATAGGTGATGACAAGAGCAGTTGCAATGAAACGAATCGTAATAGCACCAGGTTTCTCTTGGTTGTTTTGCGATACCAACGACCTGAGCACTTGATGTAGTACGACTACAAATATCACATGAATATATATTTCTGAAAACGAAGACGGACGACTTGCCAAGATCATACGGCTATCATTACTATCGTACTTGCTGCAAAACCTACCGGCTAACTATATCTATATATCTAACTCATAATGAAGAAGAAAGAATTGGAAAAAAATAAAATGAGGAGAGTAAAGAGTCGAGGGTGATGCGAGGTGGGTAAAAAGAGGAAGGGAAAAAAAGAAAGGTCGTGCCCGGGATCGAACCGGGGTTGCCGGAAATCTGGTAAGATTCAAAATCCGGAGTGATAACCCCTACACTACACAACCAGGTGCTTGTGAAAAGTTGAATTTGCTGATGGTATATAAATGCCTTTTGTTTGCGAAACGAATTGTAACTGCCCTGAAGGATTCACCAAAACAATTATCCACACCAGCTGTGATGAATAACCACATCTACGTACTATATCCACAAGGCTATGCCCATGCTTAGAGAGAACCCTTTGCTCTGCCAAGACAACTTTTAATTATTTCTAGTCGACATTCCGGAAAGCTCAATACCTCCAGATGCCCTCTAAACTGATGATTCGTCCAGAAATTACACCGAAAGGGCTAATAAAATTGTGGTGGTTGTGGCTTTGATCCTGTACAGGCTCGGTGTCGACTAATAATGAATGCATTTGGTTGTGCCTGAGAAAACACTCCGATGACGGCATTCCTTCGGGCTCAACAGCACAGCTGAGAGCGGCAATCCTTGACTGTTTGGGATAGGCAGTCAGCGCCGTCGATCCGCGCAATCTTGGGGCTAGATGGTGAGTTAGCCTCACACATGACGGAATCTGGCTTTATTGAGTCGCTTGGTTATGCAGAAGAATGTACTCACCGTAATATTCTTTATTCAAGCCCGTTGACCTTGCATTCGAGTGTATCTGGAGTGTTTGTTTACCTGGGTAAGATGCCCTTAAGGCTATTGTGCCTGGTCCCTGGAGTATCCACATCCAGCCGCACTCCACTCACGCCAACAAATGGCCCTAAACCGCCCGGTCGATGGCTTAAATGACGTATTTACCAGGATTAAGCAGCCCCCATTCTACCACTACAGTCAGCTCCACTGTCCTTGAGCCACAACAATCTGCATCATACGGTGTTTGGCTTGCATAAAGCCAAGGACCCGGCCTAGAAGCTAGTGATGTAATCATGCAAGTTCAGGATCTGGATTGTCTCGCAGCAGGCTGGATATATCTTGCCGTGAATTCCCTCCTAGTCACGATGTTCATATCAATCCTACACCTGTCACTACAATCCAGGCCCAATTGACAGTTGCAGCCCGGGGGCTTCATCCCGGTCTTTCATCATGAGGTTTCTTACAAGTCTCGTCGTTGCCACTTTATCCAGCACAACGGCATCCTACCAGTTCAACTCTCTCCACCATCTTGCCGGTATCGCTCCTTACTTCAGCTCTCATGATCCGCAGATTAATCCAGCTCCCCCCGCTGGCTGCAACGTCACTCGCGCAGCTTATCTCGTCCGTCATGCTGCCATCTACGCCAACGACTTCGACTACGAGACCTACATCGAGCCGTTCATCGAGAAGCTGCGCAACACAACACAAAGCTGGACAAACACCGACTCGCTCGCCTTCCTCGCCAATTGGACCGCGCCGATCACCGAGGACCACCTCGAAAAGCTGACTCGCGTCGGACTCCAAGAGGCAACAACCCTGGGCGTTAAGTTCCGCCAGCAATACCCTGACTTGCACACCGACAAAGTTTGGGCCGCAACTGCCGAGCGGACGACCAAATCTGCCCAGGGCTTCATAACCGGCTACACCAACAATAAAACGCACGTCGACCTGGTCAGCGTCGCACAGAGTGACACGACCGGCGCGGACTCCTTGACACCTTACAAATCCTGCCCAGCATACAGCTCCAGCTATGGCAGCACCTATGAAGATGTACGCCTATCATCGCATCACCCTTATCTCGCCTGGAAAGCTTAATTAACAGTATCCTAGGAATTCATAGAAACCTACACAGCCCCCATAATCAAGCGACTCAACGCCATCGCCCCAAAATTCAACTTCACTTCCTCCGATGTAACCGCCATGTTTGAGCTCTGCGGCTACGAGACCGTAATCCGGGGCTCCTCACCATTCTGCTCCTCCTCGCTTTTCACCAACAACGAATGGCTGTCCTTTGAGTACGCCAACGACATCATGTATTTCCACAACACGGGCTACGGCCGTCCCGTGTCGCCGGTGATCGGTTTCCCCTGGGTCAACGCCAGCTACAACCTCCTCTCCGCAGAGACAAGCGAACAGGACATCTACGTCTCCTTTACACACCGCGAGGTGCCGCCAACCATTGTCACAGCGCTGGGCCTATTCAACAACAGTGCTTATTCGGGCGCGGATAATGTGAACGCTACCATGCCAACGAATGAGGTGAATTACGATCGTGCATGGAAGAGCAGTAACATCTTGCCATTTTTGGGAAATATTGGGATTGAGCGGATGGAGTGCAGTGGTACTCAGAATGGATTTGACGAGGGTGTGTACTTCCGGGTGTTGGTCAATGAGGCTGTTAAGCCGCTGATCGGGTGTCGGGATGGGCCTGGGGAGAGCTGTAGCGCGGAAAAGTTTGCCGAGTTTATTAGCGGGAAAGAGAAGAGGTTTGGAGATTTTGGCAGGTTTTGTGGCAATTCTTCTGCTTTGGGTACTTTGGATATCTATAATTAGCAGTGGTGGTGGTGGTACGCTGGTACTTACGTCGGGTAGTAATGCCTGGGATGTGATTTATGAAGCACGTTCATAAGCGGAAATGCTGTGATTATTTGTAATGATCCACTCATGCGTCTTTAGACAACCCTTTCAACACAAATAAATCTGACAAAAGCCTGAAATGGGATAGTTTATCGGGGGCGCTACGGTGATGCTACTACCTAGGCAGCTCATATTCTGAAGCATGACACCTTCTCCAGGAGTAGGTACTAAGGGGAAAATAGAACAGCTAAAGAAGCGTGTAGCTTTAAGATATACAGACTGAGGGGTGGTAATGTGCAAGCAATGCGGTTGAGAGACAGTACAGGTAGCCGTATTATACACTTCCCCTGCCAATGATCCCTCGAGCGCAATATGCTGCTTATCTTCCACGTAGTGTTAATATACTAGTAGCATTCTGCGGCTCTACATGCTGTGTATACTAAAGATAGCGCTCGATAAGGTTGGCAGCTGAGCAGTGGGGCACTTTAGTACCACCGTCGGACTCCGGCCTACTTTTAGTACTAACAATGTGTCCCTGAGAGGGTAAGCATACTACGTAGTTATTGAAGACTAAGTTTGTGTGGGGTGTACCTTCTATACATACATAGGCTAGACCGTTCTGTACGAGGCCCTATTTAGCTTGGTTAGTATTGTTTTTAACCTTACTAATGGTATGGTTCGGATGGCGGGGAGTACAATATGTATCAGTTACAAGACTATGCCCATCCGATAGATTTACCGCATCGTCGCCATAGTTCATGATTGATAGTCGGGAAAAAAATATGAGATTGTCTGGGTGCTGAGGCGCCCATAAATGGCCTCTTGTAGGGCATGTAACACAATGAACAACCTATAGTGCATAACATGGAGAATAGGTCCTAAGACTCAACTAATGGTAATAGTGCAAAGTCCCTTCCGAGCACTAGAGCAAGAACCGGAATCCCACTGCCACTGCCCGGCCAGGCAAGCCGTGTTCTTCATTCTCACGAGCCCGCGCGAGATCAACACCTTCTAATTCATCGAGCTGTTTATTCAATCTACCCAGATAAATGCGCAGGATGGTGGCGATTACGATTGTCATTGCAAGCAAAGCGATATTGACACTGAAGGCGGCGATATAACGAGGAGAGGCGGAGTCTATTAATCCCAACATAGGTTAGCGAGTTTTATGTGGCTGGAGATAATGGAGGTTTTGAACGTACCGGGGTAAAGATATGGCATATAGATCTGGCACACATTACTGAGACAATTGATGAAGGCCAAGGCAGCGGCCCGTTTTGTGGCTGGGCGAGGAAGGACTGCGATCGTCAGTAAATGTAACTAGTCTCTGAGCCTGCACCATAGATGCTTACTGTTTGAAATATATCCCAAAGACACTACGTAACCTGCGTAAATGCCACCGAGCATTATACACATTGCCCTAGACCATCTTGTGTTAGTCATCTCGATCGGGAGGACCTATTAATTAGACATACACATATCGGGCGGCGAAGTTATTGCCTGCCATAGCTAATATGAATGCCACAATAGCAACGACAGGCGGGAGTGCTATATGAAGGTATCGCTCGCCTGTTCGATCCGCATCCCAGGCATGCACCAACACAACAAGGGTAGCGATGAGATATGGAGGTGTAGTCAGAAGCAAGGTATCAATGTTGTTTCGGCCAAGTCCGGCCATCACGCTGGATGATAGCGATAAGTATCTGTAGACCGCCGGAGAAACTGGCTATAGCTCATACCTGGGAAAGAACGTTGTTACGCATCCGGCAGATGTGCAGCCGTAGATGACGCCTAGCATTAGCCAAGTCTTTATGTCCCTGTTGTGCGATGATGAGCTTGGTGAACAAAGCAAATGGAAGATTAAAGTACTTACGTGACGGCGAGCTTTGCACCCTTGGTCATGCTTTGATGTTCATTATCCACCCAGTCATCTTCGCCAATGTCCTTTTCTAGTCTCCATGCCGCAAGGACTTTCTCGTCATCTGTTAGCCACGAAGTGGTCCGGGGTAGATCGGGAACAATGAAAAATGCGATCAAAGCCGCAAAGATCTAAGATGGTCAATTTCAATTGGGTTACTAAACTCAGAGAAATGGTGTTTACAGTTAGCGCTCCCTCGATAATGAAAAGCCACCTCCATGCAGCGATGCCTCGTGCGCCGTTCAAGCCGCTCGTGATACCGGCGGCTATCAGACCGGAGAATGCACCCGAGATCAATGAACCTGCGTATAGAAACGCAGTCCGTTTTCCCAACTCTTTCCTGGTATACCAGGCTGATAGAAGATAAAGACATCCGGGCTAAAACGTTAGCAGATATCTAGAAAGCAAGTAGAGGGATTCTCACAAAGTATGCAGCCTCGACGAATCCGAGTAGAAACCGAACGACCACCAAGCCAGCGAAGTTGTGGGTGGCCGCAGTGCAACACGAAATGATACCCCACGCTACCATACAGCCAGGTAGATATATTGAAGGCTTTCCGAGCTTGTTGAGGATCAGGTTCGAAGGCACTGCGCCAATTAGTTGGCCTGGCCACAAAGGGAACAGAACAGTAGTACTGACCCTGCATAAGAAGATACCCGACGAACAGGATACTAACACACACCTGTGGCGTGTTAGGTCCTCGCATGCCTTGTAAATATCTATCCTTCATAGTTTGTTGACTGTCATACCTGGTATTGGTCACCTCTAAGGTTTAGGTCCGCTTGCAAACCAGCCAATTTCGCTGCTGCAATGTTGTTGCGATCCAGATAGTTCAAGATGTACATAATCAACATCATGATGAGCAGCCTGATATCAATCTTCCTAACTAGCTTTGCCTCCCGTCGCTGTATCTCTTCTGGCGTCAGATCTTGCAACGATGTTGGCACAGCAACAGTGCCCGAGCCCTTTAATGTGTCCTCCATCCCGGGAAATTCGATGTGTTCGGCCCCTGAATTCTTGACATTATCCATAGAAGGCAATTGGGTGATGGGACAGGAGCACTTGAGAGTAGTAAACTGAGATGTGCAGGGGCGAGTATGTTTGCCGGACGAGAGCAATGGAAGCGAAGAGAGCGGTTGTGGGTATTCCAGCTTATCCTTAAATGTTTGAGGATTCTCGAGCTTGGACTATTTTTGCACCAGGCTACCCCGTGGGGTGGTGAACAACCAACCGGGTTCGAGGATGGGGATCTCTTCGGATATCTCAGGCGGGGTTGATGCACTTGGCAGCGGGAGCAAACAACCAGCCATATCCAGTGCATATCCGATGATTTTCCGGACTGAAGGGTCTGAGGACCAGGGGAAAATGGTTTGCTTCTACAACAAACCTAAGCCATGGTAATGTATGCTAACTTTTTCATTATACATCCGGCGTCAGAACTGAGATCACTGGCAGATTACCAGAATGCACGATGAGAAAAGAAGCATAATTTGATTATATTGTGCTGTATAGCAAATGTTACAACCTTTATTACTCTTCTATCTTGATCCTAGCACCGTTATCCCCTTTGCCAACTTTTGAGGACATTATGTGTATACTGGAAGGGAGAAAGAGGGCTCTTCACCTCCCTTTAAAAATGGGTAACTAATCACTTTACATAAAAGGGTACACGGAAGAATATCATTCCTTTTGGTTTGCGTCCAAAAATTCCAGCAGTCTTTGCGCAACAGCAGATGGTTGCTCTTCGGGGAGGAAGTGGCCACAATCGTGAATAGCGCCTCCGGAAACATTGGCCGCGAACTTCTGAACCAAATCGATCATACCAGCACCAACCGAGCTCTCTCCACCCAGAGCTAAGACAGGAATATCAAGTGGTGTCTTAGCGAACTCCAGATTCTGCTTCGAGCTCGTCTCAAAAGACCGATAGTACTCGAATCCTCGACTCATGGCTCCTGGTCTCGAATAAACTTGAATATAGCGTTCAAAATGATCTTTGTGCATACCATCGGGATGAACTGTCTTCAAATTGAAGAACCAGGTCAAGAGCTCCCGTTCACGACCACTCGTCAAGATTTCAGGTAACTCGGGAAGCGCATTGAAGGAGAATTGCCAAAGACGCAAATTGGTCTGCTGAGACAATGGGAACTGAAACTGGGGCAAGAAGCCCGGCACTGATGCATCCAAAATACTGAGCGATTTGATTTTCGATTGAAATTGAGCGGCCCAGGGATACGCGATCCAACCGCCCACATCATGGCCAATTAGATGATACGGTTGTTCTTTCAAAGCGTCGTGAATGGCTTCGGCCATGATCTTGCTCACGTTCGCGGTATCATAGCCATTGGCGGGAGGAAGAGAATCACCCAAGCCTGGGGGGTCAAGTGCAAAGAACCGGTAGTTTCTGGAAAGTGGCTCAAACATGTCACTCCACGCTTCTGCTGTCTGTGGCCAGCCGGGAATGAGCACCACAGGAGGACCTTGACCGCCGACGATGGCTCGGACCCCGTGCAGGAGACGGGTGACTTGCCACTTTGCCGTCATTATGTAGATATTTGTCGGGTTAAATGACGGAATGAAGATTTGAATGACGTCTAATTGTCGGCAAGGTTAATTCCAACGACATTCAATTAATAGTTTACCTGGATACCGAACTGTGCTCATATAATTATAGTCATGAGTCACAGAGACTTCGATGAGTCAAGGCAAGGGGATGATGCTAAAATCTCATATCTACCGATACTAACTGTATTCAGGCTAGGGTATAGCGCAAGTCCAATATTTGATTATAGAGGACAAATCTCCGTTATATAACGATCCGTTTCAAACAAAGTCAGTAACTACCCAATGCAACTCGGAAATAAGGATTATGAGATAGGCAGATTATCAAGATATCATATCCAATGTTTCTTTTTTTCTTTCACAGGCGTTGCCAGTCTTCGGCGAAGTGGGTCCCACAACTTGCCTGTAACTTACCCGGCCGGCACATAAAGCTTAGCTGGTTAGCCTATTGCGATGTTCGGCAAGATGGGTAGAGGTAGGTCACAAGCTATCCTCGCGAGGAAACTCAGTGTCTTGATTTTTTCTCCTACGCGCTCATTTCTGGCATCGGTAAAACCCCCGCAGAGCCGGAGTCACTCCACCACCAATTGCACTATTTTTACTTGCTGTGGGCTATTCCACACAAATAGACTTTCTAAAGGTAACAAGGGCGTGAAAATTCTAAGATATCATACTCAATGAACAAGGTGAGGTAGTTGTTGCGTGTCGGCCCCGGACGGATCAAGTAGACCTTATTACCGGTCACGGTCCTCATAAATTGGGATATCCTCTTTGATTGCTATTGATCGCAGTCCGCCAATTTATAAAGGAATATTGATGGTCGTGGATCACGTACTAAGAATGTCGATGGATGTTTGCATGTATCCGTCGAGATATTTCTTGGAGTAAACAAGATCTCACGGGGTATTTGGCAGCACCAACTTTACTGATTAAGCTCCATTATCTATCAGAGGATTGCACTTAAGATAGCAGCCTATCATCAGTGGTGATCAGACTGTAGGGACAATGAAGAGCGAGGGAACCATGGCTACCGTGCAGTCCACTTACTACATATCGTAAACCTGCTTGCATCTGATTGATAGTTCGCCTACTTCTTTGTGTTCAGATAGAGTCACGACTAGTAGTGAAAGGGGAGCGAAACTGAAAGAGCGCGTGTTTCAAGTTTGGTATTTTGAATAAAGAGTTTCACTGCGCTTTATGCTCGAGTACAAATTCAGCAACCAGACAATATCTAGACCATATTGCCTTTTGGACATAGCGAAAAATCACCTAAGAGCTGCATTGGGATTAGCTGGTCAACAGTAGGAGATTTTGTCACAGCTAGGTAACTTGTTAATAACTCTTTGTTCAGTTGCCTGGCCGTCGAGATAAGTTATGTAGCCAGTCATTTAGTGAGAACATTTAGTTAGCAGCTACTGCTTAATATACACATCCAGCCTTGTTTGACCCAGGAAACAAGAGACCTCAGGACTGTGCGCATGTGACCTATGTGACCAAGCATCAATTACGACAGATTCTCTTTCCGCCCAAACTCTGAGCTCAACTTCTCTGTCGTCCTCCAGCAACACCTGTCAAATGTACTATCATGGCTACTGTGAGCGGTTCTTTCAGTGCTGACACCAATATTATTCTTGATATTGGAGAAATCTTACACGAACGATATCGAGTATTACAGCAACTGGGTGCTGGGCGCTATTCAGCTGTCTATCTAGCGCGGGACCAGAAGTACGCTTTTCCTACGCCGTACAAAACACACAGAAAATTAACTTTTCATAGGGAACTATCTTACAAGGCAATAAAACTATTGAGGGAAGATTGCTATGACGGAAAACATGATCTCTTTGAGTTAGAGATACTGAAGCATTTACGCGAGGCGGATCCCAATCATCCAGGCTATCAGCACATTATTGTCCTTCTTGATGACTTCACCTACATTAGCCGGTCGGGTACTCAGCATGTCTGCCTTGTAATGGAGCCAATGGCAGAAGACATGAAGACCTTCCCCCTTTTCTTTGAGGGTGCCCGGATACCTAACCACATCATGAAGAAAGTAACGAAACATTTACTATCTGCCCTGGAATACGCACATGCTTGTGGTGTCATCCACACAGGTAAGTCTATATGCTTCTTGGTCTAAAAAAACATTCGTGTTGACTCTCACTTGCCCAGACATCAAACAAAGTAACATTATGGTGAATTTCCGAAATCCAGCTATAATAGATAAGTATTTGGAAGATTCCTTGTCAAACCCAGCTGCCGATCTTGGAGAGTACAACTTCGATGATGCTTCTGAGTTGGTTCAGGCGGATGTTGTACTAGGTGACTGGGGATCGGCGAGTTGGGTCGAGAAGCATCTGACAGACTTCATTCAGCCTACATTACTTCGCGCGCCCGAGGTTATACTTGGGGCACCCTGGGGAACCAAGGTAGATATTTGGAATCTAGGCGCCCTTCTACCCGAGCTCCTGGATGCCTTACGCATGTTCAATGGTAGGGCGGATGTTACAGGGGGTGTTTACCTTACCAAGCATCACTTGGAGGAAATAGAAGCCCTGTTTGGTCCCTTTCCCCCCGAGTTGTTGCAATCTGGAGACTCGCAAATTGTTCAACAGTTTTTCGACAAGGAGTTCAACTTCCGTAATTGGACCCAGAGACCACCAGCGGTACTGGAGCGATGGATCGAGAGTATTGGTGGCCTCGAAAAATCCAATTTCCTTTCAATGATACGCTCAATGTTGGTCATCGATCCGGAACAGCGAATGACCGCTCTTTCTCTTCAAGATGCGCCGTGGCTTAGTACATAGAAGTTTACTCAAGGTGCGTACCTCAGATCAGAGGTCAGGCTGAGACTCAATTGCAAGGCTTCAAGTGTATTACTTAGTAATATAAAGGATAACCACGTATAAGGGCAGCTACTATTGCGGACAATCGACAAGCACTTGTAGCCTGGAAGGGAATAGTCCGAGATTTACCCCGCAAACCTTCTGTTACCGCTTCCTTTGCTGATCAACAGCTCCCTGTTAATCGGATATGTAAAATGCCAGTCCTTCCCCCGGAAATAAGTGATCGGATAATTCTTCGACCAGCGCCTGATCAATATCTCATATGGAGGTGCGAAACAGTCCAGCAAGCAAACGGCGGATTGCTAAGAAGCGCGTCCGAGTTACGCGGGCTTGTGATGCCTGCAAAAGGTGAGCCAATGTTGGGAGCCTTCACCCCGAAGGGCAAGCTTACACAATAAACCTAGGAAGAAACTGCGCTGTAGTGGGACATTACCCTGTCCGACGTGCCTCAAAACTAACAAAGCGTGCGAGTACACAGCCGAGTATAACAGGGGCAAGCCCCCTCAGGTCCACATCGCTCAGCCGTCAGTACAGGGCAATGAACAGCAGCAGAAAGCTGCAGCCGAGGGGGGCAGACCACCTCCTGCACCATATGCGCATATTCTGGAGCGCTATAGCATGCCCGACAGCCAGATAGACAATCCGCCCTCTCGCGCCTCGCCTGAGCATCAAACGGACTTGGAGGGCCATTATGTCGGTCCTTCGTCTGGGGTATCCTTTCTCCTCCGAGCGCAGCGGAGACTCCAAAAATATGTCTCGTTGCCAACTAACACGCCGATATTTACGTTCGGAGACTCTCCACTCCCGGAGGTTGAGTCGACCTTCATGCTATTGCCTCCCCGGAACGAGGCCAATGCGCTCTTGGCCCGGTACTTTGACTTCGCCTTTCCCACACATCGCTTTCTCCATCAGCCCCAGGTTGAGGGCTGGGTTGAAGAATTCTATCGCGCTGTGCAAGAGTCGGAGGCAGTCAGTCCCGGCATGCGGGGAAGAAGGGCAGTGGTTCTTATGGTCTTCGCCCAGGCAAGACAAGGCCAGCCTGACAGGGACAAATCGTCCGTCCGATCTTTGATTAGTAGGTCCGCTGGCACGGAATTCTTTCCAACAGGTTTGATCAACTCACGAATGGCCAGTGCGGGCTACTTTACAGCCTCGGAGCAACAGCTCTCCGCCGAGACGGGACCCGTGCGAATAACTAGCGTTCAGGCACGGCTGGCCCAGTGCTTCTATCTTCTGTCTCAATCTCGCATCAACCACTGTTGGAGTTTGTTCGGAACCACTGCTCGACTGGCCATGACCATCGGTTTGCACCGTGCAAGAAGACGTGAGTATGGTGCCAAGGTCGATCATATCGAAGCTGAAAGTCGGAAGCGCGTCTTCTGGTGTGCCTACAGCTTAGATAACTATCTGAGTGCTGCTTTGGGCCGCCCTCGGATATTTCACGATGATGACATTGATCAAGACTTTCCTACTGTTGCTGATGACTCGTGGATCCTCAGAGACCGAATCCTCACCCCCGTGTCGACGACCCAGAGTATAATGCTCGCCCCACTTTACCATGCCAGGTTGTCCGTCATAATTGGTCGCATACTCCATGACATATATGGAGTTCGCAGAGGTGGCTTACAAGCGGAAGTATCTGCCGCCGCTCAACACGGTGCTGAACTTATCAGTTGGCGTCAAGAGATTTCCAACTTCCTCGACACCCCGAATGTGGATCTTTTGATGTTGACGTACCAGCGCCAATACACAGTGCTGAACTTGGCCTTCTATCACGCACAAATACTACTCTACAGGCCATTTATTCTGCGCAATTTTGGGATCGTCAGTCGCGAAAGTCCACGAGATGGCCCGTCCAATAAACCTATCGACGATTATATCGAGATTTGTCTTGACGCGGCTATGAGGATTGCCGCGATTATCCGCGAGCTTTGCGAGAAACGGCGGATGTACAACACATTCTGGGTACGTAGCATCTTCTTTTCGCTGGTAGTATTAGCTGATGTCGGACAGTTTACACATTACTACGCGTTCTCAGCAATTATGATTCTGTATTTCCGAGTTATCCAGCTGTGTGCCCAGAGGGGCAATGTACAGGAAGTATGCCTCAAATATCTGCGGACAGGGGAGTGCGCCCAGCAAGATCTTGCTAGCTGTAGCTCCCACTCTTCTTTCGTACAGCGCTACGTCGTTGTTCTTGAGGAGCTTCGCCAAGAGGCGCGAACGGCCGTCAATCAGCCTCTACCCCATGATCATGGGATCTCAAACATTGGGGCTCCAGACTACGAGGAAACAACCCTCCCGGGTGAACCTACACTGAATCAAACCGAAATAGCTGGCGCACCACAGAGTGGCAGCCTGGTACCTCCTATAATGGAGGGCAATCTTTCCCAATGGGAACAAGATTTGACTGAGGATGGCTTTACTGTGCCTGGCCTTTCAGGATCTGCAGAATGGGAAGGAATCGACTCCTTAGCTATCGCAGGACTGGGGGAGTTAGACTACCTGCTCCCTCATATAGACCATCCTGAAAAATAGCACTCTTGGCCCTGGCTCATTTATTGACAGGATCGCGTTGATCGACAATTGTGTAATAGCCCCGCAGTGCCTTTTTATATATCCATGTAGAGCTACTTAGTCAGAAAGTCATATCAGTGAGCTATCTCAGTACTCACGGAAGCTTTATCTATTCCCAAATATTTGCCAAGGCTATAGTCTTTCACATTGGCGACTCTAGCTCTGACTGATGGCTTTTCCGTTTGGCTTACATTTCCGCCCGAGAGCCCGGAAAAGAAAAGTCGGATAAGTCTACTGTGCCGAGGCAGTACCCCTATTAATCTCATCGAAAGATCCTTACCAGTGCTCGCAATTTTACCTCTGAAGACTGTGCGTGATTTCTAACCATCCTGTATCGTTCTCATGATGCATGACATGCAATTTCATCATCGTTCATTTTGTTTAAATCGTTGGTCACATAACAAGAAATGTAGCTTCATCAAATTCCATGTCATGCTTCTCCCTTGTAATTGGTTACTTCGCACTCAATCACGCTTTCCACCCCAGCACCAGCGCTCCAGATCTGTACAATCCTCAGACCAGCTCGTCTCTCAATCAAGTCATACCACGCGGCCCGAGTGCGCTGTTCAGAAGAAAATAGTGCCAACATCATCATATCAAGCCCAGTAATCTCCCAATGGGACCCGGTCTCCGGCACAACGAACTCATTTATGAGTAGTCGGCTGTACCCAGGTTTCATAGCCTCCTTGACACGCTTAAGTAGTGTTTCACATATATCGTCACACCAGTTATGTAAAGTCGAGTGTAAGTAGTAGGCCCGAGCGCCTGGATATATACAAATCATGCATTAGCCTGAACGTGGTATATGAAGAAATGAAAAAGACTGTACACACCTTTAACAGGCTGCTCATCCCGAAAATCATACTCCATACGGACAATAGATGAATCTAAATTCTTGACTTGACCAATCATCATGGGCAAGTCTTGGAGGATGAGCTTCCCGGGCGCATCCGGAAATGCAGCGCGGAATCTTTCCAGATCGTGGCCTACGTTACCACCGATGTCCACGAGAAAAGATGCATCCGGGCTTGGATCAGCGCCATTAATGAGCCTCTCCTTCACAGGATAGATATCAGGATGAATCCACCATCGGCGACCGAGATTGTAACCACCTAGATAATCATTCAGGTGTTTCCCATAACCTAACTCATTTACCCAGCTGAACAGGTCCTTGTCAGTACCATACGCACCCATGAGCGATGTATCCTCAGGGTTAGTTGGGTTTGTCCATCCACGCTTGCGAGAGAATTCATGGAATCTTAGACAGCCAGCACTGGTACATGCAGTGCTAGTGCGCAACGGAATAGCTATATTAGCTATGACATGATCAAGGTCTGAAAGTGTAGAGTATACTCACAGGCCGAGATATCCATTTCCAATCTGAGGGAGACTAAGGGCTTTGGTATAATTAGTGGGCTGGTACTCGTCCTCACCGACCTCGTTGAGGAGACCCATGGCGCTGAGGTGGCGCAGGAGACGACCTGGTAATAAGTTAATGAGGTTCATAACACCTAGGAACATGGCACATACTGAGAAGTTTCGGTTCGATTCCTAGGCTCGACGCCAGGTCTGGAACCCTCTGCGGTTTATCTCCATTCTGGGCCATCAAGTCCCACAATGCTGAGTCCAAGCCAAATCCTACTGCCATCATAGCTCCGATCTATTGCGGTTAGTGTACTCTGGATTCGTTGTGACCAAAGGTACATACCTGTCCCCAGCAGTGGTCAGCCATAATCTCTCTAGGGGTGGATAGAGCTAGGAATAGCTGTCGACATTTGAATATTGCATCTTTGCGGATTTCATCCGTATCAATACCAAAGCGTTGAATATATTCGCCAATTTCACTCAATAGCTTGGGAACCTCATCAAGATTGCTAGGAGATGAAGCGACAGAGATATCTACAGTAGTTGAATCTTTCACTTTGTTGTCTGCATCCATTTTTGTTGATACAGCTCATTAATGGGAAGGACACACGATAAGGGGCTTATATGAAGAGGAATTAATGCAAGGGTCTGCTTGCCGCCTTTGAAGTAGCCAGGGCATGTTGGAAAGCAAAAAGAGAGAACAGTGTTACCCTTGAGATCACCTGTCCCGTTTGATGAAAATTCCAGCCGAATTTGGCTCCATGCAGCATCCTACATACCCTAGATGAGAACCATACACCTCTACTACAACAGGATCTGCGGCATTCCCAGGTCCTTGTTGCGGGTCAGCTGTCCCTTACCTCAAGATGCGAACATACTGATGTTATCAATGCTATTGCGTTTCGGAGGAAAATTATTTTGCTCGTAAGAAGTCTGTCGGTCAGTCTGGCAACACTTGACAGGCTCCAACTGCTCGGAATACAATGTTTCCAGTTCAAGGGACTACAACTCGTATTGGTCTTATGACCTACCATTATCGGACATACCTCGTACTATTGCCTTGATTTATTGTTCTGATTTGCAGGGATCTGCCTGCGAACTGGTGACGAGTACTCTCATTCTGTGCGCGATTGCTATTAGATGTAATACTTCATATGCGAGATAAACGAAACTAGTAAGTGGTAGACCTATTTATCGATACTGAAAATATCCAGCCGAACATCATTCCCCGCAATCTCCACTAACCACGCCATGCCACTTATGAAAAATATTCTCCGGATCATACCTATTCTTCACCATTCTCAGCCTCTCCAAATTGTCCCCGTATGCGTCAGTAGGCTTTACCGGCCCGTTCTCCATATTCAGATAACGCCCCACTGGCCCTGCCTCGAGATGGTCCCCTTCACAGTGGCTTTGACGCTCATATCCGTTGATATTTCGTATCACCGCACATAACTTCGCATTAAATTGACGCACAGCCGCATCCAGGCTGGAATCAGTCCATCCAAACATGGTAACGACATCATAGTACGCCCCGCGATTGGCGTACGCTGTATCATGCAGGGGAACTTCGCGTAGCTTGTGGGTGGAGAAAAGTTCCACTGCCATGGAGCAAACAGTAACATTCGGATGGTCATCATGAAACGACCAAACCATATCCGCCATTTGCTGAAAGGCTTCTATTTGCAGGGGCATCGTGACATTCGCAGAGCCTTGGAGACGGCGCATCCCGTATTCGCACAATGGGTTCTGTAAGGTGTTGACCTCGGCGATGGACATCATTTTAGTTGAGTCCATGATAGGACTCATGTTTAAGAGTCCTGAGAAGTAGCTCTTGGCTCCCCCCTGTAGACCATGATAAAGTGGGATAGCAGTGAGGATACGAGTTGTCCCATCCAGCGTGTGGCCCACGCCGATAGTCAAGCAATGACCTTCGCGATTATCTCGATTGTGGAACTCGTTGGCAAATGCCAAAAGTCCAGGCAGGGAATCCGGTGCAAAGGCGAGGATCCCGCTCCATACCTCTCCCTGGTGGTGGACACGGTACAAAAATCGCGTTACGACGCCAATCTGAGCCCCAGCTCCACGGACGGCCCAGAAAAGGTCTTCATTTTCTGTTTCTGAGGCGTCAAGGATGGAACCATCGGCCGTAACGATTTGGACTGCTATGAGGTTGTCGATCGCCAGGCCATGCTTCGCTGTCAGCCATCCATGGCCACCACCTAGGATTAACCCCCCAACCCCGGTGTGGTTCACCGCGCCTCCGACGACAGCTAACCCGCGGGCCTCTAATGGCTTGTCAATGTCGGCCCACAGGCATCCGCCCTCAAACGACACAGTCATACTGGTTTCATCCGCGTCGACCCTTCGCATATTTCCGAGATGTATGAGCATGCCTTCTGATGATGATGCCCCGCTAGTCGAATGACCGCCGCCACAGACAGCTAGGGAGAGCTGGCTAGCAGAGGCAAACTTTACGGCAGCAGCTACCTCCTCAGCACAGGCTGGTTTAACTACCACGCACTAGAAATGAGTCAGTATGGTCCCAGATAAATATAATGAAAGTTGGGCTCATGGTTAGTAGAAGATCTGGGGCTTAACTGACAGACTTCAATTCAGCCGCCTTGCTCCATCTCCTAAGGCTGGAAGCATATCCATCATCACTTGGCATCAATACTTCACCATTTGAAATGGCTGTGTATAGTCCGGTCCATTCAGGCATAATTGACAAACCATTAGTGTAACTCGCATATTGAGCTTGAAGAAGTTAGGAGGCATGCTAGTGCGACCTTTAGCGCCTTTTGTGGGGTGGGTGTGTGAGCCAACTGACGCCTGTTAGAATATGTCATCGGAATCTTCTGCAAGTCCATCCCTGGAATCGTTTAGATGCACGCGTATCCGTTCTGGTAAACTCCTTGCTCCTAAGTACTAACCTTCCAAGCCGGCCGCGTCAGCCTGTACAACCGAACTTCCGTATTTGACTGGTGGCATGATTCTAATGACGAAGGACATGTACTGTGCACCCCCCGCTGCTTAATGTATTATCAATGCATTCGATGAAAAGCAGGGACGGAGGACCCCTTCTAACCAGATTCGTTAAAGTGCCAGGAGAGGATCAGTCAACAGATACTCAGGTTAACTTCTCATTGGACAATACAGTAAAAGCTGCAGTAGTCATATATCTTCTTTCTTTCTTCCTTGAAGCCCTTTGAACAAGGATTAGCACCTTGTTGCTGCCGATCAGCTATGCAGTGGTTTGCGCCTAGTCCTTCGTCATGTAAGCTCAGCGTCTGCAATGCGCATCTATTCTTCAAGCGCGTTACTCCTATCAGTTACTGATAGTTATGAGGGGCAACCATATTTGTTGTATTATGCTACTTCGTGGTCACTTGATACGGATAAAGTTCATTCCTGCTTTTTCTCTGGATGAAATTAGGTACTTATATACTGTGCGACAACCTCAAAAGAAGCATCAAGGCTTTGTTTGGCAGCTTTACTTGCCAATTTGGTATAAACCTGCGAACCAAAGTGAGACAGGAATGATAGAAACATCCATCCCGAATTGGGTGTGACCTAGGAAGACAAACAGCGAGAAACCCTCTCAATCAACTTTCGGCTTCACCACCATTACCGCAATGTCAACCAAGACACGAAAACCCGATAAAAAAGATACTGACGCATCGAGCTTCCAGGACATACCGGAAGGGGATCTGAGAAAAATTTGGAAATGGAACGAGGTGTGCCCACCACCAATCATGCGCTGTGTCCACGAAATATGCGAAGAAAAGGCACGAGGGCAAGTTGATGCACTGGCTATTTCTGCTTGGGATGGCGAATTGCACTACGGAGAGTTGATACAGCTCGTCACAAAACTAGCAAAATGGCTCTTCCTTTCTGGAATACGACCTGGTATGATTGTGCCTCTCTGCTTTGAGAAATCGCTGTGGACAACCGTAGCTATGCTGGGTGTGCTCAAGGCTGGTGCGGCATTTGTTATGCTTGATACCTCACTGCCTGAACAGCGTCTTCAGGCCATTGTTGAAAGCGTAAACGCAATTATGATCTTATCGTCTGTTTCAAGCAACACCATCGCGGCATCATTGGCTGAAACCGTAATTGCCATTGATTCGACTTTCTTCTCGGCGTTGAATAACCTGGGAGGACAAGACCCGCCACCAGTCGACCCATCGTCACTCATGTACTTAGCCTTTACATCAGGTTCCACAGGCTCACCAAAGGGATTACTCATAACACATACGAATTATGCATCATCTCTCCATTACCAACTGCCACTCCTGGGGTTCACTAAGGAAACCAGATTCTACGACTTCTCTTCCAATGGCTTTGATGCTTCACTCAGCCACACATTTACGATCCTCGCCGCAGGCGGTTGTTTATGCGTGCCATCCGAGCAAGACCGGAGAAATAGCTTGGCTCAAAGCATAACGTCTCTCCGTGCAAATGCTATCGGGCTTACCCCATCAGTTGCCAGGTTGCTGAACCCTGCTGACACCCCAACATTAGCAACGCTCTTGTTTTTCGGCGAGGCTTTGCGAGTCAGCGATGTTCAACGCTGGTGGGATAAAGTGAGGATCAGCAATATATACGGACCTAGCGAGTGCACGCCCTACAGTGTCATCAACACCAGCGCGGCGAGTCCGCAGGAGACCACTCGACTAGGCAAAGGTGCAGGACTAGTGACATGGGTCGTTGATCCAGATAACCACGACTGTCTACTACCCCTTGGCGAAACTGGTGAGCTACTTCTAGAAGGACCACTAGTGGGCGAAGGGTACTTGAATGATGCAGAAAGAACTGCACGAGTGTTTATCCGGGACCCAGTATGGCTACGACAAGGTGGACCCTATCATCCAGGACGATGCGGACAACGTTTGTACAAAACAGGGGATCTTGTCCACTACAACAACGATGGAAGCCTGACCTATGTCGGTCGCAAGGACACGCAGATTAAGATTCACGGGCAGCGAGCGGAACTCGGAGAAATAGAGTTTTGCCTGGAGCAGCACTTGCCACAAGCCAAACAGGTTATAGTTGAGACAATTACAGTCAAACAGGAGGAATCAAGCACAGTGTTGGCAGTTTTCATTCTGCCACGTCAGACCTCGGCCAATACCGAGGGACCGGGAATGACTTCCATGGAGATATACCATGTGCCCCTTGATGTCATACAAGTACTAGCTGAGAGCCTGCCAGCATATATGATACCGTCTTTTTTTCTGTCGATACGTGAATTCCCCAGGACCATGTCAGACAAGTTGGACAGAAAAAAGCTGCGGGAAGCAGGTACTTTATGGTTCCAACAATGCGTTAAGGACCAAAGCCACAGGGCCAAGACAAAACCAACATCTCCTGTGGGAATTGAGCTTCAAAGAATCTGGGGGGATGTTCTATGTATTGACTCAGTATCAATCGGGCTTCAAGATAGTTTCTTTCGGTTAGGAGGTGACTCTATTGCAGCAATGAAGGTCGTGTCCAAGGCTCGACTGGCTGGTATCGGGCTGACGTTTTCCGAAGTCTTCCAGTATCCCACACTTGGTAGTCTGGAAGGTCGGTGTCGCCTTGAGCATGCCAAACCCATTGAATCGATTCCGCCTTACTCCCTTTTGGGGAAAGGATGGAATGAAGCACTTCTCCAGGACATTATGACCTATTATCAGCTGGACCCCGATACAGTGGAGGACGCATATCCCTGTACACCCCTACAAGAAGGTCTCATGTATCTATCACTGCAGAATCCAGGTACATACATGATGCAGCGAGTTTTGGAATTGCGTCCGGATATAGATACAAGAAGATTATGTTGCGCATGGGACAAAACGACCCAGAGTACGCCCGTCCTACGAACAAGGATCATACAACATACAGACATTGGCTTTTTGCAGGTGGTCTTAAGGGAGGACATCCAATGGAATCATGCGAAAAGCCTACAGCAATATCTTGAAAAAGACAAAGCAACTCCCATGGGCTTCGGAAAGCCTCTTGTACGCTGCGCGATTGTCACGGACGAAGAAGCCAACCGCCGATGGTTCGTATTGACCCTTCATCATGCTCTATACGATGGCTGGTCAATGCCGCTATTGTTGCAAAGGGTCAGAGATGTATATCATGGCATGCCCAAGGGTCCCACTCAACCAGAGTTCAAGGCCTTCATAAAATACATCCAGGGCCAGAGCCACGAACGCGCTGTAGGATATTGGAGGGATAACCTTGCCGAATGTGACTGCGAACCATTCCCATGTCTTCCGTCGTCAGTACAGCGGGTTAAGACCGACAGTGAGATTACACATAAACTATCATCATTAAAATTACATACGCTAGGGTTTACGCCCGCTTTACCCGTCCGTTCAGCGTGCGCTCTCCTCCTCAGTCACAGGACCAACTCAGACAAAGTAGTGTTTGGGGTCACCACGTCAGGCCGAAGCGCCCCTATTACTGGTATTGAGGAGATAGTAGGCCCAACAATTGCGACGATCCCACTCTACGTCAAGATACAGCAGTCACAAACCATTATGGAATACCTTGAAAGCATTCAGGGGCAGATAACGACCATGATACCTTTCGAGCAGTTCGGCTTGCACAACATCGCCAAAACCAGTCCCGGTGCTCGTCGAGCGTGCATGTTCCAGACTCTTCTCATTATTCAACCCGAGGAGACTGCAAAAGCCGACAATACGTTCGGGGAGTGGGAAGGTTGGCAAGATCCGGAGTGGGACAACACTTACGCTCTTGTACTGGAGGTGCAGCTTGGGACCGGACATGTCAGCGCCAGATTCGATTCTAATATGATAAAACCGTGGATCGTCCAGGATTTACTAGAAGGACTCGACCTTGTGATAGAGAAGCTCGCCACAGCACAATCCGATAGGAGAATAGCAGATCTTGATCTAGTGACGCCCCAGAGTCTCGAGCGCGTATGGGGATGGAATAGAATCGTCCCATCATTGGTCAAAGCAACAGTCAACGAGCTTGTTGAGAAGCAGGTGGAGCAACAGCCGACTGGAATGGCAATACACGCGTGGGATGGAGACCTAACATACGTTGAGCTTAACCAGCTCGCCACGAGCCTGGCAACCGAGCTCGCCAGACTTGGAGTCAGCCCATCCCTACTTGGGCCGAACAATGTAGTCCCACTTTGCTTTGAGAAATCAAAGTGGGCCATAGTAACAATCCTTGGGGTCTTAAAGACAGGTGCAAGCTTTGTGTTGCTCGACCCGTCTCTACCGGAGTCCCGATTGCGCTCTATCATTCAGACAGTCGGAGCTAAGATCTTGCTCTCCTCCGAAGCCAACATGGATTTAAGCCGCCTTTTATCCAAAATGGTAATACAAGTTGGTCCAGACTTGTCTAAGGTTCCTGGCCATATGGGAAATCATACCAAAAACATCACGGGACAATCGCCACTGCCTTCCAGCCTACTATATACAGTGTTTACTTCTGGTAGCACAGGGACACCTAAAGGAGTCATGGTATCACACGAGAATCTTTGTTCTGCTCTACATTATCAATCAGAACTTTTGAACTATACCGTCAGGTCACGAGTCTTGGATGGTGCATCATATTCATTCGATGCCGCGATCCATAACATTCTAACCACACTTGTGGTTGGAGGATGTCTGTGCATACCATCGCAAGAGAGCTACAAGGGTGACATCGGCAGTGCTATAGCGGCTATGCGCCCTACCATTTGTAACTTAACACCGACAGTAGCGCGTCTGTTAAACCCGGAGAGGGCATACGACCTCGAGACGTTGATACTTCTGGGCGAGCCCGTTAAAAGGAGCGATATTGACCGGTGGCGGTCGAGCAATGTTCGAGTCATAAACGCTTACGGACCTGCTGAGTGCACACCAATAAGCACTATCAACGCTCGTCCGTCCAACACAGAAGAAGCTATCCGAATTGGAAAAGGCACAGGTGTGACAACCTGGATTGTACATCCCGAGAATCATAATCGGCTGGTACCGCTAGGATGCACCGGTGAATTACTCCTTGAGGGACCCCTTGTTGGCTTAGGGTATATGAACGACCCAGAAAAGACAGGAGATGCATTTGTGGAAGATCCTGAATGGCTGCTCACAGGCTCAACGAGTCATCCCGGTCGCCGTGGTCGTCTTTATAAAACTGGTGACTTGGTGCAGTACAACGAGGATGGAAGCCTATCATTCATGGGGCGCAAGGACAACCAGGTCAAGATACGTGGTCAGCGGGTAGAGCTCGGAGATATTGAGTACCATGTTTCAGCTTCCTTGCCAACGAAAGCGAATCAAGTCGTGGCCGAAGTCGTTGTACTGGAGAATGACGGAGAGCCGAAACCGGTGCTGGTAGCTTTTATACACTCGGATAACAATGCTATTTCTTCCAGTAAGGAGACGACAGTCACTCCAAAGCTATACCAAATGACCGACGAGGTCATGCAACGGATTTCACGCCGTCTGTCTATTATTCCCGACGTTTTTGTCTCCATGCAGAAACTCCCTCTGACGCCAACAGGCAAAATTAATCGCAAACAGCTTCGTGAGATAGACCGGTCACTTCTCTTGAGTGAAGAACACGTCTTTGATGGCACTTCCGACCCCTCTCATAGCGGCGAAGACTCTCAAGGCAATTTGATACTGCAGAATGATCATCCTGCATACACAATCGCCCAGAAGGTGTATTCCATGCGTCCTTCGTGGATGAAGAACGGAGATCGAAACGCAAAAACAGGATACAGAGATATTTCTTTACACTCCTCTGGTCTGGACTCCGTCAATATGATGGAACTCACCTCTTTCTTTTCACGACACTTCAACATCCAAGTTGACATGCAATATGTAATGGCCAAGACGACCACAATCAGAAGCCTTGCAGAGTACGTACTTCACTACCAAAAGAACGGTACTAGCCCTTCCTCCACCAAGCATACTTCGACCGGGGTTGACCTCATGAGGGAGATCAATCGACATGACTCAAGGATTCGGGCTGCTCAACTCACACTTTTAGGGAGCAATAACCCAACATTCAAACATCCCTCAATCTGTAGAGACAAGGGATCATTCACCGTCTTCTTGACTGGCGCCAACGGTTTCCTGGGTACTCAAATCCTCCGCCAACTCCTATCTCACCCAAAGATCAACCAAGTCATCTGTATCGTCCGAGGTAATACCGATGACGCTGCGAGAGAGCGCACCATCAGCATGGCTAAAGAAGCCCTCTGGTGGACAGGCCACCACGCAGAGAAGCTCGAGGTTTGGCGAGGAGATCTAACATTACCAAAACTCGGACTTGACCCAGCTCGCTGGGAATCTCTCAGCTGTGGTCAAACAGTTGATCATATCATACACAACGGTGCTACCGTGCACTGGATGAAGGGCTACGACGTTCTAGAGGCTGCCAACGTCGGATCGACCATGGAATTGTTGCAAGTCGCTCTGAGATGTCCCAGGATGAGATTCGTCTATATCACAGGTGGTCGTCCATGGAAAGCTCATGAAGAGGAAGACGTTGTGGCGGAGCTGTCCGCTCCCGATGCTATCCCCTACAGCCAGACAAAGCTGGTCTCTGAAGTCGTCGTCCGACGCGCTGCAACGCGCAAATTACCGGGAAGCTCTACCCCCACTCCAGCAGGAAATATTTGTGTCATAAACCCAGGATGGGTCATTGGAACACCAATTGAAGGCTATTCCAATACTACGGACTATATCTGGCGGCTGGTAGCAACGTGCATCCGACTGGGGGTATATAACGCCGAGGACGCAGAGGGATGGCTATTTATTTCCGATGCTACTACCACTGCAGAGGCAGTTCTCGATGCGGCATTCAGCACGAGCAGCGATATCATAGGCGATGAATATGCTACACAAGGAATGGCTTGGAGAGAGTTTTGGGCCATACTGCAGGAGATGGGGTACACGCTGGAAGGAGTAAGTCTAGCTTCGTGGATGGATCTTGTCGGAGCGGATATTGAGACTGCAAGGGAGCAGCATCCGCTTTGGCCATTGAAACATGTATATGGATGGTTGCAGGGGAACGAGAGAGTGGCTGGTAGGACTAGAGGGCAATCTGGTGATACTCCGGTGCGGTTGAAGGTGGCTGTTAGGATGGGAGCTGAGTTCCTTGTCAGGGTTGGGTTTTTACCTGCGCCTACGGGTATTTTTCAAAGGAACTGGGTGAATGGGCAAGAGGTAATTGAAGCTTAGTTGAGAGAACAGGTAATTTGATGTGACTTGACAGCCAGTACTGGTCTTCAGGAAGAGGACGGTTTAGTGTGCAGTAGAAGAATCGCATCTGGAACACTTAGCGCTTTGTAGTCGATAATGGGCTTGGGTGGCGAAGTGAGTTTGAAGTACTAGACCCAAGGATAACATTATAATAATTGAGATTATTTTGTTCTGATATCTTAGTATTCTGGATAATACTATTACCCAAGGTTTAACAACACTGCAGTTCGCCTTGCAAGATCTCAATGTCACGGGAAAATCTCCTACTTTGTCATTAGCTATTCGTATGTTGTTTCAAAAGTCCATGTGTTTAAGATTTTTTTTGTTTGGCCTAGTTTCTAAAATATCTGTTGTGGTAGTATCGACCACGAAAACGAGAATCACCCAATGCCTGCTAATCACTTCCATAGCATAGTGTCCAGTCGCCCGAATTGTCAGTCTTAGTCCCTACTATGACGCTCAGAAGCTCTTTGGCATAAGCAGCCGCAGTCGCAGCCGCATATCCCTGCCATGCCTTATTTTTGTGCGAATCGGAATAATCACAGATTCCTCGAATCACCAGGCAAGGGAACGAGTCGACAATTCCAGCAGCTTCCATCTCGAAGCAGAGGATGTCATGTCCGTCCCGCAATTTGTCGCGAGTCTTGCCGTCTCTCATTACCCTGTTACCCGATGCGATGAGTCCATAGTGGATATGGGGAGCAGTAGAAAGTCGTGGTTGGCGCTGGACCAATTTCGAACGGTCGCATCCATCGCAGAAACTACCATCCCTGAGTGTATCATGATCGTAGTCACTCGCAAAGAGGATGTCGTGCTCTACACCAGGATGCGAGTATACTGACCTCATATCAGGATACTTTTTCACAATTTCAGTGAGATACTTATCCAGGATCGGTCGTTTTCGAAGATGATCCGCCATGAGCCGAGAAACAGCGGTCAAGAGCACATCCGGCGGTCGATTGAGAGATCCTGTGCGGTGGAACTCGCCACGTCGGACGGTCTTGCCAAAGTCGTACTGGATAATTCCCCCAAATGGCCCGGTCGGCTCTCCCACAACAACGTCACCCAAACGGACATCTTTCACTCCAGGGACACCGCCACCGATACCCACGAGCAAGCCAAATTTGAGCGACGGGAAGGTAGCCATCATGTTATCTGCAACTCTGGCAGCAGATACTGTACCTATCACGCCAGCTGGGAGACAGGCCATGACAACATTGTGCGAACCTATTCGACCAAGGCTATAATTATTTTGGTCGGCTGCATTTTGAGGTAACGGTGGGTGGATGACATCCAGGACTGCCTGGGCGGCCGCGAGTTCTGTCGGAAGGGCGCAAATCCATCCAACTGTATAATCTCGGTGGGTAAACCTCGCACGTTTGGAGGAGTTTTCAGAGGATATGTACTCTTCTGATGGCGCCGTGATCCCTTGAGAGGTCAAAGAATTGTGACTAAGAGAGGAAGCCGCAGTGAACTCTGGTAGGGAAGGCGTAGTGGGTTGTATCTGTCCCCCTGAATTAAGATCCATTTTCTGCACAATGTCGTCCAGTTCGTCAATATGGACGGTGTTGCCGAAGCCTTGGTGAAGTTCGTCCTCAAGAGGCTGAACAATACCTCCATATATCAACTGTTTGAAAGCCTGTTCGTTAAGCTCTTCGTCATCTGGACCCAACGCGATGTTAGGATCGAGGCATTTGTCCACTGCCTCTCGATAGTTGTCTGGAAACTCATCTTTGAACCGATCAAAGGCGGCGATTGCAAATCTATATCGTGTATTTTCGTCGACCAACTCTAAACTATCACACTCTCCTACTCCAAATTGACTAGCAAAAGGTTGCAGCTGCTGCACGACGTACAACTCTATGAGCATGATAGCCAACATGACGATCTCCGGGTGGGGGTGTAAAGGTAGATCATCCGGATCAACGTCGCCGTCCTGATTTGTATGTCCAGGGTCATCTACCGTCTCAGCTAAACTCGTCTGGATATATGGTTTCAGCGGTATCGCCGTGGAAGTACCATAAAAGAAGATATTATTGGGATGGAAGTTTGAGGGTCGCAACCATGGCGTGCCATGGAGATGTAGGACGGAATATGCAAGAAGAACGGAAAGAACACGCTTCATCTTCTCTGTGAGACAGCTCGGTCGACTTTTTATGATATCTCCTAGAGAGACCTGGAGTTTTGGTCTGTGTATGGGATGCTCGATTCGAAGTGAGTGGTCTTTCCATAGTTTGCCGTCCTCGACCCACAGATTCAAGCACATAGATGGCATCTTTCTGAGCTTATCGATTTGTTCACAGAGCCTTACCACCTCCAGTCGACTTTGTTCGCGTAGTCTTACAACCCCAGCCGACGGCGCTTGGGCCCCTTCGCACTATGGTTAGTATGTGTTAACGCATCACTGAAACTTGATCTCTCCTTCACAGGACTGCCAAAAATGTCGACATTGATGTGAGTTTCTTGCCAACTATTATAGGTCGCACTGAGTGTGACCAGTCCCTCAAACCTGCATCGATCCTGATCATGTTTTCGGTGGGTCGCTATTCGGAGTCCGACAGCGGACTGGTGATTGTGGACTTGGGAACACGCTCTGGCCGAAGAGAAGAGCGCCTGGAACACCGTGTTGGCGCTCAGCGAAACCGAGGAAGGTCTGCCTGTTACTCCAAGCACCGTACGATACTCTCGGGCATGTGAATTATCGGGGTGCTGCAACTGCAGCGCCGCAGCACACCCGCGGAGCAAGAGGATGATCTTGTATCTTCGCTCGTTACAATACAAATCCAGGCATCCCCGAACGTGATGCACCGTTCGACTATCGTCACCGTATAAACGCCAGTAGTGGATCAATGTGGTCAATTTTGGAAACTGTATTGATGGTGGAAGGGATGATTCGTATTCGGGCAAGACCGATGATTCTTGGAATGCCTCCAACTCCTTCAGCACCGGGTCAACCAGTGGCCCGACTTCGGCTGCCCATTCCGGGGAGGGACTTTGGCGAGGTACAAGATACTGCTTTAGAAGAAGGCAACATGCATTGAGATGACTAAAAAATACCCGCAGCTCTCGAGGTCCAGAGTCTCCGAAATAGTCTGCAACAGTGTGGAACGGCTCGAGGCAATCACGAAGAAGGTGGATGGTCTTCGCAAACGCATCCAGAGTCAGACAAAGCTCCCTAACATAGAGGGCACAGCGTGCAACGGACTCCTCACCTGGAGTGGCATCATTTAAGACTCATTTGTATGTCAGCAACCATGATTAAGAACGCCTTCTTTAGAGAAATATAGGAGTACTGGTCGTAGGGGAAGATGAAAGGAATAGAGAAGGTCGACGGTGAAGTGAGACTGGCTGATGTGGTGCGGGGTAGGGTAACTACTAACTACTAGTGCAGCTCAGCCTCGCGCGTCCACAACTCACCAACTTCCTTCCTTCCTGTGCTTCAAAACCACCGCTTTGATTCTCTTTCTTTACCTTCTAGTCGCAATGGGTACGGAGTCTTGGGAGACTGTAACCCTTGCCGAATCTGCGAACCTCTGTCTAGAATCTTTCACCAAGTGTCTCTCTCGGTTTCGCCATCTCACCGTCCGGGAGCGGTCAGCCATCGAAGACCAACTTGGACAATTCTCGATCTGGTCTTCCAATATAGGGATCTTTGCAGCAGCGAAGAGATCTCTTGATTACCGTCTTCGCAATGCGGCTCAGGTCCAACGACTGCTTCGCCGCTTGCTCCGGATACTAAACGACCATATCGAGCGACGTAACATCAACGTTATGACACCTGAGAAAGAGAGCTTTGGCTAACGCAAGCACTTTACAGTTTTGACAGCGATAAATAGCCCTCTTGAAGCAGGAACAAGTCAACCAAAGCCATCTTCCTCTTTCTCTGAGGCTACTGAGCTGGATCCTATCATCCGGGAAATAGCAGACGAAATCGACCTGATCCACAAGCTTTCCAGAACAATACGTATTGTGAGCAAAGAGTCCCAGTACTTAGGCACTTCACCCTCTAAACCGAGTGATAATGTCAGCGGTGATGTCAGGGGCTCACGCATTAATCAATCTGACTTGGAAGTCGTTCAAGATAAGTTTCCAAAGTGTGATGATCACTCCAGAGGAGGCTAGCAGCTACCATGCAGCTACGTCGAAGGGAACAGGTAGATCTTTACTGGAGCTCCCGACACTGGAATCCCCCCTCTCGATATCCAACTATTCCAAAAAGGGCCGTCTTTATCCCAGAATTATCTCCAAGTCGCAGCCATAGGGAATCCCCTCCAGTACAGCCAACATCTGAGGCCAAACAAGACAATTCTAGTAGCTCCTCTTTGTTCAGCCCGATTGTGCTAAAGTTCGAGGAACTCAAAGCACTACACAGTCTGTCTCGTCTCAGCTGGGCAGACACATCATCCAGGAGAGACGCCGAACACCTCGCGTTTCCTCCAGCGCCCATCGAATTAATTCTTCACAGATTACAACCCCTTAAAGATATTCATATAGCGACAGAAAAGGCGTTCCTACGGGGGAACACCAGCAACTCTCGTGGCGATACACCACCTATACCTTCAATGTTTAGCAAAGGCCAGCGTGATTGGCGCGAGATCAGGCTTTTGGACACAAAGCTGGATCTGGAACGCGAGTGGTCAATGTATATGGAAGGCGCAAAGAATGTAATCTGTCCTTATTGTCGTTGTGATCTCTCTAGTTCAGTTGCCATGAACCGGGAGAAGTGGAGGTAAGTCACGATGCATGGATTGATGTCAGCCCTGTTACATGAGACATTGTGTTAAGAAAATACAAGTGATCATGTCAAGGGTGACCTCGACCTCTACATTTGTTTGTTCGACCGCTGTGACTCTCCCTATAAGTTATACAATACCAAAGACGAAAGGTTGAACCATATGCGCCAACATAGGCCGCGATGGCGTTGTGCCGCACGGGCGCACGGTGTCCTTGTCTTCTGGGAGAAAAGCGAGTATGAGGAGCACATGCGCCGAAAGCACAAAAGCACCCAACCACAACTAGCCATACTCGCTGAGAGAAGTAGTCGACCCTCTGGCCCTGTCTTTCAGTCCTGCCCGTTGTGTGGTGAAGGAAATCGGGCTGATCTCGAGGAGCACATTGCTGACCATCTTACATACCTTGCATTGATGTCAATCCCCTTGCCTAATAAAAGCCAATCGACCGATGATCACATGGAGATGGCTGCAAATTTGAGTACCGATCAGCTCCGGGCCGGAGGCGCTGGACGGACCGATTCCTATCACTCTTTTGACGAAAGTGAAATGGAAAAGCCAGGAGATCCGTCTAAGCTCCCCGAATTCCCCTTCGCTGGATTCAAACACTCAAAACAGAAAAATACAAAGGGAAAGGCGCCACTGAAGGAACGCATTCTGGGGGAACTGCACGAGAGGTAATTAAACTTCCCAATCCCTGTCTTTCTGTAGTTTCCGACAGGCTAATTCATACCAAAGTGAAAACGCTGGTTTCTTTCCAGGTCGGTGTAAATGGATGGGCTGTACTGAATCACAAATCTTTGAGGGAGAGGAGGAACTCTTCCGTCATATTCTCGCGAGGCATGGGAAGCATTACTTTTGCTGTCTTGTGAAAGGTTGCGACAAAACTTTTGCCGATAGACGAGAGCTTCAGAAACATCTGGGAACTGACCACAACTATGGCCTTATTAAAGAGTAAGCTATCCTCCTCAGATGCATATTCGTTGCACCAACAGAAACACTAACAAACTTTCAAGACATGTAATCATGGATGTTCCGACGCATTGCCAATGGGCCGGCTGCACTACAAAAGATAGTTTCACAATAACCGGTAGCCTCTACCAGCATATCCGGAATATGCATTTATAACATCTTTGGTCTTTTATCTTAGCATGAGGGCCTGGGTATCTTTAAATTCTGGCTGTCTGGAAACGGTATTCACTAAAATCCTCGTCTCCATCAACACGCGATTTGATTAGACGTCACAGAAAAAGGCCCCGGGCTTATCCAGTTTAGGAACAACCACTGCAAGGCTCAGGACCCGCTCGTGGATGATCCATCTCCTGTAAGGCTGATAAGATGCAATACACTCTACTAGTCCAAACTCGAACAATACGCGCACAGTGATTTGGGACGTTAGACTTCCTGTAATACCCACTTCCAAGTAAGGGATGCCGATCTTAGTTCAATCGAGAGAGTTCTGCAGGGTTTGGGGGAGCACAAACTACGTAACGCGTTGAGAACATTGAATGTCACCAGCGATGAAAGAAGAGATATTTCTCATGTATCATGCTGCTCCTTCATCCTCAAGAAGCCTTACAATCTTTCATCCCTCTCCATTCCCCAGTCCTCTAAGACCACACCATGACCAAGAACACCGAGCTCGACCACCTCCACGAAACCCTCTTCGAACAGGGTATAAAACTCCGCCGAACCGTCGTCGGCGACGCCTACGTCGATAGAGCCCTATCCCAAGGATTCAGCGACTTTTCACGTCCCGGCCAGGAACTCGTCACTGAACGGTGCTGGGGTCACATTTGGACGAGACCTGGACTTGAACTGAAGCAACGAAGCCTATGGTTGTGGAAACATTATAGGGTCTCGGTGCGCCACGGTTCAGCACGCTATCGAGATAAAGCAACCTACCTAGCACGGGCAACATACTCAAACAGGAAGTAGGTTCTGTTGGGATCCGGTAGGTTCCTGTCAGCCAGCCCCCGGTCTTGGCACATATCGTTTGGCGTTGCTTTACAGACGGGGTACTATGGACCATAGATGGTACCTCCAGAAGTATCAATATTGTACAGAAAGGGGATGTCGAACGTGAGTGATTTTTTTTTTACCCAGTAGATGGTGTGATATACTTCTTTCTGAAGTCTATTATCTTCTTGGCCCAGAGACTACATGTCTATCATAGACATAAATTCTTCAGAGAAAAAAGTGGGTCCATGGCTTATCCTAAGCCAAGCTGGGCTGTTCTTGGGGATTTAGTCTTGCTAGAACTGGTATGTGTATAATACCATGAATTATGGCAAAGGTTTTTGCTAGTAGGCGAGAATTCTTCTTCGCCAGTGATAAAGGGGTCCGCGCCAAAGTAGCTCGTTGTTTACGAAGAAGTCAACGAACAGCCCTCCTCAACGAAAATGGCTCTCCTGCTTCGCCCCTTCCACAGGAACCAAATAATCCTGTCGATCCTTGACATAAAACTCGACGTTAACCTTCCCTCCAAGACTGGCATGGCCATTCTCCAAAGTACCGCTTTTGATACATGTCATGTCCGACATGACCTCCAAGTCCGTGTAGAGGCCCGAGCCGCAAGTAGGGCAGAAAAACCGCCGGCTAATCTTGCCGCTGGCGCCAAATGAGTCGTAAGAGGAGGGAATTCCTGGGGATTCTGACTATCAGATAGTCTCTTTCTTTTCTTCCTCTTTTTTTTCGTTTGGGGGGGTTGCGAGGGGTAAATTCGCCCACACATTAGAACTCGGACTCACCTTTGGTAATCTTGAAGCTGGATCGAGGCACGACCGCGTTGGATGTAAATGCGCTGCCTGTCCACTGAAATTCAGTGAGATTAGGTGATTTCTACGCGCGGTGGTATGGTGATGTCCTGAGTAGTGTGCTCGTACCTTCTGACAGTCTGTGCAGTGGCAGAGGGCGCTCATGTATTCAGTAACTGTCGTGTTTATCGCATATAAAGAGTGAGTTCAGATTGCCCGTCGCCTCAAGTCGGAAAGAATTGAGATTGAGATGAGGACTGCATACCTTCTGCGGTATAGGTGATGCCCCCACACAAACAGCTTCCGGATAAAGACATGGTGGAGAGTAGTGGTAGTGGCTTTCTATTATACGCAAGAAATGATGGCAAAGACAAAGGCTGTGGTTGGGATGAATGTAAACATATAATAGGTACACTGCTTATTCTCCTGCGCTGTTCTTAACTAATTCTAACCTGTCTATTTATTTGCGGGGGAAGATTGGTCTGGTTTCCATTACTCTAGGTAGTGTCAAGTGCGCCCACGCTGTGCTGTCACTGGCCCTGCAAATCTACCATTAACAAAGATACCTTGGAAACGGGTGTTCCGTCTTGCGAGAGAAGAGAGAGCCAGTGACGCCGAGCAGTAGACCGTATAGCGGGGCACGAGAGTTTAGGCGTAGCTGAGGTTGACTGGGATCGGAGAATTCATTAGCTGGTCGAGACTAGTGATATTTCGCATGAACGAGTGGAAATTAGAGCGACACATGATAATAATTTAATATCTCTTGATAACTTCGTTTTGAATCCCTCGATTACTCCATATAAAACTTTCCTTCTTCCAAACGATGGGAAATTATTAGCACAAGTCTGTTTTGACTCCGAGGATAAGTTGAAGAACTGCCAATCCTATTCTCAACGAACACGTAGAGCCGCACACTCGTTCCAAGATCCACCGGATTGTTCCTTGAAGGGTTTCTCTTTGAGTTGCCGGCCGGGAAAGACCGCAAGCCGCGGAGTTAGGAATTGCAGAGTTGGGGCTACCTAAGCAAACATACATATGACAGCTGGCTAATTCGTAAACTAATGGCGACTGCCCGATGATTCGGCAGATCCCGACGAACATTTAATCGGGGCACAAAGGCCACCAGGGCCTGGACCCTGAACTAGTTTCAGATTCCTGTCACTTCGTGTTTTCGCTCTAGCGCAGGATAGGCCCCGTTGCCTTCTTTGCTTATCGGCATACAGAATAACCGTCTGATTGGTGGGTCACTGGAAGCGAACAAGCGGGTTGCAAAATCAGGATAAAATAGCCGGCACCTGCGAATGGTGGTAAAGAGCAAGAACAAGCTGGGCGTATGAGGCTTGCATAATAGGGAGCTCAAACATGAGCCTACGTTGCATTTTCTCCGTCACCTGGGACTGTGAGTTGCACGATGTCCGCTAGATGTCCAGTAGGGGTTGCACCCATACTTCCAGTTGCATTCCAGGTGAGGCCTCTCCGGTGCAGTTCAGCTGCAGCCACAAATCAACTACAAACCCCTCTTGTATTGACAGCATACATGTAAATACCCTCAAGCTATTTAGACTAAGGTCGTCCAATTACCAAAGTGAGGGGTTCGGATCACAACCCTACCATTGACCTGAAGGATCTTTCTCTCGTCTCGCAGAATACATCCGTGATAATTCTCTACAACCCCAAACTACCATGGAACGCAATACTGAAACCTGCAGCACGATGCCCTACACTCTCCCTGTAGTGATCATCAATGACACCGAGGATGCACTCACCGTAATCGAGAAGACATGTTAGTACTACGCCAACGGTGGCGCTTGGACCGAAGATACCGGTCACAAGCTCACCCTCATTCTCGGTGGAAGCGGCACATCCGGTATACTTCGAATTAGGGCCTCGTCTGGCCACACATTCAGTGTTGTCGTGGGGTACCATAATTCCGATTTCTGGTATGATGCACAGGTTGATCTTCCTGATGATGATACGGCAGCCAAGCTACACCCGGAGTACTATAACAGCGGGAAACTATCATCCCAGGCATATCCCTCTATTGAGCGAAAGAACTCAGCGGGGCGGATGGTGAAGGTGCACTTGCAGAGTCTGCCGTGTGGAATTCCGCCTGTTATTATCAATTACTCGTGATAAGACGGTCCACGGAGGGATGTGATTGTAGTGGGTGATTTGGACGGAGTGGCGTTGGTTCTGAATACTTGAGCGCAAGGTTTAGGCCCATAAGCATGGCCGGAGCTAATTTACACTAGTTCTGAGCCTACATGACGCACAAAAAATTATCCATCACAGATATTTCCTGGCTTTTGACCGTTCAATTCCCATGAATCATAGCCTTACTCCAGGCACTAAATAAATGTTCATCTTTAAGGATCGTAACCCTCAGCTGGGGATTATTCCCAAGTTAAGCCCATCTTTATCGAACAGCTGATTCTTAGCGGACAAATCAACGTTCCCAGACTTTTCGCCAACTAGCTCTACTATAACACTGCATGACTGCATTCAACCTTATCTGACATGCCCTAGGCCCCTACCTTTCGAGCAGAGCCAAGCAGACCTATAGCCCGTTGCTTCGTCTCCTGCAGCTGACTTTCCTCACGAGGATCGCTCTGCCGAAGTTGTATATTTTACCCGATCCCGTTTCTATTCCCCGGCAGACCGTCGGTGTATAAGTACTACCCTAATTCGTCTCTCTTTCTCTTATTCGTATCAGCGATCTCCCATAGGCCTAAATCACTTTGTTCACCAGAAGTCCCGCTGTCCACAGTCAACCAGCATAATGAAAGCTGTCATCTACAAAGCCCCGAACCAAATCTCCATCGAGGAGCGGCCTAAACCAACCCTCCTGCACCCCACCGACGCAATAATACGCGTCCTGCACACAACAATCTGCGGCACAGACCTGCATATCCTCGCCGGCGACGTCACCACTGCAAAAGCAGGCCGGATTCTCGGCCACGAGGGCGTTGGGATCATCGACTCGCTCGGTGCCGCCATCCCCAATTTCTCCGTCGGCCAGAAAGTCCTCATATCCTGCATCACCTCATGCGGGACATGTCACTACTGCCGGCAGCGACGTATGCCGTCACAATGCGTCGACGGCGGCTGGATACTGGGGAACACAATCGACGGCACGCAGGCGGAGTTTGTGCGAGTTCCGCACGCCGCGTTCTCACTGCATGCGCTACCTGCAGCCATCGACGAGAGCGTGGCGGTGACGCTGTCCGACACAGTGCCGACGGCGTACGAGTGCGGAATTCTGAACGGGGAAATCACGCCGGGATCCAGTGTTGCTATCATTGGGACGGGGCCGATCGGACTGATGTGTTTGCAGTTGAGCAAGAGGCTCTTTGGGCCGAGCGTTGCTGTTGTTATTGGACGCGGGATGAGGAGGGTTGAGATGGCAAGGGCCATGGGTGCGGACCATGCGTTTAGTGTTCTGGGCGCGGGCGGCGTGAAAAAGGTCATTGAGGACGCTGTGGCGGGCTCTGTGGGTGGCAGAGGATTCGATGTTGTCATTGAGGCTGTGGGAAATGCTGAGTCGTTTGAGATGGCGCAGGGGCTTGTTGGACCCGGTGGCACGATTGCCTCGCTCGGGGTCTTCGGGTGTTCGTGCGAGCTCCGCCTGGAGAAGCTGTGGCATCGCAATATCTGTAGGTCCTCTTCATCTTATTGTGTTTATTTCCCTTGCTAATGTCCGCTAGGCTTACGGACACGACTCATTGACGCTGTCTCAACACTCGATCTGCTGCAGATGGTGGAGGGAGGGCGCATCGACCCGAGTTTCCTGGTCACACATCGTGCGTTTCCCACACTCTACACTTTTCCATAGATGTATACTAGAGTGCGCTAACTGGCCTTCCCCTCCAGATTTTGCCTTTGATGATATAAAGAACGCGTACGAGGCGTTTGAGAAATCGTCTAAACACGGCAGCTTGAAGGTCATCGTCTCCATGCCGGGCACAGGAACTGCGTCTGGCATGATTAATGACTTGTCTGGTAATGGTTCTTTGAAGGACCCGCTTGTGTAAATGTCGAGCTATAACATCTCAGCTCACCGCAAGAAGATTTAGACCGTTAGCTTAGGGAGAAGAGCTCTACTGGCAAGCTTAAGCTGGTGCTGAGGATCTCACCCTGTCTACTGCGCACTTACCGTAGTCTCGACCCAAAGATATAACATAAATTCAAGGTCTATGGGTCTAATGGAATATATATATGCTACCCTATGATTCCCGGACTGTACAATCTTCGAGAAGCGTCTTTAGTCGTCTTTTCGGTCTAAAGTTATGCGTGCTCTGTTGGCTGGTTCTACGCTGGCTAAATTCACAGGGATATCTCTATGGAAGGTAGGTGACATTCAGAATTAGCTTGTTTGTATTGATTAGCTGGTCTTCGATGGCTTAAGGCCATGTTTAGCAGATCGGGCTCGGCGGTCGAATTTTAGAGGGCTTCAGGGCGTTCCAGGTGGAGGACTGAAGTTAGGGCGGCATGGGCGCTAAACCCGACCAGTCCCGACCAGCCGCAAAAAAAGATAATAAACGCAGACATACAACAGAAGGGATTCGCTGGTGGTCACCCACCCAACTACTAACCTCCCGGCGTGTGGCTTAAGTACGGCTGAGCGGACGGGAAGCCCTGTTTTCCACACCCTATGGTCGTATGTGGTTGCTTCCCCTCGCGAAAGAGCTTATATCATGTGGACTTAAAGTGGTGACCACGATCCCAAACGGATCTCTCAAGAGTCGGTGAAAGTATATAGAAGGATTTGAACTTTATCGTTGACACTGGGGAATATCGCAGTGATATATACAACGCTCCTAGAATTTTTCATCATTCTCGAATGCGGTCCCACCTCGCTTATACGATAAGGCGGGAACGGTAATGCTTTATACCCATGTGCAATCTGTTGCCTCAAGTATATTGGGCCAAATGTAACGCCAACTCGGAACCTGGCTGCCGGATAGACTGTTTGTACTTCACAGAGAAAGCAATGAGACAAAAAGCAGGTACCTAGTCCACTTGTAAAAATAGGAGGTGGCAGCTCCAGATATCTCATTCTGGTAATTCACTGCGCGCGTGGTACCCTTCCCTCAATATCGCGACCATCTCATATATGCTTCCCTAATTATAGGGCGTGATACAGTAGGCGCAATGTCTCTCATTGGTGCAGAGAAATTGGTGTGAACGAACGCTTTCTTGGTCTGCTGGATAGTGGAAACCGAGACGTGGATAATCTTCCTCAGATGTGCCATGTACCGAGGCGCATGGATCTGATCCCTCATCGAAGACCGTTCTTCAGTCTTGAGACCGCACACAGCCTCCGCTTTGCGGAGTCTAGCCTTTCGAAGATATCGAAATAGTCGATCTCAAATGAAGAAAATGTCGCCAAGAACACGTTAGCTAGCGAACCACACCATGCTGAGAGTCAGCTTAATCGCAACAAGGTCGTAATCCGCTTCCGAGCGATTAGAGCTTGACCCCTTCAAGCCGGCCTCTGCGCCGAGGAAGATGACCCCGGATTTCGGAAATGCAAGCCAGAACTAGAACCCATTACACCGCAAGTGAGGGATGAACTGGTGGGCATCCATTGTGTTGGATAATGTAGTCTCGGATGGTTCTTCCTTCTTGATAAGCAGGAAGCAGATTGTCTATAGGAGCACTGTATAGTCAAATGTCGGACTGTGCTACGAATATTCCAGACCCGCACTTCGCGTGTGTCACGGATTTGCGTATGGCTGTGTCTGATCACTTCCTGGAGGCATTCGATTAGCCCAGTTCTAATCTCCCACCAGAGCATGGTACACACCGACTATGTCATGGATGAAGAAACACGCTTTGCAGTGCATGTCGTATAGCTTGTTCTGGACCATACCAATCGCGTCTTTGATGTGTTCGCGGAGTTCGAGCGAATCCTGGGGCTTCTTCGGTTCATCACTGAAGAATGAATATCATCGACCGCGTAAGATGGTAGGTATCTGTTGGCATAAGGGGCAGCAAAGCCAGTGCGTCCGGTTGATGGTACCTAGACTTGGTACCGGGGAGAAACATTTGCTTGGACCCATCATTGCTGCAGCAGTGTATATGTAGTAGGGGCCTTTGTGTCGACGTCCATGGCCCAGATACCACTGCTTTGGGCGAATAAAACTCTCAGGTGCGAGTGTGAGTCTGACTTCTCGTTTATTGGCAAAGGCAATTGGTTTCTCTTGTGCACGGCATATGAAGAGCCAAACCATTAAGTAATTTGCCCCATTATGTTCAAGGAAATCGATTGCGAATGAAACCAAGCTGGTTAGCGTCCTGTCTGTTGGTCCGCGTAGCTCTGTGGGTAGACCATGTATCGTGACACATTGGCGCTTGCTCTCTCGATCTCCTGTAGGGTAACTTGCCGACCGCATAGGATGAGTAGCGCTTCCTCTATCTGCGTCGAGAAAAGTGCGATCGAAGTGGTAATCGGAAAAATTATGAAGCCAAGTCCCGCTCGTGGAAGGGACATGAAGCATGACTGGGGAGGTGTAACCAAGTTACGTGGCCGTAGTTGTCAATGAAATAGTTGAGGCCGGAGCCTTCTCGAGTGCTTCCTTCGCTCTCGCTCTGTGACACAATGCCAGCCCTATCAGGCTCAAAGATATAGCCATATATTTGGCTTCGAATTTCTGGTGGAGGTACGCATATAAGATATTTGTTATCGTTTGATAGTGGTGCGCTCATCGTCCAAGACCATTGAGCCTTCAGGAACCCATCTCGTTGGTTCGGATTTCTTTATCCTGTCAAGATGAAATGCTGATGGGACGATAGATAAGATCGTCAATTGGCTTTTGTTTTTGGTCTTGTTCGCATGGGAATCGATACCAAGGTCGTTGTAGTATAGCTATTCCGATCGACGGATAGGAACAACGCGTAGATGTAGACTGCTGGATCTGCAATTTCTTTTCAACTTGCAAGATCCGACGATGAGATGTTTAGTGTGTCAGACATATTATATCAGACATATTAGTGGCCGGTAACGATTCAGGGAACACATGAGCTGGTTCGATTGCTCGAATCAGTCGTCAAGGCCGATAACACAGTCACAGAAAGGTAGGAAGCGTTTAGGTCCGGGAGATATTCCGTAAGCAATACTGTGTAGCAGTGGCTCCAAGCCGATTCGTAGTCCTCAGTCTGGCTGGATCCTATCCTTTGAGGTTCCTGAGAAAGAGTGAAATGACGGTTATTGTTTTCGCTCCGCGGGACCGGCAATGCGTCGCCAAATTCTGTCCGAGCAACGCGTGATGCTTGGCCGATGCTTGGAATATGCCACGGATATTTTCGAATGAAGCGTCAAGCAATAACAGATAGTCATGCCAGAGGTGGTTGGGTTCGCTCAGTTTCAACTATCAGAACGAGGTTTGGTAGCAGATAAGCCGACCGACCCAGCACAGTGGCTTAATGGTGCTGATGATGCTCTAGTGAGGCAACCAGATTGACTAAGTCGATGCCTTCAGTCCTACCTTGTAGACTGGCTCGGGAGATTCGCAATTCTTAGGCGATAGCTCCGTGATAACAGCGTGTATGATTGCCTGACGTCTGATAGTGTAGAACATGCTGGGTGGTTCTGGAAGTTATTGATAACACCTCGTTTGAAATGGACTTGGCAATAAGTGCAGATTTTTTGCATATGCTTTTGCCAAGTCCGTAAGTCATCGGCAGCAACAGCGAGACAATAACTTGTCGTCACTGACAAGCTGAATTCCGAAGCGGTTCTCGTAACAAGATCTACCTAGCTTTCTGAGTCGCTCGGATCGCCGCCTTTGAGGGAGGCAGCATTGCGAATCTTGCTCAGCATTTTCAACAATGTATAGCAGATCTCCAAGTTCTGTCGGCGTTGTATGCCGCTTCTTCTGCCCTGACATGTGCTGTCTGGAGAGTAATATCATCAGAGATTGATCACTCATGAGACTTTCATGAATAGATGCTTACCTGTCTAACTGTTCAGTTGACCATGACATTGAGTCATGAATATACTAGCCACGCCACGCTTATATTGTGGCCTCTCCTGAGTATAGGAGCCAGAATAAGTCATGTGACGATCATCTGCTTGATCGCAGTATAGAAGGACATTCATTAGGATGACAGATCCTGGTCAAGTCTGCGTGGCATGCGACTAGCTGAGAGATAATAGTCAGCAAGAAGCACGAAGCAAGATGCAGTAGCTTATTTCTGGGGTAGAATCATAGGTGTATGGTCCAGATCTATGTGTGTTCGGCTCAAAAGCAGCCCCATCAGAGAACATAACAGTCAGAGAAGGAAAGAGGAAGAAGTGATAGAGAGATGGAACGAGACAGCGTGTGAAAATATCAACAACACACAGGTCAAATCTAAACAAGCCACACATGTTAAAGCGGGTCCTGTTCAAAGTAGTTGCCGCGACAGCCCGCCGTGTGAACAGACCAAACACTCAGATATGGTCAAGCATGTGAATCTCTTGTGAGGGAGACAATAGGCATGATCTGACAGTGTGCATATACAGCGATGAAGAGGTAAGCTGCCTTGAACCATCAATCATGATGTATAAAGAGGTAATCGTCAAAAGAAGCATACTTTGGGAGGTGTCATTGTGCCCTCCATGTCCCATTAACCTAAGGTGTTGTTTCCTGCTTGTGCTTCTCACTAAGTGAGGGTAAACTCAGGAATATATATAGAAGCAATCATAAGAGAGTTGAGCTGCTAGAGAGAGATAGAGGAGGAAGAGAGAAAGGAAGGAAGGGAGGTAGGATGAGAGACGTTTATACCCAGACAAGCCCTCTTCAATGACTAGGCGGTCACTGGATATAGCTTCATGAATCAGCTCATACGAATTTGTCAGATACGTGACTGAGATATCTACGTGACTGCGGTATCCGTGAAGTAGGCTTAAGAATCGTCACTTAAATGCGTGACTAGAGACGGGATGTTCCGCCAAATTCACGAAAAAGCCCGAATTCATCTAGGATACGTCACCACGAAAGGCCACGTGAGCACAAGTCTCGAAATCGATAGAGAATCTCAAATCAATTCCAATTATTCTTTCCATTTGGCCCATGGCTTATTGGTTCAAGGGGTGTATATCGCGATACCAAGGACTGTTCTATATTTTGCTTTTTCGACCTTAAAACCTGAAGAATGCCAAGTACATTTTACAACAGTCCTCAATACGAACAATCGGACATAGCACAGGAATCAGGATAACAATATTTATTTACAGGCTTGGATGGCCCTACAGGCCTCGTATGGACTATCAAGTTGCGCCATGAAAATCGCAGGCTTCTCAAGAAGCCTGCGTCGATACTGCAGACATCGACCGGTGATTAGGACCCGACCTCGACACGATTTATCGAGGGCGTAACGAAAGAACTGCGAGTTGGCCCAAGCTCCAGTATTTTTCTGGAACATCGTATCGACATCTCTGACATAGCCCAAGCAATCCGCACAGAATGCCACATTTTCACCGGAGCCTCTCCAGCCTTTAGATAGCGCGGCTAGCGCATCATTAGCGTATTGGCTGGACGACGAGAAGAAGGTACATACCCCAGCTCAAAACGAATATGCCAACAGCCACTAGGGCGACTGGAATGAGACGGACCCTCATTGCGATGGGCACAGACAGGCGTGGATCCGGAAAAATTAAAAGGAGGAGCGATGGATGTGGCTGCCTGGTGGCTGGCACTTGTGCCTGAGGGTCAGGGGGTGTTCTAACCGCTTTGGGCTAGTTCATCGCTGGTCCAGGCGATGGCCATGGATGCCGTTTGAGCGTGAGGAGAGAGGTTGAAGGGCCGAGAAACAAAGCAATATAGCATCACTCAGGAAGGGTGCCGCTGGAGCAAAACTGCCTTGGCCAGTCCAGCCAGTGTGCAAGCCGTGACGGTAGGGCAGCAGCTACTGCAGACAGCAACTCGTGGGCGCGGTCCTCTACGAACCAGTATCCACGAAACAGGTATAACTGGGCACAATATTGCGCCAACAAGATAAGACCGATCGGGCTCCTGTCCAGCAGAAAGCCTACGAATTCATCCCGCACGCTGATCGGCCACATGTAAATGATGCCACATTGGGCAGGCTTCTCACAAACCTGCAAACGCCAGAATGCTTTTTCCAGACACTCAGTGGCCTGCTGATAGATGAGTCTCTCCTGCTCACTAAGAGGTTCTGTTGCAATTAGTTGTCTGATCGCATCTAATTGATCACCCAATCCTGGGAAGCGCAGAGACTGGACGTGGTCTCTATTTGTCGGTTAGCATGCGCCAAATTACAGTATGGGGCAGGGCTTACTCGAGTGGGCCAGGGTCGGATCGAAAATCTCTCAGGAATAACGGCGCCAGGGGACCGTTTTCAACATGCGACATGAACGGTTGAAGGGTCATGATTCCCCTACACAGGTTGAAAAGGCGGATGATACTTTCCAAGGGGCGGCTATCGCCCAGATCGGTCGGAGCTCCACAAGTCCATACCATGATCAGACTTGAGAAGCAGAAGAGTGCCTCGCAATTCTGTTTGGTTGGGTTTTGCAAGATAATGCGAAATGTTTGCAGGCCCAGCGCCATGTGGAAGTTGGAGCTGTTGAGATAGTGGCTGTATCTTTCGGGTCTAGTGTACGCCAAGTGCAGAGCCGACAGCGACAAGATGCCATGCATGAGGAACTCGTACGAATAGGCAATCTTTGGCACTTCGATCTGCCAGACATCACGGATCACCTCCCGATCAGACAGAGTCTTAGAGGCATAGATGCAATAATGGTGCATCAATTCGGGATCCTGCGCGCCCCACTCGCGGAGGAAAGCAGATGCATCGGCGACTTGATGCTGAAAGGCGGCAATGGCATCGTCGGTCCGTGATGAAACGGTCGGCGACTCGGACAATTTGCCCGACTGCGTACTGGGATACGGCTCGGGTTTGGGTGGGCGACGTTCAAACGTGCACGTCAGGTTGCGTTTCACGCAGTTGGCACATGGCTGAGCTTCATCGCACTGTGGGGATCAGCGGAAATTCCAGGCTGAGGAGCGGACAACGCACTTTGACTCGGCGAGATTTGCACTGGTCGCATCCGTTCCGGGACTTCGTATGGGCTCGTCGCGGAGGCATATCGAACGAAGTCTAGACTAGATAGACTCATAGACTCCCACACAATCCCGAGAGGAGTGGTGTAGGCATCGGACGTTACTGCGAGGAACAGGAAATATACGACAGACGAGAGCGGAAGCGAGAACGAGAACGAGGAACGCGTTCCGGCGATGAAGTTTTCGATCGAGTGGAGAGGCGGTGGATCCTTAGTTTCCGCCCTCACCCAAAGATAGACTCAGACGGCCCCTAGTCTACTACAATGCAGTGTCGATGTTCACTTGTTCCTGTTTTCCTACCTATGAACGTTATGCTGTCCATTTCAACAGCTGTCGAAGTATCAGCCTAGCCAGTAATACGTATTGACCCCACCAGATTCCGATCCCTAATGCCAGGCACACTAAGATTAGAATAAACTTGCTGGGGAGCACTCGGCAACCAACGAATGCCCTTTACGCAGGGAAGCGATAGCGAGAACGAGTCAGTTATTTGAGGGCTAGTGCCTTCTCATACGTGTATACTATCCTAGGCAGATGAAAATAGTATTAGATCTAAAATGGTGGCTATCCAGTTCAACGACTTAAATTATCCCTATTTCTCGAAGATATGCCAAGTTACCCCAAACAGGCTGACATGAGTCGAAAAAAAGAGCTGGACGAGCAGTCAATTAGTCCATCGCATAGCATCCCCGTCACCAAGGCTGTTAAAAGTTGAAACACTTCCTAGAGCACCAGTTTTTTTTCATAGCCAGAGATCTGCATGCCCGATGTCTTCATCATACGAGCTTTATCGCTACACCCCGTCTTTGGCGGCAGCAATTCTCTTCACAGTTTTGTTCATCTTCATAACAGCCTACCATGTCTACCAAATGGCCCAAGCGCGAGCCTGGTATTTTACCTGCTTTGTGCTGGGCGGAATATGTTCGTGAAGACGCATATCGAGTTACCGGTTTACGCTAACCTACCGCACAGTCCAAATCATTGGATACATTACGCGTGCATTAGCACATAGCAACACCCAAAGCGTAACCATATACGCTGTGCAAGATATCCTAATCTTACTCGCACCACCTCTCTACGCTGCGACGATCTACATGACACTTGGACGGCTGATTACTTTCCTCGACGCGGAAAGACTGAGCCTTGTCCCAATCAGATGGCTTACGGCAGTCTTCGTGACCGGAGATGTACTGTCTTTTCTCCTGCAAGGAGCTGGTAAGACGTGAACCTGATATCTATGTCCTTATTATATTAATATAACTTCAGGCGGCGGCATCATGTCCAGCGGCAGTCTCAGCGGAATGACCACCGGCGAAAACGTAATCATGGGCGGACTAGCCGTCCAGCTCATCTTCTTCAGTGTTTTTGTGATAGTTGCGACACTTTTCCACTATCGCATCCATCAAAACCCTACAGAAAAGTCAATATCTACGTGCATTGCACGCAGTGGTTGGCGCACCCCCAATTGGGAGACGACTATGGTAGGATTATATATCGCCAGTATTCTTATTTTGATACGGTCGGTTTTTCGGATGATTGAGTATGCTGGCGGGAATGATGGATATCTGATAAGCCATGAGGCTTTCAGTTATGTCTTTGATGCGATGTTGATGTTCTTTGCGATGATTGTGATTAGCGTGCTTCATCCGTCCAAAGTTTTGGGTTCGGGCAAGGCGGAGAAGGTGGATAAGAGGGAGAGTGTGCAGTTGCAGAGATTATATTCTAGTTGAGATATCCACTGAAATATATGTATAGAATATAGGTATTTAGGGCTCGTTCGTTTCTTTTCCTCCCGTGTGTATTGTGCCCTGCACTTTTTGTAAAATGTCCTGGAACAATTGGCCAGGGATCTCATGGAATGGCCAGGCCATTCAATACAGCCACATTCCTCATCCATCTTGATGATGAATTGCTAGCACGTAGTCATTCCCATTTGCTTCCCGATCGTAGTGAAATCCTTCTGTCCGCCGATGCATCTTTGACAAATATTACCATCCCCGAATTCAATCCAGGTAGTGACTTGACATCGTATTCCATGCGGTCTACATGATCTGTCGTCCTCTCTTTCTTTTTCGATGTCGATTATTCTTTTCCTTCTACACCACACAGCAAGCAAGCAATGACTGCATCCACTGGTAATAACTTATGGAGCTACGACACCCTAGACCTACTATCCCCTCCATGCAATCATTCTATTGATTCTAGTGTACACTAGCACACAATCGGAAGACATTACGATGGGGCCTACAAGCAGCATCCCCTATTCATTGAAAGATACGATATGCGGCCATAAGACGGGACAATATATAGGTCGATTGATCAGCTCCTCTACTACGCATGGCTTGCTTCCTTTTACAACCCATCATAGCGGGGATGGCAATGGACTGTAAGTCTAATAATACATTTTGCATGTAGCCAAGTCTAATTGATAGTCAGGTCACACCATTTAAATGATACTCTGGTCCAAAACCATCTCATTGAGGACGTTATTGGTAAATGATTGAGGATTATGTCCGTCAATGGCTAATAATCCCTACTTTATGCTGCCAGTTTGACTGCGGAGCCGAAAATAAAGGCCGCCATAACTGCAGAGAACAGTTACCTCCCCTCCTACCGTTAAACATTGCAAAGTTTCAACCGTTACAAATCCGCTTTCTCTATCACAACAGAATCGTTGTCTTGACATGCAGCCAACTGATTACTTGGCAGAAACAGCCCAAAGCCTATCATATCTATCCTAAGTATGTTCGTCTTTGCTGTCCTCTTGGAGCCGCTAAACCCTGGTATTATGCCACTATCGAATGAATGTCCGTCGGGTAATAGTCAAAATTGGAGTCGGGAACGGTCGTTATTTACATCAATCTGGGTATTTTCACGGATATCAAATGACCAATCTGTTTTGGTCTCAAGAGAGATACGGGATTAGATACTACTCTACTAAGTAGTCTATTGTCTATTTGGGTGTGACAAGTGACGATTAACTCTGGACTGTTATGACAGAAGATCTAATCCCACTGGCGGAGCATATCTGACTGGGGAGATATAGCAGTGGTCGATAGCCAGAAGGATGCATATGATGATAATAGGATTGTCAGAATTTACCGCATTAGGCACAGTATTGCCCTACTCCAAATCCACCTAACATAGTTCTACTCAATGAGCATCAATCCTAATCGATAATGATCAGCCTAACAGACCGCACAAGTCGATTATGCGACACTTGCTTTTATCACCCCACACCAACTACCCCTCATGCTCATGCGAGCAGCACACGAGACCCAAATGGCAAAGTCGCCCCGACACCAAAATCCGACGCAGACAACAACATCCGGCCACGACGTTTACAGGAGGAGGATTTTCACGGTTAAAGATTGGGAGGTGGTTAGTGGGGAATTTGTGGTTCAGACCAAAAGGGGGATTATGGGATGGTTATGGGTGATGACTGTAGTGGTATGCAGCACCGGAGTCAAAATATATAGAAAGTGTCGGTGAATTCCCTCAAGGGGTTGGATGGAGGATAAAGCATGGTAGTGTAATCATTGTAGGTCACCCTACATCGTATTCAACAAGCATTATGATAAGTAGTACTGGACATGACGTGAAAAGACGCTTAATGAATGGGCTCATATCACATGATCAGAAGGAGAAAAGCCCCGATAATCAAAACAGCCGACACCAGACACAATGAGAGATGCTCACATCCTATGTCATTCCGGCCGCTGCCCGTACACAATGTGCACTTTCGTGTACAAGTGGTTATTCAAGTCGCGCAACTCCTGTTTCATGCCGGCAACAAAAACTTCAATCTCCGTTCTTTCCCAGCCCATCACGCGCGTGAACAGCGCGTAGCAGTACGGGCCCAACGCCTCGAACATGTTGACTTGGTGATAGCGACCGAGATCTTTCATCTTGGGGTCCTTCGGCCAGGGGCTTTGGGGGAGCTGCGACCGTCAGTATGAAAAATTAAATGGACAATGTGTCGGGAATGATACCTTGAAGATCTCTTCCCGGACATTGACGAACCCGGCCTTTTCCATCTTCTCCTTCCAGCTGTGCACACTGGTCATGTCTTTTCCATACTCCCGGGCGCAGTCATGCATATAGACTATACCCTCTAGCAGATTCTTGGCCCTTAAATGTGTATCGTCGTCCGAGTATGTGTTGACCTCCATGGAGGCCATTTCCATCCATCCTCCCGGCTTCAGATTCTCGAGTGCTTGGCGATAGAGGTTGTCGATATCGCGAACGCAGCCTTCTAGCTCTCGACCGTGGATATAATCAAAAGGTTTGCTGTAGGACCACGGTTGCTCAAAATCATCGACTTCGAATCGGCAATTCGGCGGAATCCTGCACGGTCAGTGGCGGGACCTCAACGGCAGCTGGCAACACCTACCAGGACGGTTGAATTGGACTGAGATCGTTTCCTGCGTCATCTTGTCAGTGATCCATCATTTCCTAGTCGCGTCACTCATCGTACCGATCACTTCTGCTTCGGGATGCTCGCTGTCAGCACGCATTAGCGCTATTGATTGTCAGAGGTATCACATGTCCCCGCTTACTCGGCATAGTCGATCGCCCAGATTCCCGTGCCGGTTCCAATGTCTAGTACGCGCGCGGGATTCTTGATGGGTGCTCTGTTCAGCTCTCCCTTGAAGAGCATGCGATAGATGTGGTGGCTCTGTTCCGGTCAACGCTGGACTCGCCCGTCGGGTTCAGAATGCGCCACTAACCAGGTCGAGACGATCTTGTTCTTGTTCATCATTGGGCTGTGAGATCAGTAGGGGCGATGCGACGTGGATGATCGAATGGGCATACCAGGACGTATTCTCCCTCGTGGTAGGAATGGTATCTGCGACCGTTCTGCGACACTTAGCCGAGGCTCGACGAAGGGTGGGTGCGGAGGGATTCCAGTACCTCATATCTGGATGGGTTAGTTGTCGCAAAGCGGAATGGCGGGACAGGAAGAACCTACGCATAGTTCATAGCACTGGACGTGATGCTGGTGGTGTAGCTGGCGTCGCCCAGCCTGGATTGCGGTCAGCGCGAACCGTTGGAACCAGACGTCGGGAAGGTCGCGGGTAGGAACTTACGAGCCGGGATAGGTGGAGTCATTGTCGCTGAAGTTCTGTGGTGGGGGAGAAGGTGAGAGAAGGTTAGCGGGGAAGTAAGGATTAACAAAGTTAGAGCTGACAAGAGAGCAGAGTCAAATCGAAGTTTGGGGGGGATGAGAGATACGCACATCAGGTTCAATGACGCTGGATTCCGGGGGAGGAGGAGGAGCGCGGTCGGAACACATGGTGGATTGAGAAAAGAGGGCGATGACGGGCGGGCGATGCGGGAAGGGATGGGAAAAAATAAGTTAAGAGGGTCGTCGACTCGCTCTCTAATGATATCGTAATAATAAGCAACGGTGATCGGTTTCCCCCACTAATTAAGTTTCAATGCCCCAGAATAATAAATAAATAAATGAGATTTGTCGAACAAGGAAACAAGGTGCGAGTTTCCAGAACACAAGAATAAAGGGGAGGGATGGGGGCAACCCGGTGGAAGTGATTTCCCCAGGGCTAGACTGACGGACTAGAAGCCACGAGAAAACAAGGAAGAAATAACAGTACGTACCGAAAGCAACTATTTCCACCGCACGATCAGATCGAGATTAGCACACCGGGGAAGACCCAATATGCGACACGACCAGGGGGGGAGGGGGTGGAAAAGGAGTGTCTTTACCCAGTTGAGTAAAGTAGAAGGGATTTAAGGTATGACTTTGACTCGTAAGTGGTGGGATACGCCGTGATGGAATGAATACTGGCAAAAGAGCAGAGTATTCGAGGGATAAGCAGGACAAGAATAAATGTCAATGGGCGAAAATAGGTTGATGATAGAAATGAAAAACAGAAAAATAAAAGGATGTGCCTGCAGCCAACACCTTTAGATTAATTAAAGAAGCGATGAACCAGGCCCGGAGGTCAAGCTGGTCAAAAAAAGTCCATGCGCGATGACCGTTTTAACCCTCAACCATTCGTCCATCGGTGTTCAGGGCCTGTAAGTAGGACTAGTAAGGACTAGTAGTGTGTACAGTAGTGCCCGAGAGGACTAAAACTATCGGGCTTCATTTCATCTTCCACCCTCCTGACCCAGTCAGCCAGTCCTTGGCCGACTGGCGGTCGCTTACGGAGATGCAGCAGGGCATCTGCCGGCGAAGCAACAGAACAACAGATACTGTTGGTCCGTTCGGTTGGCGCTGAACGACTATCCATCCCACTAACCCTCCTCGTCCGCCTATCGGGGCCAGCCGGATTCTTCTCCGCCTGCATCTACTTTTACTTTGTATGGGGAGGTGTTCTAGTGGCATTAATGAGGATTTTTTTTTTTTCTATATTATATATTTATATCTCATTTATTGGCTGATGCAATCTCTCGATTTTTATCATATATTATATACTCTGTGGATATCCCAGTGTATGCACACATCTTTCGAATCTGCCCTAAGCAGTCTGAAGGAAAAAGGAGAGCGACACATGGCTATCCGCACTAGTAGCCGACCTTGACTCCTCCCCCCCATAATTGACTGGGTAAAAGTCCCGCGCAGAGCAGAAGAAAATGAGCAAAGACAGCATCGATCATCATCACTACACCTGGACTAGATCGACATTGGACCTGTTCTGCACACCTCCCTGCAGCGAATCGCCATTGCAGCTCCAGCGGACCCAGAGTCTTTGCCCAGAGTCTATTTTTCTTGCCATGTGCCATGACCCTCGGGCTAAAGAACCACGTCAATTCCTGAAGAATCCCTTCATGGGGCAACTTGCCATTCGGAGGCAAGTTTCTCCTGCTGCTGCTGCTGCTGCTGCATACACAGTACTACGGTGTACTTTTTTGCACTTCAGCCTGCGGCTTCCCTGCCAGTGCCAGCTCTCCACGCACCCTCTACGATCCCTTCATCGGGTTTAGTCGATCGCACGGCCATCCGTCGCTGCCACGATCGGGGAATCCATTCATTAATTAGTATGTCGGCCGAATGGAGACAAGAGTGGCGGGCAGCAAATTCGATGGATCGCGCACATCACATTCCCTCGAAGGTGAACTAGTAGAAAACTATTAGATATAACTATCCAGCTCAAACCCCCCTCGGCTGCCTTCGTATGCCTTGCTTTTCTCCCGCCCTGCGTGGTTGATCCATTCCTCGCCCCCTGGATGGTCACTTTTCTCCCTCTTCTTCGACCAACTGACCATGATTTGCCCTTTCTCTTCGTCTTCAATAATAGAAAAAACCCTGCTGCCCACCGGGCCCCTCAGACCCTCCAGCGGCTGTGGAGTTGCCTCCATGCCTCCACTCCACTAGATCCGGATTCTCACCAATAAGCCCCCCTTGAGAAGTTCTTCGTGCCGTCCGTCCATTTCGCCATGTCACCGTCGATTCTTCAGGCTTAGCAGTCGGGTCCACTCCTTTCGGCTCGTCCCATGTCCTACGATCCTTCACCGTTATGCCTGCGAGTCTACGTTTTGAGTAACCACAGCACCTCGCCTGTCGCTGATCGGCCTAAAAAGTGTTCGCGCTGTTACCCTGCAACAGTGGCATGACAATGTCATCATCGTCGCTGCATTGATCGTTGGATTCGCCTCTATATACTATCGACTGTTCCTGGTTTTCGATCTGCCAGGCAATAGACAATCACACGTGGTTCTCAATATCGCAAAAGTCATGCTGGACGACTGGAAAAGATTTCCGATCGAAGAAAAGAACAATTCCACGTCAGCCATGACGTTCTTCAGCAATCGCCACCCATGCCGATTTATTCCCGGGGACTAAGAATTTTTCGAGCTAGTTTCTGCCTGGCACACATCCTGGTCGAATGAACGTTGATCTGGCGGAGATGGATGGGCCAGCTGGTTAGTACTTTGGTGCTAGCTACAAAGTACCTCCGAGCCCTCCCCGCCCGAATCGTGAACCGACTTTCCCCGTATTTCCGTGCGAATCAAGCGCAAAAAGGGTTTATGTGAGGTTAATACGCCTACATACAACAGCAAACGGCCAGGGATCGCTCTTGCCCAATCTGGCATTGTGCTGGCTGCGTATCCAGTCACACGCCACGACACCCTTTGGCCGCTCGGGGTCACGCAATGCCTGTCAGCCCATCTCTTGTTCGCGCTTCACCATCTATCCCTATAAGGATTGAGTTGCATCGCAGTTCTTTGTTTACTCACAGCCATACAGGAGACACGACGGCCAGAACTGGTAGCCACAGGTGTTTGCTAGCACCTCACCGGCGGTCTCTTTGTCAGGGACGGGAAACGGCCCGAACCACTGATCGTGATGGGCCTGACCTTAACATTCGTTGATATGCCTTCATTTGCGGACTTGGAATTGAAGGAAGGCATCATATCTCAGCTGATTGGACCTCCCAGTCGGCTCTCCTCATTTCAATAATTCACTGAGGTATAATCGTGTCCGGCCTGGATGCTCCATCAAGTCATTGCTCCGAAGTCTAAAGCGCGCACGCATCTGAGCGAATACGCCCATCCTCAGGTAGAATCAATACAGCTGCCGGGATATTTCTGGCCAAATGTCTGGGATTGTGCTCGGCAAGGCTGTTGTCTGACTTGTCGTGTCAACGACATGCAACGGATTGCGAAAATGTAGTCGGAGATTTTACCGGCTCTACTATCCCATCCACCAGTAGTAGCTCCGTATTCAATGGTCGGCAATTGACGCCGTTCCAAGTCTAATGTAAAGACACTAGTCCTTCAAACCTTTTCAAAGTAACGACAATGTTGTGTTTCTTTTTCGTGTCGTGTACTCCGGATCACATGAGCGAAAGCGCTCTTTTAGACCGAGAACAATTGACAGCAGTTCATGATCTCCGGACCCGTTGAATGAGTGTGCATACCTCTAAGGGCAATCCCAATGACAAATGGTTGACAACCCAAATTGCAAAAAGCATTGCAGGTGACAACTCGTGCCACTCACCGATAAAGGAAAGAGACAAGCAAGGGATCCTGCTGGTTCCTTGGTTGAACGACGATCGTTCAGCTACCCGCACCCCACGAACCAGTCGGCCAACTGTGCATGTCGTGCAGCTGGTCGCATCACATACGAATCCATCACACATACTAAGTACATCCCGGCATTTGCGCACGAAGAAAAAACACAAAACTAAAAAAGATAACACTTATGCGTTAGCTGGGAGTCGAACCCAGGGCCCAACCTCACGATAATCGAATCATGGAAGGGTTGAATGTTACCGTTACACCACTAACGCCGGCAATAGTACATTTCTTGCACTTATGATATTATAACGTTATGAATATACTTAAGAACAAAGCAATGAGTAACTTTCGGCAGTTGCTCAGGAGTATCCCCGGGATCCATGGATTCATCGAATTTAGACTATCCGATCACTCCAGCGGTCAATCACTGAGCGGATGCCACGTCACCCGACGAACCGCCAGGGATTCATTCAAGCGTGTGAAACCCGAGACTGACTGGTAGACAAGAGCTAGTCTAGGTACTGTACAGAGTAGACTCCTACCCTTTTGAACAAAGATCAAATGCAAGTACACACGGAGTCGTATGACATCCTCCGAACAAACCCTCCCCAAGAAACCACCACTCAACCACTGAACCACACCACCCCAACCAAACCTCACGGACGGCACGGCTCTTATCCCGTGTCTTCCCCTGCAAGAGCCAATCCATGTGGTTGACAGCCTGTGGAGACAAGGCGGGCTACTCTGTGCCCTCGCTACGTACACTAGTCACTACCGTGTACACCGTTCGAGTTGATGGAGAACGAGACGACGCTCATTGCCCAATGCGGTAACAGGTGTCTGGGCGGACTTTTGTCTTCCTTCCTCTTCCCGTGTTCGACTAATCCTTCCTTCCCATCCATCCCTGCTAGTTTGGGGGGTATATCACTCTCGGCTTATTACGGTCAGATACTGCATGTTAAGCATGTTGCAGCTGCGGGTGACTAACAGCCAGCCCGTGACAACCAGTTAACTACAGTTTGTGATGAGTGAACAGTGAACAAACTGTCGAAAGTTAACACCACAGTAAGTTAACTAGACTCGGATAGCTGCTAGTTACCGTCGGATACCTCTCAACTTCTGTTGGAAGGAACAAAAGTTCCTACCAATTGCACCTACATCATCTTTAGTACCGTGGACTGTCAGCAGCATAAGCACCAAACTGAAAATAATCATAACAGTCCGTGCACCCGCTTATCCCACAGACAGGATTCATTATCTCGCAGATGAATGCGGTACGTACTTTTACTAGTTCTGTGTGGACCAAATCTGCCGGCCAAGTCACGAGACTAACTCGACACGACACACCTCACTCTTTTTGTGATGGAGGCTGCAGCCCGCAGGATTCAAGATGCCGCGGGCGCGGACTTCTTCCGGTCTCACTTTTCTTTCGCTTCTTTTCTCTTCTCCTGTAATGATAGTGACTGGATGGGACTGGTCTGCTGTACCGCGCGGGGTATAGTGAAGTCTTGGCGTCCAGTGAGCTTGGTTTGAATACGAGATGTAGTAGAGTAGTTTGTCTAGTTGTGTTGTTCACCGGTTTTAGGGGTTGGGAGTGTCTTTTTCCTACAACTGTTAGTTGGGATCTTCATTTTTTTTGTTCTTGATGGGGGATGGTGATTGCAGTGGTGCTTGATACTACCGTAGATAAATGCATGCTTATACGACATGCTGCTTATAGTGATAAACTAGATGATGGGTATGATGAACCGTTGCTTGAAAGTGGAGTTTACCCTCGAGTCCAACCAAAAGTTGACTATGTTTACCAACAATGATCACACAAGACATAGTTTCATGCTTGGTAACTTAGAGAGATATTCTCCGAAGAATAACACATTTGGCAGTTCGCTGCTATTCATGATGACTCGGCGGATATCTATGACTTGATTACAGAGTCTCAAGCTTCTTAGACATACTGTACCTTAGGTCAAATTGAGAGAGCTATCAATCTCCTGGTCTACCTACGTAATAATTCTGGTTGGGATTATGTCATCTGACTATTCACCGTTATGGTATATATTATCTGCTGTGGACTTCACGTCACAATTGAAGTTATCATATTTAGCAACAAACAATTTAATACATATATAATCAGTTACTGGGCACATCCCACACGAGCATATGACAATTGCTGAAGCGCAATACTATTTAGCTGATATATATAAATCAGTGATTAAGTTATCATGCTATTAGGCGATCTGTTCTGACTCGACCAGAAATTTACCCACTACTACTTCTCAATCTGCTCATACAGACTTGACATAGCACTCCATTGATAATATAACCGAGGATAGCAATCGCGAACTTCAAGTGATGTTTCTTGGAATGATGTGACATGTTTGATGATATGAATAGCATACTAATGGCAACTACCGATCTGAGGTTTTGTTCGGCTACACGAGTTGCTCGATTCCGGTGTGCACATCCGCAGCATGGAGCAGTATTCTCTGGATGGAAGGCTCAGATGGAGTATATAGTGCCAGGATGAAAATGGTATAGTTCGATCAGCCTTGCCCGTTATGTATAAATCGGAGTTGGTGTCTTATCGCACTATTTTCACTGCTCCGTTCCTCGACGCCGGGAACTAGGTCGTCCACAACCAATGCGCAGTTTTGGAGAAGGCTAACAATATACTATAATGATGCTTGCTCGTTACGATAACCCTTGAGGTATGTAAAGTGAAACGACTACACTTGAACCGTCTAAACCGTATTGTTATGTTCTAGCAAGCTATCTTCTACCCTACTACCTCTTGTCACTTGCCCTTATCACAGTATTGTGAGATAATACTACAAACATAGATAGCATGTAGGCCTCTATTTTTAGGGTTATTATCAGTTTTTTTTTTCGTCATGGAGATATCATAGATAACCCATTGAAAGAGGATCACTCTGGATGTGTATTATGCTTGGGTATGCGAAAACCTCAGGTCAACACTTTCTGTCATTGCAATGCTGCGTAAAGCCATGGTCATTGCCAGGAACAACATTCTAACAGGGTAGATAGTGGCCAACAACTACAAAAAAACGATCCACGTGTCGCACTGCTCTTTTCTATCCATCGTGGTATCTAGAATATCGTTACCTGGTTCTTGATCCACCCAACGGGAATGTATATATTTACCCCATCTAGCCCCAACGAATCATCATAAAGGGCATATCTCTAGAAATCACAATTATTAGCATCTACCAGTGTACTAGTATCCACACTACTCCGAGTTGCAAATCTCACTGTTTATAGTCTAAGTTCTCTTATATGTGTTGTTAATGTCTACGGGCGGTTTCATTCAACTGCGCATCCGTAAATGTGTGCGTTTCTACGAAGTCCGGGAGAATGTTTTGAACCATCTATCTTTGAAAATATATGTTCGATCTACGGGCTTCTCAACATTATCTAGTCTTTTGGGATGTAGCTCTAAGATGAAATTAGCATGCGGATTCATATTGTTGTAGATGCGTTTTCGGCTTCCTTCAATGGCTTCCGGTGGCAGATGCTATACTTGTGACATATATAGTCGTACTTGACATAACCAATGTGACGATCTGATCTCGCATCCCACCTAAGCTTATAAGAGATGCGTATTATGAGTGTGTTGACTCAGAACCCTAGTCTCCTATCGTATAGCCTAGCGGTATTGGATTTCGAAAGAATTACTACTCCTGCAGCGCACCAGGAGCGGGTTCTGACAACGAAGGCGGAAATTGTGCGCATGACTTTCATTCTGAGGAGTTTGGGGCTTCAGCTCGTAGAATTGATTCTAGCTGGAGAATTTTATTCAAAGCACGCCGGAACATTGAGACATCTGTAGACTAGATATAAGGACTCTAGCTCCACCTGGACGATGATCAGGAGGCAGTAGTCAATCTATAGTTAGGTGTCAATTATATGATGGGAGATAGTGACGGCAGTATCCTGCACGACTGAACTTCTCTAATACCAACGCGAGCTTATGCATATCGGGATGTTGGTGCTTGGGACCAGAGCAGACAACCGTATACCCGCAAAATATGACAAGGGGGGCTTGTCCACCCACCAAGGTAGAACTTCGATTGTGTTGGCAAGAAGTAAGCCTGTAAAGGAGTTCTAGATCATAAGATCTATGATTCATTGAATTAGATAATCCCTGTCGAAAATCATACCGAGGTTCAGATTCTGGTTCCATTCCAGAGACAGCAGAAAACATGGCTCAATGTAAGCTTAAAGGTTATCCAAAGATGAACCACACCTACCATACGAACGCAGAACAGGCACAGCCAAAGTAGAATAAACTATGTATATTTCCGTGGTTCATCGGACTATTCAGCAGACAATCACTGAGCTCACTCCACATCACCCCGGTGTGTTTGTTATGGGACAAGGCTGACGGAGTAGCTTACGTACCACAGCGGAAGTGTCAACCTCGTGCCATCGCACGTCAGGAGGCTATTACTTCAGATTAAGCTACACCTTTGCTTCATGTGGAAGTCAATTCCGAAGATCAATGGAAGTGGACGCTTAAACCCGACCTTTGGAGTCATGACCCACCTTCCTGGAAGTTGGAAGAATGCACAGCTGACGTTGACATTCAAAACACACCATCAGTAAAGAGTTGGTAGTATGTAATATCAAGTTTCATCCCTATGGGACCGAAAACTTGCAATGCTTAATGCTCATGCAGAGAAAAGCATACCGGGAATGCGAGGAACCGACATCCTGCATAACACTGCCTCGGAAGTTTTATTTCCCTCCTCTGAGACAGCCCCATTGATCACTCTGAGAATTTATCCGATGGGATTTCCACAGCACGGTGTGCCGCCTATCATTGATGCTCGGACGGAAGTTTCTATATCCTGATTGTTAAGCCGAAGCCTGTTCTATATTTATCACTCATGGCTGAGCTGCCCTGAGACTTATCAAGCGCACTAAAAATGGCGATCGAGTTGAGCGACGGCGACCGGAGCAACAATTAAGAATGCGCGGAAAATCGATTCGTCGCCTGATTTTTGAGTAACTTTGTCTATTTTTACTCGGTGAAACCGCGTCTCAGCCAGGAACCGTTACGACACAACCAACACGGGCCATAACGCGGCGAGCCCCTGATCCTCGGGGCCCCCCGTCGTTCACGAGCCGAGGTGATCGTTTAGCGGGACTCGCGGATCAACAGGCGCGACCGTGTTTCAGATGTCACCATGACAAGGTGGCTATGAGTAATTCCAGGCGATGTGCCGTGTGTTAGTGTCGTCCAGCAATGATGGGCCGGCAATGATGGGCCGCCAAGAGCGGTTGGGTGTAGTGGAGAGAGACAACTCACTGACAGAGCATCTCATACCTACTGTGATTCATTACTACGTACAGATCGACCCTCTTCCGACCGAGTCGTGGTTCTAGACCTGTGGGCTTGGCGACCGCAACACGACCTTTGCGTACATTCCTGAGGATGAAACACTGCATCAGGCACGGGCATGCCGGATCGAGCGAGACCCTGACAGAATTTGGGGCGGCCCCTGATGATGTGCGGACTCAAAGCGTCATCACCCATTTGGACCTGCCAGGAACAGCAACGTTGGAGCCAATCGCGGATGCAAATCTGGCTGCCTAGAATAGCAATTGCCACGGCCTCAGCCCCCGTGATTGCGCGGCCCATCTTTTTTGCGGCCAGGGGATTAGACACTTCTATTGGCTGAAAGCCCGGATAAGCCTTGGGTTTTGTGCAGTAGTGGAAGCTTGGCAAGCTATTACACCAATAACATCTCTCGATTACCTCAGAGGAGGGTGCGGGCCTGCTAACGTCACGGACCTGCTTCCATTGCCTCCCCCTCCGCTCATCCTTCCATCCCAGCCCGGGCGGCCGCGTCACAGACCCGGCTGGAAAGGCAACAAGGCTCGCAACCTCATGCCCATCATTGGCCGGTCTTGCGTGATGCTGCAGGTCAGCTTCCAAACTCAGTCGCCCATGCTGACCTTTTTCATGCAGCCGGGCTGCTTCTTGCATTTATAGGGCCCCGTCTGGCATGTGTCTTCCCACCACTTCCGACTCACTCCACCTTTTCCATCTGTCATCTCTACCTAGATTCTTTCTTATATCTTATCCGTGGTTCCTTCCTCTCTGGCCCAGATTTTAGCCATCTACCAACACGAGAAAAAAATTCATTCCTATCCTATCACATCACAATGTCTGCTGCTGCTCCTGCTCCCCCAGTCAACCCTGACCGGCCCGAGACCGGTCACTCGGCTGGCAAGAGTTCCTTGTCCAGCAAGTCGGACCCGAACCAGGCGCTGAGAGGTGAAGAGGCTGGTATGTGAACATAGCAGTGGCTTGTCTGATCTCTTGCTAATGTGGTAAACAGTGTACAGCGTTGGATCGAGTGGATTCTCTCTACGCTCAATGCAGCATCGCGACCGCGAGGGCAAAATCATCAGTACGTTTATAATATCGCCATCTCACCAGTTAAAACAGACAAGAATCTGCCAGCTAACTTGCCTGTCTGTGCGCAGCTGAACCCGACTTGTCCAACCCTACCCGTTACCGATTCGAGCGGCCGCTGGACACTATTCGATCGTTCGAGGCAGCCATCGAGCGACGTCGTCGTGAGGCCATGTAAGATGCGACATGGCGTGTGAATATACTGCGAATGATGTTTGATTCTTGTGATTATGTTTGGGTTCGGCGCTGGACGACGTATGGACATGGACATGGATATGATTTGGTTTGATTGAGCGTGTATATTACTTTACTGGGTATGCTTCTGGAATATTACCTGCTATCTTATCACATACTCTCCATGCGGTGTTCGCAATGAAACCTAACTACAGCTCGCACTGATCGACAACTACTTGACTGTATCGACCTCCCAAGACTTTTCTCGCTTCCGGACGAATAAAAACACCCTCGCAGCTTCCGCCACTCTTGGCACGCTCATTATTCTCTGACCGGCCAGCAGGCGAAGTCTTGGCCGTACATATAGTTTATCCGGTCCTCGACTACGACCCACTGCTTGCCTCTATCCGGAGATAAAGCATCCACTTCACCAAGACGCTATCTGCCACTACACCATGTTTTGGGATAACGTCCCACCCAATAGCCACTCCCACTCACCGTATAGGTCTTGTTTGCTTGGCTAAATATTGAACTTTTCAGGCAGCTATACTTGGCTTGATCTTGGCGTGTCGCAAAGGTCATGGCAGGGGTGTCGGTTACGGTGTGATTGAGTCGTGGGTGGACAGAGGAGAAGAAGAGGCTGCTGTTTAAATGTCTGGTGAAATCCCGGGGGTGATTGAGTTTGGAATTCCGTCATTATAGTCGCTCGTTTGATATCAGTCGCTCTTTTATACCTCCATTTTGTTTGTCCGTTACCATGAAACTGTCTCTGGCTGTTGGAGCAGCCCTGATGGGCTCTGCTCTTGCAGTGGATATTGATCCCATCGTCATCAAGGTAAACCAGCTCAGCTCAGCTGAGATGTTAACCCTGGCTAACGACAGTCCAGGGATCCAAATTCTTCTACAGCAGCAACAACACCCAATTGTACTCCTCACCACCTATAGACATTACTTATTCAAGCTAACCATCTCAGCTACATCCGCGGTGTCGCCTACCAAGGCACGTCCCCTAACCCTCCACCTCCAACCACTCCATCTAACTCATCCCAGAGGACTACACCGGCAACTCATCCTCCAGCTACACCGACCCCCTCGCCAACCCCACCCTCTGCAAACGCGACATCCCCATCCTGCAAGAACTCAACACCAACGTAATCCGCGTCTACGCCATCGACCCCACCAAAGACCACAGCACATGCATGAACCTGCTCGCCGCCGCCGGCATCTACGTGATCTCCGACCTCTCCAACCCAACCCAATCCATCGACCGTTCCGACCCGGCCTGGGAAACCAGCCTCTACAAGCGCTACATGAACGTCATCGACGAGCTCATCCAATACAACAACACATTGGGCTTCTTCGCCGGCAACGAAGTCTCCAATGACGTCGCCACCACCGACGCCAGCGCCTTCGTCAAAGCCGCCGTCCGGGATACGAAAGCCTACATCAAGAGCCAGGGGTATCGGTCCATTGGTGTTGGGTATGCGACTAACGATGACTCCGACATTCGGGACAATATGGCAGATTACTTCAACTGTGGGAGTGACGACGAGAGTATTGATTTCTGGGGGTATAACATCTACTCCTGGTGCGGGGAGTCGAGTTATACTAAGTCCGGCTTTGATAAGCGGACGGAAGAGTTTAGAAATTACTCCGTGCCGGTGTTCTTCTCCGAGTATGGATGTAATGAGGTCCAGCCGAGGAAGTTCACGGAGATCAAGACGCTGTTTGGGGAGAAGATGAATGATGTTTGGTCTGGGGGCATTGTGTATATGTATTTCCAGACGGATAATGATTACGGTAATCCCCACCCCTTATTGCCCTCCTTCACTAATACAACTGGAGGACCGTCAACTAATCACATGAATAGGCCTCGTCTCCGCCATCGACAGCACCAGCGTCTCCAAACTCGCCGACTTCACCTACTACTCCTCCCAAATGGCCAGCGCCACACCCACCGGCACAAACAAAGCATCCTACACCCCCACCAACACCGCCCTAGAATCCTGCCCAGCTGTATCCTCTGACTCCTGGCTCGCGACCTCCTCCCCACTCCCACCCACCCCTAACGACCAACTCTGCACCTGCATGGACAATGCCTCCGGATGCGTGGTCAAAGACTCCGTCTCATCCAGCGACTATGCTGACCTATTCAGCACTGTGTGCGGAATGACCTCCTGCGATGGCATCTTGCATAACGGTACCACTGGTAAGTATGGTGCGTATAGCATGTGCGGCGCAAAGGAGCAGTTGAATTTCGTCCTCGACAAGTACTGGCAAGAGCAGGGGAAGAAGGCGAATGCGTGTGGGTTCGGGGGGTCTGCGACCACGACTAGCACTGTCAAGGCGACGGGGACGTGTAGCGCGCTGATGAAGGAGGCTGGGACGGAGGGGACGGGGACGGTTACGAGTAAGCCATCGGCGACAGCGGCGAGGAGTGGGAGTGCGAGTGGAACGGCGGGTGTGAGTGCTGTTGGTTCGGCAGGCAGTGCGAGTTCGGGAAGGGGAAGTGTGATGGTGGTTAGTGTTGGGACGTGGCAGGTGGGTGTGTATGTTGTTACGGGTGTTGTGGCGGGGTTGGGGATGGTTTTGCTGTAGATGTATAGTTATATCAAGTTGGTGTGTAGGGGACATCGCTCTGAAGAAGAGCCGCAGAGGAAGAACGAGACATCCAAACCACCAAACGAAGACTATCAAATCATATCCCTACCCTTCCCACCCATCTGCCTCCCCCAAAGCACGCGATCAAACCGCCTCTCAACCAGCGCCTGCGCATCCCCCGCATACACAAACACCTTCCCCTCAGCTTCGTCCGGCTGCTCCCCATCCTTGAAGAAGATCAAACAATCCACAACCTCGTACGCATTCGTCTCATAACGTCCTAGTTTCTGCGCCTCTTCCTCGGACTTGACTAGGTACGCAGACCCCGATACCACTTGTCCTTCGCTCCCATTAATAAGGGCAGGATAATCGCCCCATTAAGCAATGGCGTAGCCTGTTACTTCTGCTTTACGGAGGTGTGGCTCCTCGGGCAGATCTAGGATTCGGGCAACTTGCGTTGGTGAGGTTAGGGTTCCGTAGAAGAAGTAGTAGATTGGGAAGGTGGGTGGGGGGCCGAGGGGTTTGTTGTCCTGGGTGAGGGGGAGTAGTGGGTTGGGTGGGGGTTTTCTGGTTAGAAAGGGTTCTGGGGGTGGAGGAGGAGGAAGTGGTGATGGTGGTGTGGAGGGGTCTGTGATTGGGGGCGTTTTGGCCTGCATGATATGTATGAGATGGAAGTGATATTGATACTGAGGTTTGATTGCTTAGGTGTAGAATGAGTGCAGGAGTGAATTGTTGCGTGAGAGCTACGACAGGCAACAATGATGGTAGTAGGCGGTGAAGGGTACGTAGTACTAGAGATCAGCCAGATAAAGATTGACTTGACGCATTCCCAGTATATATCGAGGATGCGGATATGCTGCGTAAGTTCACTGTCTATTGCTTCTTGTGCATATTTGCTCATTGGTCTCTCAGGGTGGGCATCTATTCTGCATACGCCCAAGTGGGGGAAGATTGCTAAACGGCTGTGGGAGGAGATGGTGGAAGAGCTGTCGTTTGCGAGGGTGAAGGATATTTTAAAGTGTTAAGCGGGTAGTCTGGAATGGATTCATCCTCGCCCCAAGGGCAATCTGAGGTATGAATACAATCATGTGAAAATAATAACCAAGTCACCCAATACAAATCAAACTCTCGCCAACTTATTAATACGACTTTTGACATCCTCAAACAGTGGCAACAAAAACACCCTTGATACTCCCCTGTATAAAATCCAATTTACCGTCCATCACCCTTGCCGGCTTCCCCCAGGTCCAATACCCAAACTTGATCGAATTGTCCGTCGCATTGATTTGAGGCTTACTGGTAAGGCCAATGATATGCGTTGTACCCTTCACGTCGCCGCCCCCTAGTACTCTTGAATCAACCCACAAAGCAACACTCTTGGTAGACGACACATCCAAATCCTGCAGAGTGTCGATAGACGGGCCCGCCTCATAGTACGGATTCCAAGTAACATTTGTAAAGAACCCCGTTGCATTATACCAGTTCTCCAATTCAGATGCTGCCGTGTCCAGAGCCACGGTTCCAGACCCGTCCGACGCACCTTCATAGTCGATAAACCAACCCCGGCTGTCGCGAAGACTACACATCATCATCCAGTCTGTCTCCGGCAGAACCAGACTGGAGGATGATGTGCTAATTGAATTCTACTCCACACTCACACCTCACCCGAAAATATCATCATCACGCCATGACCGACTACGCCCAACCCCTTAGTAAAGTCATGGAGACGACCTCCCCCCCACCACCCCCCATGATCCTCCCCGACATGCCCACTCCCGCCCAATCCATCCCCACCACCCTCGAATTCGCACCCCATGCCTTAGCCACCACCCCACCGATCTCTTCCATCGCCGCATACTGAAATAACAGTTGCGCCGGCGGCGACGTGCAATCCAACAACTGCGCGACTATCTCTCCGACGCCTTCATACGCGCTGGCTACACCGAACTGGCTCAGCCAAACCAGCACATCAACGCGCGGTGTCAGACTACCGCTCGTCGGCCAATTCGTGCCCGCGACATGTGGAGCTGGTTTTGGTCTAAGGCTCAGGTGAGTAGTCGCAGCGTGCAGAGGAATACGGGCTGGTTGGCGGTGTTTCAATTGAATGAGAGCCAGTATTGGGGTGGGCATATGGCGGTGTTGGATTCGAATGCTTGGGTTTATTATGGGACGGGTTGGTATCCTGATTGGGACCAGTATTGCTATCAGTGGTAGATGAGTAGGTCGTTTGTTGGATGTGGGGGAAAGATGTGCGCATCTCATTTGCAGGATCTGAGGGGGATTGCTGTGTTTGAGACCCTGGGCGTTTAGCAGCAGATTGATTGGTGTTCTGGAATATGGTCGAGTCTTGGTAACTACGAGAATGTATCATTTTTCTGTTGCGTTTCCCACGTTGATTGCTATGTAGCTTTTCGCATTTATCCTGTAGCATTGCTTCCCAGTGTCAATCTACGATGTCGAACATCATAATCACGTATCCTGTCATGACAATAATGATGATCTGCTTATGCAGTAACCCATCAATATACAAGATGAGATGTATGTTTGAGGTGATAGGACGTTTTCGTCCTGTGGGCACGATAGTGATAGCTGGTCAGCGAATCCTAGCAATAATCCCCCGAAATTCCAGCATACTTCAAGCCATAATGTGCAAAACCCACTAGAGGCGCCATGTAAAGTGGAGACATGAGCACGCAATATCGTTTCAGAATTATGATATCTATTGCAGGTATAACATCAGCACTAGTATGGTCAAAGCTTGTTGGAGATAACGTTGAGACATGGGGAGATTATGGCGCGGTAAGACAGATCCTGCCTAACTATGATAGGACATCATCCACGGACATATTGCAGGGGCTAGGTATGGATATTGTTGTATCCGATATAGCGTCTATGTTTGGAGTTCAGAACTAAGATCCTTATGTTCTACTGTGGATGCAGGCATTAAGAGATACAAAACACTTTTCGACTCTAGCTATATACACATAACATCCCCTCAAAACATAATCAACACACCTATATCTCCCTATATACAATCTATCTTACATCTAAATAACAACTCAATTTCTAGGCGCGGCACAACCGACCATCCTCCAACTGGGTCCAAGCATCCGAGCCGACCGCCTTAAGAGCATAGAACAGTCCGTTGGGATCATACTTGTTTTTGACCTGCAACAAGCGGTCATAGTTGACGCCATAGAAGGCCTTCTTCCAGTTAGGCTGCTGGAAGTTGCCCTCGTTCATGTACGCTCCAGAGTTAGGAGCCAGAGCCTCGAGCAGGGGGATGTAGTCGTAAGTCATCTTGTCCTGCTCGACAATCATCTCGGCGCGGGCATCCCACTCCCAAGGAGTCGTAAGAGTGGTATCAATGAGGGCCTCACGCCAGGCAGGCAGTACAGCGTTGTCGACATCACCTGCAATTGAGCGGTTGACGTTCAGGCCGACTCCGATGAAGGTGGCTCCGTCAGACACGATCTGGCGGTACGCGTCCGTCAAGGCCGTGGTGTTCTGCACCACAACCTCGCGGGGGATCAACCATCCGCCATACTGGGCCTTGCCAACGGCGATCTCGGCCTCCATGGTGTTGAACTCCTCGAGGTAAGTATCAAACATCTTGGCTTCAAGAGTGTAGTTGATGCCGAGCTTGGTGAGACCAGCTTCGAAGGGCGCGACCAACGAGCGGAGGGTGGCAACAGGGACACCGGGTCCAGTGAGAGGAGAGATGTAGAAGGAGGTGTTGGTGAAGTACCAAACACTCATGACGCCAGCGTCAACAATGCTAGGAAGAAGAGTGTGGTACAGAGTGACGGCCTCGAAGAAGGTATCCTGAGTGATGTTGGAGTTGGTGAAAGTCAGGCTCAGACCGGAAGTAGGGGTGGAGGTGTGAAGCTTGGAGGTCATAGCCACAACAACACCATAAGTACCACCACCACCACCACTCAGCGCCCAGTAAAGATCCTTGTACTCATTATCACGGGTAGCAGTCACAAGCTCGCCAGTACCGGTAACAACCTCCCAGGCGAGGACCTGGTCAGCTGCCAGTCCGTAGCGCGACGAGAGCGCAGAGTGTCCACCACCCTGAGAGTATCCACCAGCAATACCCACTGAGGAGCACTCTCCGCCTACGATCTGGTAGCCGTGGGCATCAGCGAACTCGTATGCCTCAAATCCCTGCACACCTGCGCCCAGCCGTACAGCAGCGCCAGTGTAGTGCGAGTCCGTGTAGTTACTGATAAGCGTCCTGGACTTCAGGTTGTGTGTCCACACGCCCAGACCACCTGCACCAGTGGACTTGCCATTGTAGTCGTGGGCGGTGTTGCGGATCACCAGCCGGATATTGTGGGTGTCGGCAAAGTGGAGGGTCGCCGAAATATGCGCAGGAGTGGAGACGTTTACGGCGTAGTCGATGTAGTTGCCCATCGTGCAGGGCTTGTCGATCGGGTGGAAGGGGTCACAGCTGCCATTGGCGAACCATGGGGCCATGACAGAGCTGCTGGAGGTGTAACTAGTGGGCGAGGGTATTAGCAACGGGGATGTGACATTGGGAAATGCACCTTACTGAAGCTCAGGCTCTGTCCATTGTTCCTTCAGTGAGGCACAGACTGAGGCATTGTAGTAGGGAGAGTGGCATGGCTTGCCCAAGGGAATGGTCTTGATGAGGCGACCCTCAACAGTTTTGTTGAACTGAGCCCATTCGCTCTGGGAGGGCCAGCAGGCATCTCCAGGGAAGCAGCGGCAGTTGGAAGAGTTGCTGCTAATGGCCGAAGCCGAGGCTGAGGCCGTGAGGGCCAACAAGCTAGTCCAGAGGGATGGTGCCAACATGATTGAGGGATAACAAGCTCTGCTCGGGAATCCCTCCGAAGAGACCGGGGATGACCGATTTATATCCCTGTCGATAATGCTAAAACTCCTATGCCACTACCGGCAGCTGTCGGCTCCTACAATCACCTACAGCAAGTGAAGTGGGCCTAGTCATTTCCGTTGCTCGTGAAGATATTAATTAGATTGCATGATCCCTGTTGGGTTGGGAGGACACATTTCGTGCAGTCTGCACACGTTTAGGCAGAGAGGTTTCATGGCAACTTGGGGGCTATTCTTCCTGTTCGCCCACATGGTCAGCTGCATGGCATTTTATTTGCTCAAACCACCGCGCCGCTTGGATCTAGTTTCCAACGGTCTCGGCCAAGGTCCTCGAAATATACAAGCTCCTCCACCATCTTCGTCGTCCTATCATGCGAGCTGATCGATATTGGCCCAGGCTTTTAGTCTCTCCGCTTATTGACCGGACAGGGTTTGCCCCGCTTGGGGTCTACGCGGCGCGATTTCCCCGTTCCTGGCGGACGCTTAGGGCATCTCCACAGCGGGTCGTTAGTGTCTGTGTGGCGGCGACGGTTTCTGGCACGGTTTCCAGTCCGGCGATGTCTTACATTTAGCTTCATTTCGCTTGCCAGGATTCGATCCATCGCGTAATCGCCAAGTTCTCGCAATTTCCTCGGCTTTCCCATATGGCTGACAGGGATTATTCCTGCAGAAGTGTGATTAATTAAAATCTCACCTGAAGATGCTTGGTATCTAGGGTTGGGGGATCTCACCCTGCACCGTGTGTGTCGGGCAGAATAATTTTTGTTTTCATGTCTTCCCAGTTTCTACGATCAACTGCGGAATGCCATGGGTTGGGTCCATAATCTTGCCCACCCGGATGCCCACAGCCATGTGGCGCGAGTGATCGCGATCTGCTTGACATTCAGCATCAGTGCGGTGATCGCCCTTTTGCTACGGTTTTATATCCGCTTGCATTCGAAACGTGCCCTTTGGCTAGACGACTACTCGGCGGCATGCAGTGCAGTGTTGGGATTAGCTTACGCGGGGATTGCAGTGGCCCGTACGCTGCCCTTGGACAACCCGAATGACCAGTGCAACTGACAGTTTAGAAACGCGGTATGGTTTAGGACTGGATGCAGCTTCGTTCCCAGATGCGAACGTGGTTATGTTCAGTAAGGTCGGCAAACCTCTGTTTCCGCTCTTTGCCGTGGATTTCTGACACTGGTGACAATTCAGATCCAATACGCCGGCGGCCCCACGTATATCCTCGCTATCCTCTGCTTCAAGGTCTCGCTCCTGACTTCTTATCTGCGGATCGGAGGTTTCGTGGCCACCTATCGATGGAGTATTATTGGCGTGGTGGTAGCAGTGGTGTGCAACCAGGTTATTTTCACTTTTCTCTTAACGCTGGCGTGCAATCCAGTCAGTATATTCCGGTTCACTGCGGGATTTATCTAACAAAAGATTAGGTCGCAAAGCAATGGGACGCGAGTCTTCCAGGAACATGCATTGACACGGTTGCTTCATATTATGGTATGCGCCCACGGCTATCATCATAACTCATACTGACAAAATAACAGCATTGGCCGGTACATCCATCCCCTCCTCTACCCCAGTGAAAATATAATTCATGACCGAAACAACAGGAACAAGCCTGGGCTTCGACATAGTCATTATTGCCCTCCCCCTCCCAGTCCTATGGTCCTTACAACTCCGACAAGCGCAAAAGGTGTCATCCGGTCCTCGCCCTCCCTCCCCTTCCCATCCAACGTACACTAACAAGTCAACCAAAAAATAAAGATCGCTCTCATGGCCCTCTTCGCCCTAGGATTCTTCATTACCATCATACAAATTATCCGTATCTTCACCATCAAGCATCTCAAAACCTACACTGACAGTCAACCGATCGTCTTATGGTCGCAAGTGGAAATAAGCCTGGGAGTAAGCAAGATTTCCGTTAACACCACATCCCTATGCCGCACCACTAACAAAATCCCCCAAAACCAGGTGATAATCGCATGCGTCCCCACCTACGGCCCTTATTTCCACGCCTTCGCCTCGACCCTCACCTCAAGCTACAACACCCGCCGCCAACGACGCCAACACGCCTCGCAAAGCCAGACCATGGATGCTGGCCGCTCGTACGCGTTGAGTGGGGTCCGTCGTACGCAGCGCAACCAGAGTCGCATGTTACCTTCTGAGACGGATGATCAGGCTGAGATCCTGGAGTTGGGGGAGACCAGTGCTGGAAGAAACAGGCCGTGGGATAATTCCGTCGCGGTGACTACGACAATTGGACACGGTGATGGGGATAGTAGTGGCGGAGAGAGGAGTTCGTTGGGAAGTGGCAGGGGGAGAGGAAGTGGAGAAGGGAAGGATGGGGAGGGGCCGTTGCAGATTCAGAGGGTTGTGGAGGTGGAGGTTAGGGTTGATTAGGTTTCTTGATGTATAGGGACTGGTTGGGTATAGAGAAAAAGTGAGAATGTAGTAATAATAATGGTATTTCATATGTTCGTTAAACCTCTTCTACAACGATCCGTTTGTTAGGTTCTATGTTCCTGGTCAGCGAAAGGCAAAAAGGATACACATGCAAAGCTGGAACAGGCCAGTTCTTGTTCTTACCACCTAACAGTGCTGCACTTTTACCCATATATCAACAAGCCAACATTGAATTCTGCTGATGGCAGTCTCAAATCACTCTTTACAAACTCGCTCGTGACCTGCGCTCAAAACGACTCTGGCATACCCACGAACTTTTTTCTGCTCAGTGCAATGTATGTATAAATCTGCGAGGGCCTACAATTACCAGACGTTGCAACAGGTAGTAATGCCCCCCATCAATCGGTGGTAGAACCGGGGAGATCTCCGAGAGCCCGGATATAGGGCACGGCATGCCTATATTCGATGAAGGCTCAGTCATTACTTGGCTATCATTTATGGGGAGTATACTGTGTATGCCAATCTACTTTGTCATAAACTGTGATGGTCATACCTAGTGGTCATCTTATGATGTTCATGAATGTAAGAAACGATTTGCTATCAAACTACGTATACTAAGTCTAGATGCGCCATTCCTTGCATTATCCAACTAGTGCGATGGTGGGGAAGAATGTAGATATGTGGGAACATAATACATAGAGTTGCGTGGTGTGGCGGGGATATGGTGAAGTAATCCAGCATATCGTGTCATTGTCTTCTTCTAAGCAATGGAAGAAAATAAGGATCTGCCTAACCGTCCATCCAGCAAATCCACCATGCCCAGCAGAGGCTGTACAATGTTCATGTACACAGCAGATGCAAAAGAGTCGTCATAGAGCTGCGAATTACCCATGAATGGGCAATGTAAGCACTTGCTTACGACGTCCGCCCACACAGGTCCCGCCTTTCCGCACACTTCTCGCTCCAGGCGCCACGCAACCTGGTCTTCTGTTTCGAGGGCGCCGCCCAAGTCCGGTACACGAAGGGAGGACAGGGATTCGTTCAATACGAGTTCTAAGAGCATGATACCGAGGTTGTAAAGGGCGCGGTTTCTTATGCCAAAGGTTGCTGGCGGTCCGGCTGATGTGTGTGTGTGTTTGATGATGATTCGCTTTGTGCTTGGGGTGGAACAGGAATAGAATGTTGCTTCTTCACGTAAGGTTCGAGTAGTAAACGCTGACTGGTATTGTCATTGAAGAGAGTGAAGAACACCTGATTGCTAGAGAACGACGAGTCTAGCCAATTGGAATTGTGCAGGGACACTACAGACAACGCAACCAATGCGGCGATGTTTACTCGATCCCATTCATAGAAGTAGCCAGGGAATTGCTGGTACCGCGTGCCACTCGACAAGATAGTATGCAACGACATGTCTGTCGGCAAAGGGTAGCGCTCTTCGACATGGAAAGTAGCATGTGTTAGTTGAAAGTGCCGGTTACTGTTCGGTAAAGCGCCGACCGCTCCCCTATCTGGTATATTGCTTAGATGCTGCTGTTCAATAGTAGAAGGGAAACACACAGGCCTTTCGAAAGATCTGGACCGTGTTGTAGACCCTCCACTATCTGGTGCATTGCTTAGACGCTGCTGTTCAGTAGTGGAAGGGGAAGACACCGGCCCTGCGAAATTTCTGGCTATTTTGGTAGACCGATCCTTAAGGCGCAATTTACGACTATCGAGGGTCGCGAGCGGCCGGGTTCGAACGACGGGCCCGCTGTTTTGGCACAATGAGCCAGGGCAGCAGTTACGCTTGGAGCACGTATTAAGGGTGTATACCACCCTTTCCTCCAACATAACGGGTGGCTCTAGCGCAGGTCGAGGATGCGAGTCGACCCACACCTTATATTGACGGCAGCCATTGCTTTGCCTCCGTATATATACTCCGCCAGGAACCCGGAGCAGCGAGCGTAGGTAAAACCCATACGAATGGGTATGGGCAGTGGTACAGGAATCGAAGTGGGATATGAGTAAGCTCAGTAGCGCAGAGCTCTCACTGCGCAGATGCCGGTATCGGCTCACCTGCGCATTTGCAGTTAGAGGTTGTGTAAGATCTCTCAATGCATGTAGTTGTTCGACCAGAGTTTGGAATGCACTGTTTGCTTCTTTGATATGGTGCAGCAGGCCGTGTCGCTGTTTGATGCCGAAGCTAAAGCGTATAGGCTTAAGAGCGGATGAGATCTTAGAAAATACATCTTCGGCGTTTGTTGGCCGTGTCTGCAACATGAGGTAAGCATCAGACCCATGAAGATTTGATAGAGGAGGATGTAAGGTACCCTGTCAATATGTAGCCTCAACGTGTTCAATAGTTTTTGTAGCCGTTCCATCAATTTCGAGTACATCTCCCACTGTGGGCCAAGGTGCGCCTTTAAAGGTGGGCCAATCAGCATGCCGTGTTTTTCGAACCCATTCGGTTCCATCAGCAGTTTTACAATACTCCGGTTGACCCCGGTAATTTTGTTAGTATGGTGGAGACGTGCAGGGGGTTGAATCCTTCCAGCGGTGAGTCTCCTAGCTAACACCGCCTGCCTAAGATAGCTAGCACGCATTGGAATTGAAGCTCACGAACACAGTGAATATGATGTATTCTGCTAATCCTTGGTGTTTCAAAGATCAAAAATGCCTTCTACACCTGAATCTTCTATGCCTGTAAGATGCCAGGCAGTGATCAACGCGGAAGGTAGCCATACAAAGTATTAATAATCCATTAATAATCATGATTAAAAACGGCAGAATTAGAAGGATTCAACCCCCTGCACGTCTCCACCATACTAACAAAATTACCGGGGTCAACCGGAGTAGACTGCGGGTCCAGAAATGTCCGCATTAGACTCAAATATGTGTTGCGAAAAATTGTACCCTGGACCTCGATTTCTAGCTGTATGGCCGCGAGTTCCATTCGGTAGTTCTTCGTCTCCCATAGTCGAAGAAGTTCCAGGTCTTTCTTGCATTCATCAATGGCCGTGATTACAAGGGGGAAGGCCTCCAAGACTGGGCCACCTATCTCAAGTCCAGACATCCGTTGATGGCGTGAGGTGAAGATGCTGAGCGAGGCTGTCAGCAGAATGATTTTGTTGCTGGAGTTTGACCACATTATGCGGGGTTGATCAGGGAGGATAAGCAAACAACCTCGACCATCCTCGCACGTGTAGTAGCAACAATCTTCAGATAAGCATGATTCCGCATGTCGTGCAGACGGCCTGTCTGAATGCCGCGCTCGAGCTGGCAATAGGTTTGGCAGGAAGACGGCAACAGTCTTCTTCAGATCGCAAAAATGCAGACCTGGGCAAGCATATCAATGATCGACTCCGACTCTTCTTTTCCTTCGCTGAATCACATATTCCTACCTCAACGACACTGCCCTACTCGGTGGTTCCTGTTCTCAAGGTACTATGGCGTATACAAGCCATGATTCAGTCAGGTATGATATTTGACTTTGGAAGCCACCACGAAGTATATTGGGACCTACACACTCATTGGCAAATGCTTTCCACTATGTTTAGTGACAACCCGTCCCCTCGACATTAGCCCTGTGTACCAACGTGAGGAGCTGCCGATCCGTCTTGAGCAGATTAGCCATGCAGTGGATCAACTCTACGAGCTAACGCCCAGTTTAATAAATTTGCACAAATTGGAGACCGTCGTTGACAATCGTGATGGACCAGCGGTAAAGCTTGATACTTTTGAAATAACGAGGACCACGGGGAGGCTGGCGATGACCCTGAAAGAGCAGGCTAATACATATAAGACGATTATCACGAGGCATCCATCACAGACTGGATCCAGCTACGAGGAACAGGTGGCAGCCGAACTAAGCCGGCGTCTAGGGGAGTGTATCCCCGGGCAAAATACTAGATTGTCGGCCACAGGTACAAGAGAAGTGGCCCCCTCATTCTCCGAAGCTCTAAGGTTGTACGCTGCCGAATATAAAGAATCAAGAAGTTCAGAGAAGCTTAACCACATTCACATACTTGGTGAGGCTCAGGGCTCCCCTGCACGAGATCTGGAGAGAGCAATCTTGCAGTGTGGAAAGAGGCTGAGACTCCTCAACGCACCCGTGGCACAGTGCCATCTGAACTTTCTGCACATATCTCCCAATCCTTTCGACATAGGGCATATTGAGGAGATGCTTGACCACTTGAAGAAGGACAAAGCTGTAGCGGGCAGAGTGGTAAATCTGGCCCTTCCTTGCTAAAGTAACTGCCTTACAAATTTGCGGACAGCAGCAATCTAACCAGCTCAATACCTACAGGTGCCGAGGCTCACACTGTTTGATATATTCAATGTACAGGCTGATACATACGGAAATATCGTTTTTTCTGGGCTCTCAGACGCATCATTAGCCGCGACACAGGTACAAGAAGAAGAAGCACCACACTCAAAGTTTTCTTTACTTGAACCGACGCCGAAAGATTGCGAGATAAACATCAGGTGAGAAACACAACTTTCCTTTCTCTACATTTCTTAACTTGTAGCTCGCTGCGTCTCAAGGTCCGTGCGACTTTACATGGGCAGATAAAAAAGACTATCCCCTGACCTTGCATAGGGGACTTTCCAACTACACCGAGATCGAGACTTTACGACTCCAGTTCTCCTCTTTCGGAACCATTATCCGCATGGTATGATACTTTCAATGCTTGCCACTTACAATAGCGCCTAGCGCGGGGCTTCTGCTGAAGGTCTGATTGAATTGGGTCTGTCTATATAGGAATTTGATGAGGACACAGACGAGTTCCTTACAGGCGCGGCTTATGATTTCTATGCTTCCCAACGAAACGCTACCGAGTTGGGGAATGAGAGGCCTCCTCCGTCCTCTAGAAGTGGATCCCGTCAAAGAATTACGAGAATTATTTATGCCCGCGATGACGAAGCAGAGGCTGCGTGCGACAATATGAACGGAAGCAGGTATGCTTCGAACGTACCAGTATCACCATATATTCGTTATGGGTACTAAAAACATCTGCTTTTGTTCTCCAGATTCGATGGCGAGCTTATCCACGTCTTCATGGTGAAGAGGGAACCTGGTAGACAGGCTCTTTCGCCTGTTCCTGAAGGTGATGGGCTACATGCTCGACCACGGTACTAACAAGTCTGAAATGCGCGTTTGCAGCTATATGAAAGCAATGACGGAATCTACCTACATGGCTTTCTATGGCTACTATCACATAGCGCATGGCAGGATACAGGGAAAGCTGTCTCGAAGAGCCCTATATGACTTGTTATCTCAACAAAAACCTAATAAATTCTGGTATCACAGTAGCCAAAGGAGAACAAATAACTAGAATGTGAAGGGGGTATTTATTACCTGGCATCCTAGAATAGCTAGGAATTTCCTCCTCTCCCAAGCCGGAATTTATATCAAAACGTCATTTCAGATAATAAGTATGACTCGTCGAAATATTCGTGGCCGTTGTCCCAGTTAGAGTACTGATACGCCTCAGAGGCGAAAGCCCATTATGCGGGTAATAATACTCAACTCAAAGCATAGACCATTTGATTTCATTATGGCATTATACTCAATTTCAGCACGTTGATCGGCACTCTTGCTGAATCACTAACAGCCAGAAGAAGTTAGATACTTTCCTAGCATATGCTAGTAATTTTTTATCCTAACTAGATACAGGCGGTACGTCGTTATACAGATCCTATATAAGAATTATAATTCTATTTCTTATATTACATCCGGATTGGCCGTCTTCGTGTATTAATATAAAAGTCTATAAGAAAATCTTATAGGAAAAACTATCTAGAAATTCCTATTACACTTGGTATAGAGACAGTAAAGGGGAGAAATATAAATAAGAACTATACTCTATAATCTTTCTTAATATATATTAGATATATTTTTCTCTCTGGTACTGGGTGTGTATCTAGTTTCCCCTCTTTCACTGTAGCATCTTAAGGCAGTCGCGCGGATCGAACCCACTATACTTTGTACTAGCGTGGAGTTGAGGAATCTCTCTCAGACGCTCTGTAGGAGTGTCATCCAGGATGGCTTACCACTAGACCATCCGGCCACCTCAAACCATAGACCTATTTCACATCTGCGGGTATCATTTGAGGGAATGTATTGAGCCCAGCAAGATAGTGCCACTAGACACGCTCAGGATCGTTCCCACGCTAGCGCGCTTCGGGGTTCCCGGATGAAGTCGGGAATTGCGTCTGCCTTGTGCGATAGCCACTGGAGCCCTGTCAACCTTAACTGTCCTAGAAAACAATTGTGCGTGTTTTGAAACGAAACCCCAACACTGCAGATACCCCTCTATGAGAATATCATTGCTCCATCCGGGCCTTTGAGATCCCCCACGCACGGCATTTGCGGAGACTAAACTGGTTTCGGTATGGATGAGCGGAATGTGGGGTCGGCAAGCAAGGAGAGCAATGTGGAGGGTTGAGATCTCGGGCGAAGATACTGCGTTCAGTTTAGCAGTGATGGCCTTGGACTTAACCTGCTGCTTGATGATGTATTGAGATAGAATGAAGATGGATTGGTCTGTTGGTTGGAGAGGATGCGGACGATAAGTCTACGGCTCTTCACGGGAACGAGACAAAACGACGAGGGACGAGGGAAATACGTAGAATAATGCCAGGAATTTTAGTTTAAGGAGTGACAGAATCGAGTGAATTCATCCTAAGCTAGCTATTTCACACACAGTGACTATACAAGATACAGGATAGACAATCCATCGTACACGATGTCCGCGAAACTTTTACAAGAAGCGACCCTCCTTGCTCAACCACTCCGCCATGTAGTTGTAAGCAGTGTAAAGAGTGTTACCATACTCTCCGGGGTACGTTTCACACTCAGTGCAAGTGACAATAGTGTGCTGAGCACCCTCGACGAAAGCAATTTCAGCATCCTTGCTACCAGCGGCAAGGTGGAGCTTCTCAGCGTTCAGGTACTCGTAGTGGCCGGTGTTGCCCATGTTCAGCAAAGGCACTGTAACACCGCCGATGTTGCCGAGCGGAGCAGTTTGACTAGAGTTCCAGACAATACCCTCGAAACCATCCACCTTGTACTCGAAGTCGTCGGTGACTCGGATAGCCAGAGTGGAGAGATAACGCTTGATGGTGGTCTTGAGGGCGCCACCCTCGAAGTTGTCGGCAAAGCTCTCGAAGTTAGCGGGTACACGAACGGAGGGAACAATCTGCGTGGTGATCGATCCGTTGCGGTGAAGAAGAGGCCAGGGGTGGGTGGTGTGGTGGATCCAGCGGGTGTCCTGGGCGAAGAACTTGTTGTTGAAGCCGACGTACATGGAGTCGACGATGTAGAAGGGCTCGTCGTCACTGAAGATGCCGCTGCCGTTGTTGATAGCGGCCAGGCGGGACTCGGCGTGCTTCAGGATACGGTTGTTGCGAGCAACGACACCCTTCTCGAAGGCTTTCTTGAAGGACTGGGTGTAGTTGGCGCCGGACTCGGAGAAGCCATTCGCGGTGTTGTAAAGGTTTAGTGACTGATCGATCTTGGCACCTGAGTGCTCGTCAACGATGGCAGGATTGAGACTCAGGAGGGCCATGGTGGAGAGTCCGTAGTTGGCGTCAATGAGAATAAGGCCGTCGGCTGCAGGCAGGTCTGCCATGGCGTCGGAGCAGGGGTAGATACGTTCGGGACCATTGCAAGCCTTGACACCGTTCTCAGCGATGTTTTGGTAGGCAGTCATCATGGCGCCGCCACCACTGTGGCCAAAGATGACAACCTTGTCGATCTCAGTCAGGTTGCGCAAGTAGCTCATGCCCTGGCCGACGTTGGTCATCATATCTTCAAAGTTGATGTCGGTCATGTAGCCGCTCTTGCTGGCATCATTGTTTGCGCAGAAGGTAGTAAAGCCGCGGCGGGGGAGCTCGTGGCAGGCTGAGAAGTTCAGGTAATCCTGCTCAGCGTGCATCACGTAGACACCGATACGGGACAGAGGGCTCGTGGTATTGGGTCGGTAGAGGCCACCGACAACTCCGTCATCATCAAAGTCAATCATAACGGGTTCAGGAAGACCATAGGGATCGGCAACAGCATAGTTGTAGGAGGCAGCAACTCCAGAAAGGGCGCTCAAGGCCATGAAGCCCGCGAAGGCCGCGGTCTTGGAATAAAGCATGGTGACCGGCTGAATTGGAGGAAAGAGAGGAATGATGTCCAGAATATAGGTGGTGGACGGGGTTTATATAGTTCTCTATGGAGCAGACAAGATATGATCATGTCGGCCGGAATAGCTGCTTATGTTTGAAGTAGAGAGGGTGGGACTGGATGACGAGTGCTGCAGTAGATCGCTTCTCTGTCAAGCAGCCGTTGAAGTCCTGGTACAGACAGCCAGTAACAATTGTTAAGATGGGTCCTGCATTGTGCAGAGGACTGGTCGTACGATGAGACGGCACAAAAGTGTCCGTCAATACTTAGCCAAGGCAGAAGCGAAAGCTAGCAGAGGCTAGATATGTCTGTTTGTTGACGTACGCAGTTCCTGTTCTGAGGAATGCGATATCGGTCTGCCGGCACCTGCAGAGGCGTTCTGCAGCAGGCGTAGTCCTAATTCGCCCTGCGTTCAGAGCTACTGCAGCAGTAAAATAACCTGCAGAAACCTACCAGGCACGTTTTCTACATGTTTTCCGGGTCTGGGGACGTTTCCATGAATTGTGGTTCGACCTGGTTGTATCTCCGAGGGCCTCCGCGTTTGGCAACTCCCGCCGAACGATCGTCACAACCCTAAATTACAACATCTGGAGCCATGCCCGCTTATCAGGCATCTGAGTTTACAATTTGGATGTACGGGAAGCAAAAACATAGTTCCTGACATTATCTTTGAATTGGTATATCTAGTATCCACTGATCGTCGGGTACCGTCCTTATCAATTCAATCACCTGAAACGGCCATGAGAAGTTCCCGCAATTTGAACACCGCTCACTGACCAATTCCTCTCCCATTGGCTGTTTGCAAGCCAGCATAGTACGCGTATTTCGTAGAGAGCATGAATCGCTACGTTGATACCGTAGTCAGCGTGGTTACTAGCAACGATGTTGCCCGTCTGTGCCATCCTGCATGAAATGGGCATCGTATGCTGGTTCGCACGGGAATGTAGCTTCCATTTATGATGGCGGAATCTACACCTATTCTAGTATGATTCATACGGGGTATAACCTGCTCACTCGTATGTCTATATATGAATCTTCCGGTAGCTGTATCTAAAATGGTTGTTAGGGTGGATATGTTCCATGACTCCATGAACTAGCTTTTTCGACACACGACGGATAGAGGTACAGACACTATCGGAATTTTACATATCTAGCAAATTTTCCGGCAAAGGCTTACGTTCTTCTGTTGCTTTTTCTCATGCGAACGTACGGTTTGCAATTCATCTTCATGTCGAGGATGGATTCCTGTATGCTTCTCTCCGGAAGATGTCTGAGTTGTACTGTTCCCACAGGAACATCCTATTGACATTTAATGCCGTATAGACTCTTTTTCTCGTATTATTATAGTAAGCGATCATGGTAAACATTCAGGACCTGATATTCCTGAAAGTACATATATAACAGGTACAAGGCAGTCAACAAAATTGAATAAAAAGTGATATCATAGATAGAACATATTTTTGCATCTATTATCCAGATGAATATATTCCATCACTTTATATTGACTCTTCAGTGCCTTTAATGCATCCTTATAATGCCCAAGGTAGAAGGTACTAAGAGGCGACCACAGAAGACATAGACTCAGGGCAGCGACGCAGGGAAATGAAGAAGGAACAAGCATATTGGGAGGCGGGTGAGGGACGAAGAATGGACAGGATGGTAACTCGCAGACAGCCAGGCGGCTGCGACACTCTTTTATATTTCTACTGTGGTATGACTACGCTTTCGCTTTTGCTTTTGTCATTTAGTTGTGTTAGCTACGACGACGACCTTCCTGCGCCGTGGAATGCGTTGCTTTGTGAGTAACTGCAGACTGTTTGGACTTAATGGTGTTCCGGGCCATATTGTTGCTTCGAACGGTGAAGCACCTGCATAGGTAGGATCCCAATAGCGGGACCGATCGGTATAAGTATATGAGTTGAATCGAATTCAAGTAAAGTGGATTGCAGTTGGCCGAGCTGGGCGTGAGGTATAATAGTGCTCTCTTCTAATAGAACTTATTTTACGGTGATGAGTTAGTATGTTGATTCGACTCACTGCGCCCATAGCTGTGGTTGATTGCAACGTATTCCCACAAGTCCCTGTCTCATGGGTAGATAGGTTTGAATGCTGGCTTATGAGAATGCCTTGACCGTGCACTTCACAAAAATTGTATCGGAAATGCGTTACAGCGAACCCCAACACAGTCAATACATCACGTTCAAACCCAAGAATCTGAACACGAACTTGCCCCAAACTCATGGCGCGATCAGAAATCTCACTCATCAGGATAAAAAGCACTGCACACACCACCGATGGATAGACTTGCAAGGGCAAAGGGCAAATTCGCCGATATTCGATGTCAAGGTCGAGTAGTCCATGGCCTTGTGTCCCCCAGTCAGGCTTATTCTGACTAACTTGCCTAGACTTCGGGCTCGTGTGAGTTTCAAGGCATCATAACACCGACCAAATATAATGGCCGCCCTTCCTGGCAAGGGAGTACCTCGAAAATGAGTAAATTTGAATGGACATCTGTCACTACTCCCCTCAACCAAATTGCTGCAGAACCTTTTCTGGGATGTAATGTGTACGGCGGTATCAGTTAAAAATCTTTCTTTTTCCCTTCCGGTCGTGTACTGGGGGTATCCCTTCATCAGTGATCAATTTCGACTCACCCTGCATTACTCGGAGATTACTTATTCCCAGCTCGTACAGCTGCCTCTCCAGCCTTATTTTCAGGGTAAAGAGGGTGCCTAGTAGTAAAATTTACATTTTACTGCCCGATAGTTCTCAAATGGTAGCAGGGACCCCATCTTATAGGAATGTAAATCGTACCAGCTCATAGTATGGCAAAAGAGGAAAGGCGTAACTGGCATGAGCGATGCCCTGAAGCAGCTGTAGGCTTCCTGGATGATGATTGGAAGCATGGCAATGCGAGCGGTTAACATCCTCGGCATGTAGTTGAGTTGCTTTGGACGACTAGAAGAAGCACACCAGATTCATGACCAAGCCAAATGAGCTACTCATTATCTTAGGATTCACCAACGGCATTATGCAAGGGATGGTGGACGAACCAACGTATTTGAGCCTATCCTCGCCTGGATTCAAGAATTTAAGTCGGATACAAGACAAGCCATGGTGGTCGGCCTAAGCCATTCGCCATTTTGAGATGCATCTGCTCCGTAACGGCAGTGTCCACAATCGCGTGTCCTATTAAGTCCCAGGCACGGCCCAACACAAGTGGGTGGAGGATGGCCTCAAGTATGTGATTAAGTGAAGCACAGGCCACGGCATATCTATTGGTCCTCTAAATCCCCCTGTGGGTCATAGTACACCATAACGAGAAATCAGGATATTATCAACCGGCGGCATCGAGGCAAATTCTGCGAATCATGACACTCGACATAACACGGACGAGCGGGTCGGGGAGATGGGCAACATCTGATAAGCCGACATGAAGACATTTCGGAGATGGAGAGTCTGAGGAACCGAAATCCTTCTCACCAGGAAAGGCTGTATCAGGAAAAAAAACATCCATCAGCCATCCACTCGCACGATTATTCTTGTCAATAGCAACGTTAACATTCTGTTAGCACTCACATGAAAGAACGTGTCGTTCAATACGGTAGTAGTACCTAGGTCATGTCCTAAGTGGCAGCAGAAATCTCAATTGAATGTTCGAGGAAAGTCGATAATAGAATTCTACAAACAGAGTTCATCAAGAAAAAGGTGGGTTATCGGGAGTCTGTCTTTTTCTTTTCGGGACCTTGGCCAGCTTCACCTGCTCAAGGAAGGCGAAAGCCACGGTGGGCAAGAAGTACCGTACTAATCAAGCGAGGCATGGTGGGAAGTTCTATTGAGGAAAGGTTTTTGGGTTCTAGAAGGACTTGATATCATCTATAAAGCATTGACAATATTATGGGCGAAAATTATGTTCAAAAAAGGTATATACCTCGCATTCTATACTGAAGTATCTTTCCTCGCCGTGTGAAGTGATGGAACGTACAGAGCAGCCTTTTGTTGTAGGAAAATTGGGCTCCATTCATCTATTTCAGCAGTAATGCACCAAGGCACCAACTTATACTGTGGGGGGGAAATGCAGGGGTTGTGATCATTCTGCACTTGAATCAAGGAACTCTGCCGTATTGTAGTAATTAGGCTTGTTTTTTCAAGCCATGTATCTTCATCTCTTCAGAGCCCCAATGAGACGGTCTACAAACACCCCGGGTCAGATGGTGCTCGCAACTCAATCCTTACTTGGATTTTGGAACGACATCTGTCACTCAAGTTCGTCTGCGCTGCAGCATCAAGTCCACTACTTTCTCTCGGGCACTTGTCAGATACCCCTGAACTCCAATACTTGTTAATATACTCAAGAGGTACTAAGTAGCTCGTTGCGATACGGTAAGCCTTGGCAAATTTTGTGGTGGCTTATTAGCAAATTGAGCTAATGCGTCCTTCACTGCGCTTACTCGTCACGCAATATATATTATGCCGGCAATCGTAATACCGATATCGGTATTACCAAGAGGGGAAGGTTGTGAAATATGATCCAGCAACCACTCTACCAATTTACACAATTTATATCTTCTGTGGTTTAAACATTTTTCCTGCTGAAAAGTGAGGCTTGAAGCAACTGCTGGCTTACCTGACAGGATGTTCACAAGCCCGGGATCGAGGTCCCGACAGCGACACCACACCGATCAAACGGATCAGTGAGCGCTGCATAATCAACATGAATTTCCACCTCCAAATTAACTTCTTCTAGGCTCAAGCCTCTTCTAAACCACTGCACCGTTATGGGCACCCGACGAATACGAAGGAGCGGACTCCACCAGTCTCCCGGATTATCGCCGAAAAGTGCTGCAGTAGCTCGGCGTGACACGCAATCAGAGCAAGCTTCATAAATGCTTCCGAACTCCGACGGTCATCCTTATTCGATATACCCCATACCGTATATTCAGGTTCTGCTAAGGTTCGACCACGAAGCTTGGTTCGCCGGGAAGCATGTACGGCAGAGTTCTTCCGAGAAGGGGGTGTTTCGTGATTTTATGATCCCACCAATAATCACACCGACACAAGTGGAGGGCGAAAAGAGGGGAACCATTCGCGACTCAGTGTCGGAATCTTGTTCGGCCTTGTAGACTCAAGAGCGGAAATAGAAGAGGATGGGGTCATCCGAACGGAAAGCTTTCAAAAGATTGGCGACCCTCTTTCCGTAACGGGCTACCAAGACAGACCGTGCGGTTTCATCCGTCCCTTCCGTCCATTGAGTGCCAATACAGGAGATAACGATGTGCGAATGTCAGCTGCAGTTGCTTAGTTTCGCAAATTAACGGGAGCAAATTGGCCGCTCTCTACCGTGTAAAATTCAGGCCATCATGTGGTCGGATTTTGCACGCACAGAACTGAGACGCTTGAGCGAAACTGCAATTACGTACAGTATAGGGTTTTGGTCCGTCGCGCACCCCACAGGGCCCAAACAATGGGACGCGATTCTGGAATCCGGCAGCCCAGGATTAAGGATTGGGAATGGGACTGCCAAGAAGCCCCTGACTCAGAGCTTGGAGCTTGGCGAAATTCAGCGTTCATTTGTTCCTGCCAAGCCGCGAAATCATCTGGGCTGATAATGATGTTCTGATATAGGCCCAGGGTCTTCTGTCATTCGATCATTTATATTGCCCATAAATTAAGAATCTCCAGCGTCAAGGCAATTGGTGGAAGACCCGGTTCCACTAGCCCTAAGAAGCTTCTTTGAACACCTCCACATTGTCAACGGCCGGCCCAATTGCCTCACTCCTCCTAGTCTTCTCAGATATGGTTGTTCAAGCTGTGACAGAACCCCGCCGGCGTCTCCACACGGAGGTCCTGAACCTTATGAGGCAAATACTGACCGATAACAAGAGCTCATGTTGAGTGGATGGCATGCGGTTCCTATAAGAATGAAGTCTCGCAGCGTTCTCTGGTTCCTCCATCAGCAGCAAAGTTAAAATCGCCGATCAGTCGATCCTTAACAGCAATCATGGTTAAGTCAATTCTTGCATCCGTTCTCTTTGCAGCGACCGCGCTGGCCGCGAGCCGCATGACGGCTCCTTCCGGTGCGATTGTCGTTGCCAAGTCCGGAGGTGACTACGACACGGTAAGCATCTCGATTGTCGATCGCATGTTGCAGATGTGTAGCTGATAGTGTTTGCTTGGACAGATCAGCGCTGCCGTTGATGCTTTGAGCACTACTTCGACCGAGACCCAGACCATCTTCATTGAGGAGGGATCCTACGACGAGCAGGTGTACATTCCTGCTCTCAGTGGAAAGCTGATTGTCTACGGTCAGACTGAGGAGTACGTTATCTGCTGTGTATGGAAAGCCAAGGATACTAATGAGGGTTTAGCACCACTACCTACACTAGCAACCTGGTCAACATCACCCATGCCATCGCGTTGGCCGATGTCGACAATGACGATGAGACTGGTCAGTTCACCAGACGGGAAGATATCCATGATTTCGCTGACAATACGCAGCAACCCTTCGTAACTACGCTGAGGGCTCGGCCATCTACAACCTTAACATTGCCAACACCTGCGGTCAGGCCTGCCACCAGGCTCTCGCCGTGAGCGCCTATGCCAGCGAGCAGGGATACTACGCCTGCCAGTTCACCGGATACCAGGGTAGGACCAAATCCAGATATGCCAACCAACCCTGCTAATTCCGACAACAGACACCCTTCTGGCCGAGACCGGCTACCAGGTTTACGCCGGAACCTACATCGAGGGCGCCGTGTATGTCTCCCATCATACCTCCAAAAGGGGGAACCCAGCTAACATGATCACCAGTGACTTCATCTTCGGACAGCACGCCCGCGCCTGGTTCCACGAGTGCGACATCCGCGTCCTCGAGGGCCCCAGCTCCGCCTCCATCACCGCCAACGGTCGCTCCTCCGAGTCGGACGACTCTTACTACGTAATCCACAAGTCCACCGTCGCTGCTGCTGATGGCAACGATGTTTCCTCCGGCACCTACTACCTCGGTATGCCACTAGCCTAGATTCGCGCAAAAAAGCTACCAGCTTACTGACCAAATATTATAGGCCGCCCCTGGTCCCAGTACGCTCGCGTCTGCTTCCAGAAGACCTCCATGACCGATGTGATCAACCACCTCGGCTGGACTGAGTGGTCGACCTCCACTCCCAACACCGAGAACGTCACCTTCGTTGAATACGGCAACACCGGCACTGGCGCCAAGGGTCCCCGTGCTAACTTCTCTTCTGAGCTGACTGAGCCCATCACTATCTCTTGGCTTCTCGGATCTGACTGGGAGGACTGGGTTGATACTAGCTACATCAACTAAACTTGTGTGAAAGTTGTTAGCTGGTTGGAGAAGGGTCGTATATAGTGTTGTGGATCTGTATATATGTGATATGGAGTATATAGCTAATTGTGGTTAGTTAATCACTGCTCAATTCATTTCGAAGCAACTTTGGATTGGTGGAGTTTTGTGCCGTGATCGGAGAAGTGACTAGAAGGCAATTGGAGTAATGCGAACTATTACGAATAACGTTAGCGTGCGTAATCGCAATGAGCTAGCTAGCCACCACTCCTAATATGGAGTAGCACAGAATAACTCTGCATCCTGCCACGCACACTATCTTGCTCTTCATGATTCATGTACTCTTATTTACTCTCCAATTATGCCCCCTCCCACCGACCTGATGACATAATTTGATGAGCCTACTCATACCGAACCTTATTAACCAACGTCCCAACACCCCCAATTTTAACCCGAATATCATCCCCATCCCTGAGCACCACCCTCGGCTCTTTAAAGAAGCCAATTCCCGCCGGCGTCCCGGTAAGAATAATAGTCCCGGCCTCCAACGTCGTACCTTGTGACAGGTACGCGATCGTCTTCTTCACCGAGAAAATCATATTCTCCGTGTGTCCATCCTGACATACTACACCGTTATGGATAGCCTGGACAGACAGGGTCTGGGGATCAGTGATCGCAGAAGTGGAGACCAGAACAGGCCCTATTCACAGATAAATAAATCATTAGCCACGCCCACCACAATACCCAACAATAATCAATGGAAGAAAGAAGGGGGGTATATACCAATCGGACAACTCCCATCCAACCCCTTCGAGAACCCCCACTGAGAGGTAACAGATTGCAACCCCCGCGCAGAGACATCATTCGAAGCCGTATACCCCAGGACGTAATCCAGCGCCTCTGACTCCGGGATATCGCGACCTGTCTTTCCGATGACGAAACACAGCTCCGCTTCGTAGTCGCTTGTTCCATCCTGGGCGCATTTCGGGACGTTGATTGTGGCCGGGTACGGGCCGTTTAGGGCCGTCCGGGGCTTCGAGAAGATGGTTGGTGCGGTGGGGAGAGATAGGTTCGCTTCTTTGGCGTGGTCGGTGTAGTTGAGGCCTAGGCAGCGGATGTAGGTGCATGTTGAGGGGGGAAGGGGGGAGAGGAGCTGGTTTGGTGGTGTTACATTTTGTTCGTAAGGAAGGAGGGGGAGGGGTGACGTGCCTGTTTAACGTGCATTATCTGGCTGGTTACGCGGCCATTGAAAATGTCGCCGTTGATTAGGTATGCTGCGATGTCGATGCCATTAACGCTGTCTTCGCCGACATCGCGGGTGGGGTCGACGAGTTGGCCGAGGTGGGTTTGGCTGTCTTCCACGGCGATGAAGCGGATGAGGTGTGTCCAGGACATGATTGAGGGTTTACTCTGAGGTGCTGGGTGTATAGATGGGTGGTTGAGTATACTGGGTGTATATTTGGGTTGATTCTGGTGGTTTTGTATGAGGGGTTGGTCCCACATTGTAGCTTTGCGGGGCTACTTGAGATGTGGGATCTATTCCGCATTGCCGAAAAAGCGGCTGACAGTGAGATACTCCGTCAGAAGATGACTTGATTGAATTAATGGTTTTTGAAATGCGGGGTAAGATCTCGTGTTAATCATTTCTGCGATAAGAGCTGCAAGAGGGAGGAAAGGCTGACCCAAGCGTTTGCATCCGTATTAACGCCAGGTAGAAAGACGAGTAGCGAAGCTGTCATTGAAAACAAAATTTGTGTGGAGTATAAGCTATGGCACAATACGAAGAACTAACTTGTCATACAATCATTTCAAAAACGTAGGCGGCACATCGGGTCCCCAAACTGCTAACGACTCATCTCCAGCGGGACCGTACCCAATTGGAGTCTCGTCAGTCACCAAGTCTCCGTCTGCATAATGCTCGACCATGTTGCCAGTCGTGTCCCACCAGTAGTCGAAGATCTGCGAACCGAGGATATGCCGTCCCACTCCCCACACTGACTTGTAACCCTTTCCGGCCAGCCAGTAGTGTCCCAATTGCTGGGTATCGAAGTCGTGAACCTCGAAGGAGCAGTGGTGCACATGAGATGTCTCGTTCGTGCTCATGAAGAAGGAGTGGTGGTCAACGGGATCGCTTCCCCGATCGATGTGGGCAAAGACTGCTACGTTCACTTTCTGGCCGTCCTTTTCCACGTAGAGGAAGTCACTCGGGACGAGGTTGAAATTCCGGGTGTAGAAGCCGAGCATTGTCGGGAAATTCTGTACGCAGTATCCAAAGTGACCAAGCTATTTTTTGTTAGACAATGGGTTTTGCTAGTTGGAATGCCTCATACCTTGTGCACTGGTGCCGGTCCGACATTAAATCGGTGAAATTTTCGCAGACGGGGTTTGTCTGCCTCGTAGTTGACAACCAACCTTTCTGGATACTCTCCTACCTCCCGTGGTGTCTGTCCATGGATCAGGTTGACAAGGTATCCTTCCGGATCAGTGAAGCTGACCAAGTGACCACCGCCGGGATGGTCGACCAGTTCTTTGATTCCACTGGCGTTCGGAAGTTGCAGTGCCCTGCTTCATTTAGCATACCGAAATAAGATAGTAGAAAAGGGGATTGCTTACTTCTCCAAATCCTGATACGACTCGACCTCAAAAGTAGCACCCAGGAATTGCTTAGGTCCTTTCCTTGCATAGTAAACATAAGGGTCGGGTCCATAGCCGCGATACCAGATCTGGTCGTCTGTTTGCTTGACAATCTGCATGCCAAAGTCTGGGTGAGTTAGCAAGCGTGCTGCTAAGTCCGAACTTACGTATTCACGAACCCTTTAGGAAAACAGTAATCTGATCCAGATCCGGATGCTGGTACCGCATATGCGACAGCTTCACAAGACGGATCTGAGCGTCGGTGTTAATACCAACTCGCTCTCTCCAGGAAGCGATTGATTCGAATTCTGATCCCTTAGTTGTTATGTCTGGAACAGATGCGCCATGGCACACGGTCTGTATGTAGTAATTAGTGTGGTATGTTAAAAGAGGATCGGAGCCTTACTGGTTCCCCAGCGCTGCCCATCTTGACTATTACTATGTGTTTTGCACCTGTAAACAATGCTAATCTCGCCTAAGCGTAAGATTCAATGTTCAAGAGCTCAGGTCTAGGCAGAAAGAGGTTCGTGTCTATTGAAAAGGCGGAACTGCGGTGAGGCCCCCCTTCTCGTGTGGGGTCACAGCGGGGGTGGGGCTGGAATGTGGAGCTACAGGGGGGGCTCGGATGTATGCATGTCGGCTCAGATCAGCGCGATGGTCACGTATTACTTCTTCAGATTATTGGGCAAAAGACAGGATTGAACCTGTAGATGACTCAAGGTGTCATTTTGCTAACGAACGGCACGACTCTTACCCGCAAATACGGGGGTCGGAACTAGATACAAGAAACATAAATGCCGAACATTTTGGAATCAACCAAACATAGCTCGATTAGCCATGGCCGATACTTCCGACAAATGCTCACACGACCTTTAATCTCACACTAGGTATTGCGAGGGTGAATCATTTGCACACACCCTGTGCCTGGCTGGGGGTTTGCTATACAATGACAGTCAGTCTTCAGCCGAGTCTGCTCGAGGTACGGATGTCACATACCACACACAAGTTCGATTCACAGACACCCATACTTCCATCTTGCTTGCAAGGAGCACCAGAAGGGAGCTGTAATTTCTGTTAGCACCGCATATTCGTGGAGCTAAAAGGGATTTGCGGACCTTGGCGGCAAAGGCAGTGCCAATGAGGGTGATGATAGTGATCGCAGAGAAACGCATCTTGAAAATTTAACCTCTAGAGTATTGTAGTTCTTGTTGAATATAAATCCTCGTTGATTTGTTTGTCCCATACAAAGATGTTGCATCCAATTTATATCTACGATTCTCCGTCTTCTGGTAACTGATGTTGATCGATATCCCGGGATGGCCTCCCTATCCCGAAGTGAAGCAAAAACAGCCATGTATGATCGACATCGTGGATTTACGCAAGTTCTGCCTTGTGGGCCACATATCGATAACCATGCACACTTTTCAGCATCTCCTGGAGTATGTCTCAGGCGATATGCTTATACCGGCTAAAAATAGCCGGGAAGAGACAGGCATTTCTTGGTCGTTCTTAGCAGTACCAGACCCATCCTCAGTGAGCTTGCGCCAATAATCCAATATAAATTCTCGAACGAATGGAAGTAAGCATAATACACTAAACATCCAGATTTCTTTTTTAACTTCCTCACAATTGAACCATCTCCCACAATGACATCCACAACTACCACCTCAGCAGCAACAGCATCAACCACCTGCGGCGGCTCCGGCCAATACGAACTCCCCGTCAAAGACGCAGCATGTGGCGTGCCAAACATCAAAAACTACCAATTACTCCTCGATAACTGTGCGAAACCCGCCGGTTCCCGATCATACTTTCACGATTGTGCTCTCTGGAGTTATGCCTTAGACCAATCTGTCCAAGACCTCACCGACTGTCTTTATAAGGCTGGGGTAGCGTGGGAGGATGTTTGGTGCACAGGAAACACCAATGCGACGGCAACAGTCACCTCATATCCAACCGCAACGGCTACGGGTACATCAGGTACAAAGAGTGAGGGGGCGAGTAAGACAGGAAGTTCGACTTCTTCTACTGCTTCTGAGACAGCATCGGAGAAGAATGCGGCATATTCTTGCCGCAGTCAGGTTTCTACTAAGCTTGCATTGGGAATGCTGGGGCTCGTTGTGACGGGGGCTATGGGCTGGCTTTAAGGGGGATTGTCTGGCTACTTCATGTTGTTGAATTATCTTGTAGTAATTCTTTGTATTGTACTTATATGGAGATCGTCTTATCCTGCAATTCAGATTCCTCTCACCCAAGTAGAGTATGTGCCTAGAAGCAGACCGTTACTCAGGCCAGGGAACCTCAAACGTAGTGGCTAAATGCTCCCGCACTACTACACCTTGGACATCATGGATATATTCAACCCAGCTGTTATGAAAATTTTATATTGATGCTGATATATTTAACCTATGATGGAGACAAAACGCGAACCGGGAAGAGAAACTCTAATATCCTTGACTGAAACGAGTGTTAGCTCACAATCCCATGAGGCACTTCTGATAACTCACATTGTTTCGCCCGAATTCAATGCCAAGTCTGATCTCCAACTTGTAGCTCCGGGTGACATTGCATGTTTCGAATGTAGGTGTCAGGCAATGTGGTAGACGATGCCTACTCCATACCGCATCGTCTAGAGTCATGACCGTCCCAGACGCTGCCATTGCATTCAAAAATGGTTTTCCCAAGTTTGTTATCGTCTGTATAATCCACGAGCGGGTAGCGCTTTGCATTATCCCATGTGCCCTGATATCTGTTGTTTCGATAAGCATGGATTGGAAGTCCCGTAGTGATACATCGGGTTTCTCGTCATTAATGTTGGTGACCTTTACACTCAGTGCTATTGGGTGTCCTAGCAGAACAAACGGTCCGTTCACCAGTTCGGCTTGGATTTCATACGTTAGTGGTGGAGATAGTAGCTCCGCTGCCTTCGTATTGCATGTCACAGTCTTTCGGACTACTACACTCTGTGATGGCTTAGGAACAGCAGACACCGGATGAAAGGATATTTGGCGGGTCTATTCGATGCTGTTAGCACAGGCTCTAGCCGCCCAAGATGGTATACTCAACGGATCTGTAGGTTCTGTACATGAGCCCATTCTGCGTGATGATAGCTTCCAGAGAATATCTGATCTCCTCAGGAGTGTTGAAATTTCCACTGGACGGCGGAAGCTTTCGTAAGAGATGGTGTAGTTGACGGTTTGCTGATCGCGTGTGAACGGCATCTCTAGTACTACCCTTGTAGCATTCCGAGACATGAGGAAACTTCAAGAGGTTAGGTTTCTGTTCAGCAAATGTGTGCGCAGATGCTAAAACATACCATAATGGAGAATGGAAACGAGTGTTCCCCGGGGGGCATCGTAACGGCTCCCGAAGTGAACCATCCGGCACAGTTGACGGGCGGGAAAATCTGTTCATTCCGTTGGAAGAGCTTTTTCGGTAGGGTTAGTCTACTTGTATATAGAAGTGTAGTGACAGCACATGCCTTGTGTGTTTCATTCAGCTTCCTCGAGTTTAGCCTCGATGTTGCCTGACCGGATAGACTGATTACTATCGTGGCGATGTCAAGTTCGGTATCACTGCGAAGGACGACATGACCGGACACCTCGTCCTCATTTGTGTAATAGACCACCTTCTCGTCGAGCTGGATTGCGACTTCCATGTTTGCGGGATATCCAAATAACCGTGCCACTCTTGACAGCATGAAGCTATGGTGATGGGAGGGTTGAACTTGATACGGCATGCACATGCTCAATAATGCGGAACACGCCTGTTTGCTTTGGAAAGTGTAGATATAAAAATCGCAAGATCTGTAATTAATACTATGACAGAAGGGATAGCTGTACTCATAAATAAGAAAAATTATTGTTTCATCTGCACTCAGTCTTGGTATCGCTGTCATCGCGCCGAGAACATGCCCGGCAGTCTTCCAGTGCTGCACCTCACGTTTTTTTCCAGCAACCCTCACCCGCAAGGAACAACCACGGACCAGACTGGTTCTTGAGACTTTCGCTACTCAAAGGCGTAACTCTTACTGAATCAAATCGCCGAAGATCCGGATAGAAGCCTCGACCAGTTTCCCGACTATATTTAAATTTGATTCCGAGGCCGCTAATTGGCTCGGCATAAGGGCGGGGTGTTGGAGATCCAATCAGAATATGTGCTGCTGCTGAGACATTCACTTCAAGTTGTTGGGTATACTATACTACTAGTAGTAGAGCTGACAGTATCTGGGAGGACATAGTCCATCTCCAGCCGTCGAAAAGGCGCGCCTCATTCAACGCGTACTTACGCTTTCTCGATCATTTTCTTGAAAGCTCTGGACATCAGAACAACATGGATAATGCCCAGGATCAGTCGTCACGCCCTCTCTCATTCGAGTTGGAGAGTAGCCACCACTCACTTCGCCAGCTAACGCCTCCCATTGTAGGCTTATCCGCAACAGCAGCATAAAGATTTACTGGCTAAATCCTAATTTAGGCCAGTTCATATTCGTTCAACGAGAATGATGATGCCTCCCACTCGCTGCTACCGGCGCCACTTGACAACCATCATCCTTCTGCCAGCTCACAAGGGCCTCCTGTTATCATACAGTATAACCCTTACAAAGACCCGCACCAGCAAAGTGAATCCGAAGCGACCAGTCAGACATCCTGGCAGCGACGACAGACTACAAAATCGGTCTCAGGCTTGCGCCGCTACCCAACTCGCAGGATCAATCTAGTTCAGGGATCCGTTCTTAGTGTTGACTATCCTGTTCCTAGCGCCATTCGCAATTCGGTCGAGGCAAAGTATCGCGACTCAAGTGATGCTACAGCTGAGGAGTTCACTCACCTACGATGTAAATCAAGTGGACCTGCACATTCGAACCCCAGCTGACACGATATCCTAGACACGGCTGCGACTTGCGACCCCGACGATTTCAACTTACGCAATGGCTATAACTTGCGGGCCGCCATGTTCAATCGACACACTGAGATTTTGATTGCAATTACCTATTATAACGAGGACAAAGTTCTTACCTCTCGGACTCTCAACGGAGTCATGCAAAATATTCGAGATATCGTCAATCTGAAAAAGACACAATTCTGGGACAAGGGAGGACCTGCATGGCAAAAGATTGTTGTCTGTCTTGTGTTCGATGGTATTGGTCCTTGCGATAAGAACACTCTTGATGTCTTGGCCACAGTCGGCATATATCAGGATGGAATCATGAAACATGATGTCGATGGGAAGGAGACAGTGGCTCATATCGTATTGTACCCTCCTCTATCGACATAGAAGACATATTCAGAGGCTGACTAAAATCATTGACTTAGTTCGAATATACCACACAGCTATCGGTAACCCCTTCCCAGCAGCTAGTCCGCCCGCAGAGCGACAGTCCTGAGAACCTGCCGCCCGTACAGATGATCTTTTGCTTGAAGCAAAAGAACAGCAAGAAGATTAACTCACATCGTTGGTTATTCAATGCGTTTGGAAGGATTCTAAACCCGGAAGTCTGTATATTGATTGACGCAGGAACGAAGCCCGGTCACAAATCCCTTCTTGCGCTCTGGGAGGCGTTCTACAACAACAAGAATCTGGGAGGCGCCTGTGGCGAAATCCATGCGCTACTCGGCCCACGATGGGAGAAGCTAGTCAATCCCTTGGTAGCTGCGCAGAATTTCGAGTACAAAATATCCAACATATTGGACAAACCTCTAGAGAGTGCCTTTGGGTACGTCAGTGTTCTTCCGGGAGCATTTTCTGCTTACCGCTACCGTGCTATCATGGGTCGACCGTTAGAACAGTACTTCCATGGCGACCATACTTTATCAAAGAAACTTGGTAAGAAGGGGATAGAAGGCATGAATATCTTTAAGAAGAATATGTTTCTTGCCGAGGATCGAATTCTGTGCTTCGAGCTCGTTGCAAAGGCGGGATACAAATGGACACTCAGTTATGTGAAAGCCTCGAAGGGCGAGACAGACGTTCCAGAAGGTAAGATATCCCACCCTCAACTGTACCCCACCTACTCTAATGCAAGCAATGCAGCACCCCCAGAGTTTCTTAGTCAAAGGCGCCGATGGTTGAATGGATCCTTCGCAGCCAGCCTCTATTCGGTCATGCACTTCAACCGCATCTACAAAAGTGGCCATAATATACTCCGACTCCTTTTTCTGCATGTGCAGCTCGTCTATAACATCTGTCAACTTACTATGACTTGGTTCTCTCTCGGTAGGTCTTCTGCGTATAGCTAAATGATTGGCGCTAATCAGGACAGCTTCCTACTGGCTTACTACTTCGGTCATCATGGACATCGTTGGGACTCCAAGTGCGACGAATAAAAACAAGGGATGGCCATTTGGAAACGCTGCATCACCTGTCGTCAATAATATCATCAAGGCTTTATATCTGGCATTCTTAATGCAGCAGTTCTTCCTTGCGCTCGGAAACCGGCCTAAAGGGTACGTGCTCCGGGCCTGCCATGTAGTTCCTAGACTAACAACAAATTGCAGGTCCCAAACTTCCTATATTCTAACCTTTCTCTATTTCGCTGTTGTTCAACTTTACATCCTCGTACTATCGTTTTACCTTGTAGCCCAGGCATTCGCCGGCGGCAATATAGATCTCGATTTCGATAATGGGGCCGGAGGATTCGTGGGTTCTTTTTTCACTTCGACTACAGGTCTAGTGTTGATCGCGCTGGTCTCAACGTACGGAACTTACATCATAGCGAGCATACTCTATTGTGATCCTTGGCATCTTCTGACATCTTCCTGGGCGTATTTTCTCGGGATGCCTTCGACCATCAATGTCCTTAACGTCTACGCGTTCTGCAACTGGCATGATGTCTCGTGGGGGACGAAAGGCTCAGATGACACGGCCTCCCTTCCATCCGCCAAGACGAAGAAATCAGAAACGCAGAAAAGCTTCGTTGAGGAGGTTGACAGACCACAGGCTGATATCGATATCGACTTCGAGTTGACTGTCCGACGCGCCCTTTCACCCTGGCAGGAACCGATGGAGGAAAAGGAGGTGCAGTTGGAGGACTCATACAAAACCTTCCGAACCAATTTGGTGCTACTGTGGACGTTATGCAATGGCTTACTGGCATTGCTGATCAACAATGATAGTGTGAGGAATCTATGCTTGACGGTATGTTCATTCCAACTATTCTTAGGTCACGAAAGTTTGCTGACAATGTGCCTCCAGACTACGTCGACGGATCGTACGGCTTGGTATTTCAAGGTCATCCTATGGGCTACGTCGGGCCTATCTGTCTTTAGATTTCTGGGTGCTCTGTGGTTCTTGGGAAAGACGGGGCTATTGTGTTGTTTCTCCCGGCGCTAGCCAACATATTAAACAGTACTTTATGCTTTATTTTCAGGCCCCGATGATTGGTATTAGTATACCCGCGATGTAGTCCTCTAATATTCACTCTGTGTGGTTGTCTTTGCCCTATTATCCAGCGTAGCAGTAGACCACTAGATATCCACTTGGCCTCACCAAGAATGGAGAGGATATTTCACTCAATTTCTTGGCATTCGGGATCCGTGGAACCCGCCCCTATCGAGCTTGACTTTTCAACACAGCGGAAATCACTCCTTACGCCAAATGAAGCAACCCAGTTGGCTGAGCTGCGAAAGTTAAAAACCAGAAACTGGCAAAGGTTAAGAATAGTAGTATTCTTTAGCATGGTGTACTCTATTGGCGAGCCCTATTCGTAGAGAGGCGCAGTGGTGCCCTCCGCCATGTTCCTGGCCTTGGCAACTTATTTTTGTCGCCTTCTTGGCTCGAGCGAGCGCTTCCACCCGCACTCATGGCTTGAGATGGCAGTTGGGTGGTAATTTATAATTATCACCGTCGAGGCCTTGCATACTGTACTTGATAGTGGGACAGCGACCACGTTCATCTTCACAATGCTGCGGCGTCGTGTGGTGTGTAACCCCGCCCCAAAGATTGATATAGACTCAACTTAATTTATACCCTACAGTGTGATGCATGCCATGCGCGAAAGGTACAGATTTGCATCTCAAACAGCATTGAGGTGCTTTCTTCTTTTTAACGATGAAATGTTTTAAGTAACACGGTATCAGGTTCGGTGCGATAAGGAAGACCCATGCGGAAATTGTCAGGATCAAATGACCGCTTGCACTCGAACCCGAGGCATGAAACGGCTTCCCAAGCGAACGGCCGGTCAAAGGCGAACCAGAGAGATCAGTAGTTCAAGGAATGGGGCCTTTGTTGCTCAGTCTTCGGTTGTAGGCGGACGCTCAAGACAAGTCTCTACCGAACTGTCAAATGAGGGTTTCATGTTGAATGACCTCTCACCTCACATGCACCGTGATGTCTTGAATATGCTTGATGATCGATCTGCTGCGTTTCTCGGTAGCATTGACATGGGCCACGAATTGCCTGGCTGGATGTCTCTCATTCCTCTCACGGACTCCCAGATGATCAAACCACCCCAATCAGGACAACCGATGGATATAATTCGTGACAGGCACCAGACTCTGGAGTTTGCTCTGTTCATTGCAAGCAAACTCCTAGGTGGCAAAAATCAATGTATAGGCATGCTGTTTGAGGAAACTATAAATGAGGACTTGCGCAAAACTCCCTCCATCGAGCTGTTGTATTGGATGCTGAACGGTGGGTATAAAATCCATCTTCTCTCGCCGGATACAGCTCTTACTTATCTTCCAAATACTCTCAGATATCGAAACCAACAAGTTTGGGTCCTACGTCCAGGACTATTTCAGACATGTCAGCAAAGAAACCCTCAAGCATATGGGGCTTTCCGTTCTGTTGGGCACTGCTACGCCCCCCGAGGCCTTGCTGTATACTGTCTGTGTCAATTCGGTGGCCTACAAGTTCCTCAATACAGTAGCTGCCATCGAGAGCGATGGTATCTTGGCTCAGAGTCTGCGTAATAGCGCCTTACTCTACCGTGAGACTGCTCAACGATGCTTGAGAAGGATACCCCTCTTCATGGAGCCTTCACTTTCCTTGCTACAGGCTATATTATGTGGAGTAAGCCGCTATCATCCGATGTGCTTCATTGTTTCTAACGGACTGTGACAGATATTCCTATATCAAGGATCAGGTGACGCTAGCACCTGCCAAGAGTTGACGAAAACTGCATGCAGAGTATGCATGGATATCGGTCTTTATCCTGGTGCAATTGACCTGCACAATCCAAATGAAGAGGAATATTACTGCTTCATGTGGTGCTACATTCTGGACAAGAACTACGCATGGAAACTTGGCAGACCGAGAATGCTAACAGTGGATTCTGATCTGAGGGTGGACGCTGCGACATCGAAAGCTACCATTTCGACGCTCCTTTTAATATACTTGCAATTAGCCAAGGTTCAGGACACGATGATACCCTTCTTGGTCAACTGTTCCATAGGAGATAACACAGTCTTCCGGTCTTTCACTAGCATAGGCGCGCAGCTTCTGCGGGACATGGATGCCATACGCAGGAATATTGATCAGGTAGATCCACTAGCGTTCCTAATATACCCTTTGAATTCGCATGATAACTGACAAACGTGACACCAGATTAATACTCCATCTCCAGATTGGACTGGCCTAGACGTCAACAGCGAAATAGCAACCCTCAATTTCTCCTACCACTCCATAATGACCAGCATCTTATACCTCCACCAAATCGCCCCAGGACAAGCCACCATAGAGACGTGCCTCACATCAGCACGGCAAGAACTACAGGCCCTAATAACAATCTGCGAATCAAGTGACATACAAAAAACGGTTGCTTATCTACATTGGTCAGTTCCCGCCCCTGAATTCGAATCGACATGTACAGAACAGACAGTGCTAATATTCATCCAACCGAAAACAGGACCCTCCTATACTACCCCATCACGGCATGCTTTGCACTATTCTGCAACGCCGTAGCAACATGTCATAACGGTGATTTCCAGATCCTCAAGGCTGTAGCGAATTGTCTCGCGCACAGTGGAACAATGAGTCAGCCTATCGCCACGATGCAAAATCTTTTTCAACAGTTTGTGGCGCTGTCGAAGTGCTTTTTTGCCGATGAGAGCTTGACCTTGGATATCCCGGAAGGGGATATGAGTACATTGCAGTCGCAGATGCAGTTGGGATTCCAACCGCTGGACGGTGGAATACCGGACTACTCTCAGGTTCGGTTACAGTCGCCGTCCGGGTTTGATTCCTCGTTTATCCGTGGACCCTTACAAAGATCTATTGGCGAGGGTGTTGAGAGTGTCGATTTTCCATCGCCTTTACATACATTACAAGGCTGTGATGGCCTGTATGACAATTTCCTGATTTCCAACCAACCGGGGGCTGAGTAAGGTCTAATTCATGTACACTTGTGGCTCTTGCAGCGGCATGGTCATTCTGGGATGGAGTCATTTTTCCAGGGTATTGTATTTATACACATGCTTAATCGATTATCTGTACACTGTATGTATGGAAGGTTCACATCTTAAGCACTACTGGAGCAACCGGCGTTGTGGTGAATTGTATTGGGGCTTATATGGTACAATTTTGGTTGTGCCCAAACATCGAACCCTAGAGCTTAAATTGGCTTGGGACCGCACATGCATGCTACCCATGAGAAAAGTTCCTGCACTACGTCCATCTCTTCGGAGAGAAACCACCACCCAGCAACGTGACACTCGGTCAGCGATTAGCTCTAAGATTTGGTAAGCATGTGTCAATTTATGCTGGCGGATCATAAAGGCCCGATGAAAAGCCCCGAAAAGTAGGTGCCGGGTGTACAAGGACGTACACGCGCAAGTGGACTCTGTCCACTCATAAGGGCGCTCAGGTGCCTGCGCAAGCTGGTTTTCACTGATCCAGAAAGTAACTAGGAACCTGGCAGTTGAATCTTCTGAATTCTCAGCGCAACCAGGCTCGCAATCTTGATAACCTGTTGTGGATTATCCTTCTCTTTCCCATTTTCAACTCAATCAAGGCTTGTTTTGTTAATTTCCGCGGTCCTTCCTTCACGGAGGCATCGATCTCATTCGATCAGATTTCAGATCTCAAATGATTCCACACCTTATCGTCCTTATACATGACCACTCGGTCGCTAATGAGCCCTTCTTGGGTTGTCGTATTTGAACTTCTATAATCATTCATTAGTACCCGACCTTGGATGGAATGTCTGACACAGTATGTGCGTGGTTATCTTGAGGTCTTTTGCACGATCAATTCCAGATTGCAGAATGCGAATATGTCTCAGATAACTCCGGCGTTGGTGACCATGTTCCAGTCTATGTCTCTGATGGATCTCGGTTGTCCTGTCGCTGCTCAAGCAGGTTATGACCCAGTTGGATGTTTCGCAAGATTCAAACAATTCCCACCAATGATCTGGGTTGTGGATATATACTGCATCATGCATATGCAAATGCAGGCCCATGTTCTTCTGCTCTGGTTAATATACGGCGACTTTCTTGCCGGGGAGTTAGTAGAACCGGAGTTTTTGCTCCCCAGTACTCGAAACAGGATAGCTAACGTATATGATCATCATTGTACAATGAGAATATTAGCACTGCACCTGTAGAGTATTTTGTGGGTTTCAGAAGATTTCGCCGCTGGGCTTCCTACACCGCGAGTACAGCTCAGTCACATGGCCATAAACAATGGAAGCGAGCACGTGGTGGAGGCCTCTGCGATCCACATCGAGGATGTCGGGGAACAACCTCATCCCGAGCAACTTCCCGCCACACCATGGAGTCAGGTCGACCAACTGCCAAGCGGCTCCCTACCACCCATTGCCATTGTAGGCATGGGGATGAGGTTCCCTGGTAACATTCGAACTGCAGAGGAATTTTGGTCGCTGCTAGTGGAGAAAAGAAGCGCCCTAGGCGAAGTTCCTCCAGGCAGGTACCATGGAGACTCGTTCTATCACCCAACCAGACCTCATGAAATCAAAACTAAACATGGGTACTTCTTGCAGGAAGAGTATCTTGGCAAGGTTGACAAGGACTTCGTTGGAAAACCTTCAGAAGCTGGAAGCTTGGATCCTCAACAACGACTTCTCCTCGAGGTTGTGTGGGAGTGTATGGAGAATGCCGGCCAGATAGACTGGAGAGGCCGCGATATCGGCTGTTTTGTAGGCAGCTTTGGAGAGGACTGGCTCGAAATTACCAGCAAAGATACTCAGTACATCGACCGGTTTAGAGCCATGGGGACGGGCGACTTTGCGTTTGCCAACCGAATCTCGTTCGAATTTGACCTGAAAGGCCCGAGGTACGTTGAATCCACTGGTTTTCCCTCAGAGTGTATCCAACTCTTCATTTTTCCCTCTCGTCCAACTGACCACGCGTGAATAGTATCACATACAAAACGGCATGCTCGTCTTCTCTGGTCGCATTACATCAAGCTTGTCAGGCAATATACTCCGGTGACTGCTCCACGGCTATTGTCGGTGGCAGCAGTATCATATTCTCTCCTACAATGTCTGTGACAATGTCCGATAATCTGGTCCTGGCTCCCGATGGCAGATGCAAAACCTTCGATGCCTCAGCAGACGGATACGGGCGCGGAGAAGGCATTAATGCCATATTCATTAAGCCGTTGGATGCTGCCATACGGGACGGTGATCCCATCAGGGCAATAATTCGCTCGACAGCAACCAATAGTGATGGAAAGACTCCGAATATTTCAACGCCAGACCGAGAAAGCCAAGAAACTCTTATCCGCAAAGCATATAGCAGAGCGGGGATTAGTGATCCTTGTCAGACGGCATTGTTCGAGTGCCATGGAACAGGAACAACTATAGGTGACGTGACAGAAACGCAGGCTGTGACTAGCATTTTCGGCGAAAAAGGGATATTTATTGGTGCGGTACGTTCCCTATGCATAAGCCTTCGATGACTTGCATCAATTAATGCGCGAAAAGGTAAAACCGAACGTTGGCCACATGGAAGGCGCATCTGGCTTGACCAGTGTGATCAAAGCCGTCCTCTCCTTAGAACATAGACAGATTCCCCCAAATATATATTTTGAGACCCCTCACCCACAGAGTAAGTTTCTTGGAATTGAGAATTCATATCAGTCTCCCAGACTAACCCAGGTAGTTCCATTTCAGGAGGGCAAATTAGAGGTACCAATAGACACATTACCATGGCCGGAGGACAAAGAGGCGAGAGTGAGTGTGAACAGCTTTGGGATCGGAGGAGCAAATGCGCATGTAAGTCTCCACAAACAAGCCCTTACACCCTCTGCGTGACGGTGCTCTGATGTGATACCAGGTTATACTAGACGCATTTCGACCGCGCGACACAATCTTGGCACCAAGAAAACAACCAAATCAGATACTAGCTTTATCTGCATGGGGTGCGAATGCCCTAAATAAGAAAATTGAACAACTTCAATCATACATCGACCAACACCCTCATAAGTTGGGAGACGTTGCCTTCACATTTGGTTCCAGGAGGGATCATCTATCTCATCGTGCTTTTGTGGTTACAGATGGCGATTCAATAAATGCCGATGCGTTTCAAAGGAGGCATTTACCCGAGCTGCAAGCATCGGAGTTGATATTCGCCTTCACCGGCCAAGGTGCACAGTGGTCTGGAATGGCTAGGGGACTCATTGAAGCATATTCCCAATTCTCCAGTGATTTACAGATAATGGATAATACCCTTAAAGGCCTTCCAATCCCGCCAAAGTGGCTCTTACATGGTACTCTTTCTTCCCTTTCACCAACCACAAACATGACAATGTGCTAATAGACTACAGATACCTTGATGAACAGCGACCAAACTACAATGGACCGCGCTGAGTGTTCCCAACCGCTCTGCACCGCCATTCAATTGGCTATGGTCAATCTTCTCGCGTCGTGCGATATACACCCATCTAAAGTGATTGGCCATTCTAGTGGGGAAATTGCTGCTGCATATGCATCGGGAGCCATCTCTATGGAGACAGCTATAATTTTAGCATACTATCGTGGTCAAGTATCTTCTCATTCCGAGGGGAAGGGGGCTATGATGGCAGTCGGTATGGACCCAAAACAAGTCAGCTCTTATATTACAGGTGGTGTCGTTGTCGCCTGCTATAATAGCCCTGAAAGTGTAACTTTATCGGGAGACAAGGCATCGCTGGAAGACGTGGCATCAAGAATACGCAGCAAAACACCGGACACACTAATGAAAATGCTCCCTGTCCAAGTTGCCTATCACTCTAGTAAGTCGCACTGTCTCGATTCGAGGATCAACTTTAACACTTGATAGGCCACATGATGTTCGCAGCAGCCCACTATGAGGAACTAATCCGTCCTCACGTGTCCTGTAGGCCAAAGTTGGCAGCTCAAATGTTTTCAACCATGACTGGCCAAGAAATCCAGAATACAAACCAGCTGGATGCAGCTTACTGGAGGGCGAACCTGGAATCACCAGTCCAGTTCACTGCTGCCATGGGTGCAGCGTTGAAGTCGGCGTCTGAACTACTGCAGCCCCTTGTCCTAGAGATTGGGCCACACTCGGCGCTTTCGGGGCCTGTCCGTCAGATCTCTAAGGATGTGGATATAACCAACACATACTGTCCGACCGTAGTGCGAGGGGAGGAATCCACTTCCACCTTTCTGAAAGCAGTGGGTCAGGCGTATCTTCACGGCTCACGGGTTCGTTTTGCGGCCGTCAACGGCTCTGGAACCTGTATAAAAGACTTTTCACCTTATCCCTGGCAATACGACGACTTGGGCTGGTCCGAAAGTCGACCTCCTCGACAATGGCGTTTACGCAAATTTCCACATCACGAATTGCTTGGTTCACGCACCTTGGAATCGGGTGACTTGGAACCTTGTTGGAGAAACATTCTTCGCCTGGATGAGGTTCCATGGATTTGGGACCATAATGTTAGCGGCCAAATCGTGTTTCCTTGTGCTGGCTACATAGCCATGGTGGCCGAGGCCGCCAGACAATTCACCGGTTCGGATAAGATCTTATTGCGAAACATATTGATCAGGAATGCCTTGCTCTTGGAGCCGAGTCTTGAATACGAGCTTCTGACAAGCATGCGACCAGTAACAGTGAATGACCTAGTGGAATCCTCATGGTTCGACTTTACGGTTTGTTCGTACGATGGTAACTCGTGGAAAAAACACTGCTCTGGCCAAGTTAAGTCTGGTACACTGAGCGATCCACCGCCGCCGACAAGGGCCGCTGTATTCCCAAGACCTCTCTCGTCACCTTATTTGTATCGACAGCTGAAGAAGGCGGGACTAAAATATGGTACTTCCTTTCAAGGTCTCCATGACATTACAGCTAGCCCTTCATCTTATGAAGCCGCGGCGACTGTTCAAGACGATCCAAGCCTGCATAGTGATCACTATCTTATT